TCCAGTTTCACCATTTGTGTGCGGTTCACGCATATTTGCACATCATTTGCCTTGCTCAAGCGACTATGCATTGGTAGTTGGTAAGCCTCTTTGGGCCCTAATGCTCAGATGTTTGAGCTCATTTGGAACCCTTTGGGCTGTCTCACATACACACACACACTTACACACACGCAGGAGACTTCACAAATGTTATTTATGCAAAAATAATTTTCAAATGTTTCGCATATTTCCAAAGGTTTTTGGGCCGCATATTCATAACCTCAGTTGGCCAGAACAAGCCACAAAAGCGCGCTTCCTGCCACGAGCCCCGGCTCTTCCCTTACCCTTACCCTTACCCTCACCCTTTTCCTTTCACGAATCAAGAATCTAATAAAACTTTTTGCCAGCTACCTTGCATACATCTGCTTATTTGCTTATCATATGCAAATTTTCATGTTTCAAGTTGAAGTTTTCTTTTTTTCGAAAAGAAAATATATACACACACACACTTACATATTTTTGTGTATATAAATGTATATATATAAATATATATAGGCAACCCAAGAATGTTTAACAAGCTACCTGAGGGCGCTCATGAGCAAAAGTTCAAATAACAAAATTTCTGCTTTTACTTTTACCCAACAAAAAGTACACGAAAAAAACTCTGCCAGGTATTTTGGCCCACCTTTAGCCAGATTATGGGTGTGTGTGTGTGTGTGTGTGTGCGTTCCTTTGATTATACAACTCTCTCTCTATATCTCTATCTCTTTTCCTATCCCCTATCCCCTGTTCCACCCCATTCCCCATTCGATTTGTGTGCTGGCTTTTAGCTTTCGGCTATGAATTTTCCGAGAGCCGCCCTTTTGCATTTGCCAAAGAAATTACTTAAAAACATCTACAAATTATGCATGCATCAGATTCTGCACATAATTCTTGGGTAAATTTGCATAATTTGGTAAAAATGCACTCAGCCAGATGGACAGTCAGCTAATAACAGGCCAATCAATGAGAAGGACAGACCATCTGCAATTACAAAGAATATATATTTGAATAAATTAGGCACTCGAATGGCTTGAGTTCAGTAGAGACCTTAAGCACTCAAAGAAACCAATTTAAATAAATACTCTAAATACTCATTTAAAGCATTAATTACGCTGTTAGAAAGGAGCAGCGATTATAAAGCAAAATAAACGAAGAGAAACACCTTTACTTCTTTATTTGAAAACTTTTTCTCTGACTGCACCGTTTTTCTCGCTGCGAGACGAGTTGATTCGCATGGGGAACCAACGGATTAAGTGCGATGATGATGGGTCTTTTTGCTGGGGAGAAGTGGAATTCAATTACGGGGGCGCAGAGACAAAAGCAATTACAGCAACAATGCCAAAAAATGGCAGCTGCCGTTGTGGCCATGTTAATATATCAGCCCAGAAGTATGCAACGAAAAAGGCAGCGCGAGAGTAACAAAGAAATTGGATAAGGGACGGAGCGGCGTATGCAAAACAAATAACACGGAAATGAAAAACGAACTCGACTGGAAAATTGCAAGAGCCCCTCAGCCCAGAGCACCCACACACATCTACCCGTAACACCCTTACACCCACACCCATATATACAAAGCGGAAGTTGACTCGCCAGCCATGTTGCCGTCGACGCCGTTTCCGGCAGAGCTTCACTTGGTTATTGTTGCCGCTTTTGGTGCTCTTGCTGCGGTTGCCTTGCGCAGCTCTGCCTACTAAAAAATTTACTGGCGCTTAAAAATGCCAAACAAAAAAAAAAGGGAACAACAAGCAGAGGAACCGAAAAAAGCAAACAGAAAAAAAAAAGAAATCACCCAGAGAGAGGCAACTACAAGTAAGCGCACAAAAGACGAGCACAGAAATGACATAAAATATTTACCACGCTGAAAGACATTTTCATTTGTGGCACAGCACAGCCAGTACAGCAACAAAGGATCCTGGGACTCGGACTCAGCCGCAGCTCATTACGAACAAATTGACGGCTAGCTAACAAATAGTTTCTCTTTCAATATTTGCAGCAATTTCGCTGGCTGCACTCTGGCAAAAAAAGGAAGAAAAATAATAAGGAAGGCAAAGGAAAAGCGGATACACTAAAATCCACACCCTAGCTTTGCCGCCTTTCCCTGCCCCAGCAACGTTTACGAGTGTTTTTAATGCCACATTTTGGCTGCTCCTGCCACTGCCACTGCCTTTGCTGCAGTTGCTGGGGAAGTGATTGAAATTATAGCCGCCGTCGGACACGTCGAGTGCATTCAATGTTCGTCTCGTTCTCTTTACGGCCATAGAGCTGGTCAGTTATTTTTGATACTTATTATTTTTATGCCAGCGCCCCTTTCCTTTCGACCAACCAACCAACAAGTGCTAATAAAATGGTAGAAGAAAACTGGGGAAAACAGGACAGCAGTGTTTGTCTCTTACTCTTTTTCGTTTTTGTTGTTGTATGTGGCAGTGTATTATAGTGGATTGTGTATCTCACTATACACATAGGGCAATTACATAACAATTTGCTCAGCTGTTGGCTGGAAGGGGACTGCCACTGCTCATATTCTTTCTGCTCCTGCAACTAATCGCGGTCGCAGTGGACTTCAATCCCCGCCAAATGAGGATGAAGCATCGGGCGTTTATTTCACAGGTCCCCCTTTGAGAAAGCACACAGTTTTTCCTGCAAGTGCTCAAATCAAGTTCATTCTGCAATAAACCAGTTCTGCTCTCTCTATCTACGCTCTTTTTTCTGTATTTTCCTGATTGCAATTAAAATTGTGGCCCGCAGTCAATGTCAGTTTTTTGGCTTCATTATGCTGCCAACTCCGAATAAGCAAAATGAAAAGGGAACATTTGTGTAATTAAAATAGCGAACAGTGGTCTAGATGGAATTAATTTTGGGTATTTAAAAAATTCAATATAAAAACAACGTAAATATGGTCTCGCCTAATCCACATATGAAATCTATACATTATCTATCAGATCATAAGATAACTTCTCCTTAACTATATATACTCATATAGAGAGAATATAATATAGATTCCTCTTTCACTTTTACTCTGCATAATACTCCACTGTACTCTCTTGGCTAGCATTCGTAGTCCTTCTAAAACTTTCCCAACAAAAAAACAGCGAAAATTCCATGGCAAAGTTTTGCAGTTTACATTTTTCATTAATGGCACTGCTAGCTATTTTTGGGGGCAGGACACGTCATCGTCTGGTTTTTATGGAGAGCAGTGCTCAAACGAAAAGTTTATACACACATACACACTCCTGATATATATATATATTAATAAATAGTCAGCAAATAATATTGCGCATACGCAGCGTTGACAGCCGCAGCAAGCCAAATTGTGGCCAGAATTGTGAGTGTGTTTGTGTGCGTTTGTGTGCGTGAGGGAAGTATAAATAATAAATAAATATAAATGGTCATATGGAAATGAAAATGAAATAATCTGCCAACTAAGAGGCGCATAAATAGCCCTCGAAATGACATTCATTTTGGTTGTCGTTGTTTATGTCGGCCATTTTCGTTGTTCACTGCTGTGTGTGTGTGTGTGCCCTGTCGCCATTTTCTGTATGTGTCATGTTGCCCACTCCGCTATTACATATTATTATTATTATATTTCTTTCCATGCTGTTTTTGCTTTGTTCTGCGGTCACTGACACGTGTTTTGTGCTGAATTATGCAGACGTCGGTATGTGATTTGATTTATTTCGAGGCGAAAAACAGCGACGCATTTTTATGAAATCAATGCACAAATTACAAACAATTTACACATCAAATTAGCATAATTAATTTAGCCTCGTCGCAGTTGAAACCATCAAATTGATAAATGTAATTGGCCGAGGGCATACCATTTTCCTATTCGCTTCCACTCTCCTCACATATCCTATATGTACACATCAAATTATGGAAAACTTTTCCCTCTGACACATAAAATCTTTTGCAGAAAACTTTTACGGAGTTAAGGAGGAAGACAAAAAAAAATCAAGTTAAAACTAGAGACAGCAAAGTTTTCAGTTTTCAGTTTACAGTTTACAGTTTTTCAGTTAAAAGTTTTAGGTTACAGTTGGCTGGCCTGCCTGGCCAAATCTTGAGTCGGCATAAAACCACTTGGTCAAGTGGCTGTTTAAGTTAGCCAAAAGAGCTAAGAGCTTCATCGACCTGGTCATGAATTCTATGTAAATAGCAATTTACTTCGTTTGCAGTGTGAAACGATTTGTTTTTCGATATCATTCTTTCCTTATGAATTTCTGCTTAAACAAACAATTGATCCTTTGTCTCAATTACGAGAGCCACCAGGCTAATATTTGCTTGTTAATACATATATATATAGCTGGTTCAGATACATCTGACATTTTTCTGTGCATCTGAGCACTCAAGAAACTTCTACTAATTGGCCAGAATGCCAAGGAATTGATTATAATTGCTTGTTTGTACCTAATGTAGCTGTACACGACAGCACTTGAGGCTGTCAGTTGGAAGAACGCAAGGATTTTTATGCATAAAATGCAGAAACGCATATTGAGTGGGAGTGTGTAGTGTGACTGGGTAATTGTGTGGGCTGGACTCTGGGATTGAGCAATAACAAAAATGCTGAGCACATGGTGGCCAGGAGTTGCCAGGATGCGGAAGGAAGCGGAAGGATGCTTCAGGACACTCACACATTCAGCCAGACATGCATGTTTGCGATGGTGTCTTGAGTGTTTGAGCCAAAGATTAAATGGTGTTTATGGCTGCACGCTGCTCTACTGCTCTGCTGCTCCTGCTGTTCCTGCTGCTTCTGCTGCTGCTATAGTGCCCAAATAGGGAACAAAGCTCTAAGACTTTTGACACTTTTGCAAAATTTACGACCCTTGTTCTCCCGCTCTATTTCCCCAGCACAATTGCAGCGCAAAAGTTTTTATGTTTTATGCTGAAATAATGCTAATGCAAGCAGAACTAAATCTGCACTGCCAGAAGACATTATCCGCAACTTATTTCCTTATTTATTTGTTCTGTTTGTATATCTCTTTCAGGGTTGGACCTGGCCTAAGATGGGTAGCGTTCTATTCGCCGCTGTATTCATAGCATTACACTTTGCCACCGGCGGACTGGCCAACCCGGATGCCAAGCGACTCTACGACGACCTGCTGAGCAACTACAATCGCCTCATCCGACCCGTGGGCAACAACTCGGACCGCCTAACTGTTAAGATGGGTCTGCGCCTCTCCCAGCTGATCGATGTGGTAAGTTTTTGTCAGCTTCCCTTTTATTTCTCTATCGTTTTCAGTTAAAGTTTCCCTTTTGGATCGAAGAAAATCGTAGAACACGTTTTAAACATAAATCAAATGCCCTTTTCTCTTGATAGTTGCAGAGTAAAAACAAAAGTTTTCATTTTACTCTCCTTGGGGGGATTTTAAAACCTTCTTTTAGGTTTTTACTTAAAGAACTTAAAAGAAAATATTCAGCTTCCCAACTCGAAATGATAGATTAATGGTTGAAATTTGGGAAAGTAATCCCTATCCATTCCCACCTCCATGATCCCTATCCAAATCGCCTGAAATTTGTTGCTAACGATGCTGCCAAACTAGGCAATCCATTTGTTTGACAAGTGTGCCCCCCAGCCGCGTTACGGGCTTATCAAATGACAATCATAACAGATTAATTCGCGAAAGCCCCGCGACGCCGGTAAGTACGCAATGGCATTTGTATAAGCCACAGCAAACAATCGACGCAATTCGCAATTAATAACTGTTTACCCGGCGATTAAAAAGCCAGGCAACTAAGCCATTCCACCGCTCCGCGGCCCGTCGCTTCATTGTTTCAATTGTTGTTTGCATAATAAATCAATGGCTTTGCCTCAGTTGATTGTTTTCTTGATTAACTATGCAATTGCCAGTTGCCAGTTGAGAATCGGTTTCGAAGGATGCCAGGGGGCATCAGGACATTCGAAATTGAGCAACACTCTGTTTTCGGCTTACCCGCATATATCAAATACACACATATATATGTATATGTATATGAACGGTCGTGGCAATATCGAGGCGCTGGCTTAAATTGCAGCTGGGCATGGCAAGGATCGTTTGTGTGTGGGCCAGGCAAATGGAGCACAATCTTCTGCTCGGTTTGGCTGCACATGACAGCCGGAAATGGGGAAACCGGCTAACAGTTACGTGCTCTTGGCCACACAGTAGCCGAGCTTTACGCCGTGGTTCTTGGCTCCCGTTGCTCCTGAGCTCTGGTCTCTGCTCCCTGCCTTTTGGCTCTGTAATGCCAGTTCTTTGGCTTCGTTTTTTTTTCGACTTTCTATTTTTTCCCCCCTACTGTTATAAATCACGCGCTAAGCACCAAGACCACTAAAGGCCATGCCAGGCAGGAGCAGCAGTCAGCAACAGAAGCAGTCATAGCAAAGCACATTGGCACTGATCTTGGAGAAATCGGTTGTAATAAAATAAAAAATCATATTATTGAATTTGCAGAGTTTCAAGTTCCAATTTCATCTAAAACAATCCAAGCTGGCTCTGTTGTTTCTAAGCCATATATAAAATTGGTTATAACTTTCCTATAGAGTGTTCATAGAACTTCAAAGCAAGATAAGTTAAGAACTCTCTCCAGACACCAAGTCTGGCATTAAATAAGATATTTAAAATGCATTTTAATCACATTATAGCTCCTAACAGAAGGATGATTTCGTAGCCCAACCCTTTTCAATTATTTCGTTCGGCTTGAGGCCACTGTGGGCTGGCATCTGGGCATCTGGCATAAGGTGCTTATATCGAAATTGCTTTTCTGTGTATGCGAGCTGGTGCACACAGAAATATCGCACAGCCGCCCTGTGTGCGCTTGACTGCTGACTGGCTTGAAATATTCGCAGAATTTCTTTTATTGCAATAGTCCACTGGTAGTCCACGTTTTTGCACCCACTTGCCACCCCTTGCTCCCCCCTTCCTGTTTTCCTCTTGGTCCTGTTTGACTGCCCCTGTGGCTGTTGTTGCGGGACACACGTGTTGCCTGCTTTTCCTTATTGGCATACAATTGCTTGTAAATTCTCCGCACTGAAATCAGTGCTTGTATACTTTTTTCTCTTTTTTTTCCGTTGTTGTTGTTGTTGCAGTTGTTGTGTTGTCCTGGAAATTGCAATCAACTGTCAGAGGGGGGGTTTGGGGTTGGTTTGAAAAGTATGTGAGGGCAGCAACAAAGCAGCCGTGCGTTTTGGCTGTAGAATTTGTAATTTGCAATTTTCCATCTGCTTGCTACTCGGTCACCTGATCCATGGCTGAGTACCTTGGGCTTATTAGTTGCATAACTGCAGCTCGGTCAGGTGACATACATGTGCTCTTGTGCCTGAGAAAGGCAATTCCATACATGGCCATTGTTTGCCCGGCATGTAAGACCGGCTTACATTTTGCCACCCAAACGCATTCAAATGGCAAATGTTGCACATTTTCGAGCCAGTTAATTGCATGTTGGTCATAAATTTCAAATATTATTGGGGAAATTGAAACAGAGACCGAAAATGGGGTCTATTCAACCGTAACAAAGCCTCTTGTGTGCTCTGCTCCCTTTTACAAACGACTGAAAATTAACTTTTCGCATACCATACAGGTACTACAGGTAAATAAATGTGTGCCGAAGGGTTAGCAGAAATGTACAGAACTACAATTTAATAGACCATTCTAAGGAGGACTTTTAAAAGAACCTACTTTTAGTAGTTAGAAGATAGTTTTCTATGTAGTCACTAACACTTTGATGTATCTAAACCTAGATCAATTCTACCTATAAAACCATTCAACATAATAACAAATACATTTAGCAAGGATTTATCTTTAATTAAATACATTTTAAATACCCATTAAATCCCCCCTGATAATTGTCGGAATTATAGAAGGGAGCTGTTGAAATAAAACCGTTTTTCATGATATTTTCGGAAATTAATTTACTGCTTATTCAGCTTACACCAACCGCCTTTCAAATGCTGCTCCTCCTGCTGCTGGTGTGGTCACAGGACACTTTTTTGTATGCCGAGTGGAATGCCTTTTGCAAAGTTTATTTACAGCACACAGGAAATTCGATTTAAATTGTAAACAAGACCAGTCAGGCAAGTCATGGGCACGACACCGGGCAATCCTGGCCCATCCTATCCTGCCTTGAACTGGTTCCCTCGAGTGGGTAAAACCCGTCACACACACACACAAACAGAAACACAAGATGCAAATCCTGCTGCAGGACGACTGCTTAAAGCACTTGGCTTAAGCAATTTAAATGCTGTATATCCTGTGCATCCTGTGCAGGGCAATCCTGTGTATAGCCACCGTTGCCCCCTTTGCCCGTGCTAAGTGCGAATAAGCGAGACGTGCAACAACGACAAAAGCAACACACCAATTACAGTCCTAGGTGCGAACTGCCCGAGGGCTTCTACTGTGCAACTCGGCATCCTGATTGCAAATTTCTCAATTTCTTATGAGATAAACTGCGGCACAACCACTGTACTAATCTCTCGAGTACACTGGAACAAAAACGTTGAAGCTAAAATGTATATTAACTACTACTAAGAATGCAGTTAATGGAAATGTAACAAACCTTTTTTTTATATAAAAATCATTTAATTACTAATTAATAAATAATATTTGTATACATTGGCATAAAGCATCTCCCCTTTCTTTCAAGTGCTCCCCTTTTTGCCACGGGTTGCAACGGATGCCCCACATAAAGCATAAAGGATACCCTTCGTCGCCGCTTCGCTTGGCTTTCCCCCTCCCTTGATGCCGCACATTTTATCTCTTCCTTATGCCGTACTCATCGCCTTTCTTAGTCATTGTGCCTGGTTCTTGGCTTTGTCGTTTTATTGCCGGTTTTCCGCGTCGCCCTCGCCTAATGACCTTTCCACGAGCTGCGGCCTGGTCCACAGAAGGGCTAAGAGCCCTCTGAGCGGGTGATTACTGTTAGGGAAACCGGGATACGGTAGTAGGGAGTAAAGAATGATGGCTGGAAAAATCTATTAACACTGCGTGCCTCGACATATTGCCGCGGTCCCTGAGGTTTCCACCCGCAGCCACACCAGAGCTACCAGTTCCTAACTCTGCGGCGGAAAGAAATGCGAAAAACGCGTTACGGCGCATCATTATCATTCTGTCGTTAATTACATTTTTCAACGCTTAAGTGATTTATTCCGCAGTTTTATCGTTTTCTAATTTTTTCAATTGAGCTTCCCCGCTTTTAATGAGTTTGGCCTGGCTTGCGAATTAATATTAAAGAGAAGGCAGCAAGTCCAGAAGGTTTCCCAGAGGTTCTAACAGATTGGTAAGAAATTAAAAGATGGGACTGCCAAAAGGGCAAGGAGTTAACTTTCAACACAGTTTAGATCAGCCTTACAAGGCTAAAAAAATAAAAATTAAACATTTTCAATGAGGCAATATTTATCTTTTGACTCAAAAGAAAGTAGAAAAAAAAAGATTGAAAATAAATCTTCAAGCGTAATTTATTCTTCACTTTTCTGTCCAAATCTGAACCAGCACTTTTAACCGAAGAATTTATATTATATTCGAAGAACCACTGTTTTGTCAACATAACGAACGAAACTAAATCTACGTAAAACTTTCCGGTTGATTTCCGGAAAATCCTTTTTGCGAAAAATGTCAATAAGTTGGCATTTCAAACAGTTAATGCAGATCGACTAGAAATACAAAAACAAACGAGGTTTGACATCCTATATTCGGAAAATGGAATGATCGAATTTTCACATTATACATTTTTGCGACATTTTAAACTGTGAAAGCAGTTCGACATTTGAAAACAAGCTCATCGAGGTATTCCATTTCAAATTATTGTCATTATTGGCTTAGTTATAAACATAATACTGTGACCTTGAGAAGAAAATCTGAGATAAGCAATTTTTGCATTTTCGATAAGGGCCAAAAGGCCAAATTTCGACATTTTAAAATGGGAATCCAGATCGACTTGAAATTTATAAACAAACTCAACGAGGTATGACATTCTATATTCGGACCATTATTGACTGAGCTATGGGCAAAATTCTGTCATATTGAGTGGGAAAATGGGTGAAACCGAACTTAGCATTTTTGATAAGGGGTAGTTTCATCTGAGTTGCAAAAACTGTGAAAAAATTAAAAATATTAGGCTGGAAAGCAGATTGAAAAATAACTAGAAAAGAGGTTAAACGAGAAATAACATTCCGACCATTATATTTGACTTGAATCGCATTATTGTATACCGCAAGACTTTTTTGACAACCTAATATGGGTTCATATGATCAATATACAATATTTTTATGACTATTATAAGGCCGTATTGAGTCAGTGCCGAATGAGGGGTTATCCCCTAACAGTTAACAAGTTCTCCTTTATGAGCGGTTTTACAAAATGTTTATTAAACCATCGAAACTTTTAGTTGAATTTCTTTAAGTTTTACTTAACTATCGAACAGGGGAGATGATATCCTGCAGCTCATAAATTGATTAAAACTAAATGGTTATAGGAGACTGCAGCTCACTTCACGACATCTAGAAACCGACTTCACTCGCCCCACTTTGTTTCACCCTCGTCTTCCTCTTTTCGGAGCACTTTAAAATAGATTTGTTAAGCAGCATGAAGAGCTGGTGCATCGGGAGTGGAAGAAGAACAGAGCTCCTCTGCAGAGGGAACACAAGTTCAGTTCACTAAAACAACATTTTGCCGGCACAATGATTTCTATTTGATGGTCTCTGCCACTCAATGGTGGAGCTGTCAGAGAATCCACTCCAACTCTCCATTCAACAGAAGTGGAAACTGTCAACGTTAAATTAATGAATCTCTTGTTAACATTCGAGTCTAACAAATCTCTTTTTGCTTTTGTCTCGTTTATTTGCAGAATCTGAAGAATCAAATTATGACAACCAATGTCTGGGTGGAGCAGGTAAGTTATCTACTATACTATATCTCATATATAAAACCCAACTGTGCTCAAATATATATATATATATATTCATGCGTAATTCAGTGAGGTTTGCTCAACTGTGATTTGGCTTTCGAGGAACATGAATTTGCCATTTGCATGCCTCGCTGCCGTCGAATGCAAAATAATTTGTGCCAGCCAATTTCGACGCGCTCGCATTATGCCAAACTTCTAGCTTGGCCAAGTGGCCAGGCTCCATTTCCCAGTAGAGTGGCAGGACCACCAGGATTCCAGGACCACTTCCACTTCCAGTTCCAGTTCCTGTCCGCTTACTACTCTACATGTCCACTGACTTTGCACTAATGCGGCGAGCAGAAGTTGGCAAAAAAAAAAAAAAAAACACAAGAGGAATATCAATTGGTCCGAAATCCGACTTTTATCCCAGCTGCTTTTAAGCACTCATGCTCTTTTTTTTTTTTTTTTTGGGTGGGAATGGGAGGACAAAGGGGACTTTAAAGTTTTCCGGTTTTGCATAAAACATGCACAGCAAATTCCTCGCACACAAATTGCAGTCAATAGTGCCGGCAGCTTATCCAAAGTATTTGGTTTGACAATTCACTAAAACCCAAAACAATAACAAAAGCGGAATTCAAAATGATATATAAATTATGCATTTGCCGAGCAATTTGCGATTGTGTGCATCTGTATTTGTTTTAGCCAAATGCAAATGCACATTTCAGACCTCATTATGAGGGGCTGCATGGCATATTGTGTTCCCGAAAATAATATCACATTCATGTGGGAAACGAAATGAATTCAATTTGTTACAAATATTTTGAAAATTAGGTAGAAGATAAAAGCAATATAATAACAAGTAATTAATTATAATTTACAAATTAATAAATGTAAATTTAGTTTAAAAAGTTTCCTTAAAATACTCATTCAACGTATTTTTATACCCAACAATTTTTACCAACAAATAAATTCATTAAATATGTAGTAAAATGTGAGATAAAGTGGGTTTTGAGAACAGAAAGCCATCATGTTTGTTTTCGCATTTGGTTTCGTGGTATGCCACTATGCCACGCCCATTCATAAATAGGCGGCAGTCTGTCAATAAAGCCGCAAACGCTAGCGCACGTAGCCCCATAAAGCCCCCTTTAGTGTATTTGGCCAACGCATTTGGCAGATGCGCTTGCATTTAAGCAGATGGGCAACCACAATTAAATGGGAAATATATTCCAGTACTCATGGCAGGACAAACGAGGTCTACAAGCCATAAAAGAGTTATTCAACGTAATTAAATTTATCCACAGCAGACTGGTTTTGCCTTAGAAATAAGCTCGGAACTTAACCATAGAAAAGATACTTTTAGTTTTTCTGAGATAAACATGAGTCATGTTTACTTGTAGAAACTCAGTTAATGGCTGAAATTCGTGTAATCACAATTGAAACCCGATTTCGTGTGTAAGTCGGATCAATATTAAAACGGTCTGGGAATCCCACTCTGCAATTATATTTGCAATTATCGGGAATTTCATGCTTGGTCAGCACGAAAGCGAGCCGGCTCTGTCGGCCACCGTGAAACCTCAACCCAATATCAACTCTCTTAATCCCCAGTGTGATGGCTCCCACTTGGCGTGGCCGTATAAATATATATATTTATATATATATATATGGAAAGTGGCAATCAACATAATTACAGTTATGCGTATAAGCAATAAAAAAAAGAATTCGATGGGAGATGGAAGGGAAACGAATGAGAGATACCTTAAATTAAGGCAGTAAAAAGAAGAAACTTATAAAAATTTGATGATTTCTTGTTGATTATTTGCTGCAAAGTAATGTTAAATTCTTGATGGTTTATGATAATAATAAAGACTATTTGTAAGATTTTGAAAGACACCTTTAGGTGTCATAGCAGACCACAAACTAATATCCCCAACAATCACATTGTAATCACCGCTTAAACATAGAAACCAAACACTGAAGTACAATTGTATTATGAAAATGTAATTTAATGCCAACAGCTTAGCGACCAATGAATTAATGCATAATTAATGAAATTGAAATTGCAGCCATACACGAGTTAAACGTCCTGAACCGCAGGCTGAAATATTTATAAATAGCGCACTTTGAATAGCACTGAATGCATGTGCAGATATTTTCTAATTTCTCACCCACCACCACCACCTACATATAAACATTAAAATTTTCTATTATTTATGGCAATCAAGCATAAATAATTGCTGTCCCTTTTGTTGTTTTCTATTCATTTTACAATGTGCATTTTGCAATTTCAGGAATGGAATGACTATAAATTGAAATGGAATCCGGATGACTATGGCGGCGTGGACACGTTGCACGTACCCTCCGAGCATATATGGCTGCCGGATATTGTGCTCTATAACAAGTAAGTGCCAAACTAATTTTCGCCCAGCTCATCGGACTCGTAGAGCTTGGCCTGCGCCTGCGGGAAAATTCCCAGGGTCCTCTAAAGCCACCGCCCTGGAGGCCTCTTGGCCATTTACATAATTGCCCCGAAGGAGACGGCGGTATAAATCAAAGCGAAAACTGTACTGTTCCCTTTGCTTGGCCATTTATCAGGCGATGATTAACGTATTTTTATTTCAATGTAACTTGAGCGTTGCGGTTGCTCTTCGGGTTTCCCTGGAGGCTAGCTAAGTGTCCATGGGCTGGGCCTTTTTTTGGGGGCTTCAGTCTTCAGTTCGTTGTCCAATGCTCTCAAATTGAACGTTTTCGTTGGCTTGGTATAATTATTATAATTTGCTGGAGTGAAGCCAATTAGGGGACAAGGATCGAAATGAATCCAGTGCTAGGGAAACTGTGGAAAATGTTAAGCAAATTAAAAGGGAAATCTGAGCCACAATTAGACTTGACTAATTAGAACTTAAAGATAAATAAAAAGAAAACTTAGCTGGCTAATGGAATTTGGTATTTAAGAAATGTTTTTTATAGAAATTATTGGGTTTTAAATAAATAAAAAAAATGTAAGATTTAAGGAAAGTTTACAATGAGAAAGTCTTTAAAATTAGATGACACTTTCATAATTGTAAATTTGGGAGAATTTTCCCTTTTTCATAAAAAGTTGGTTTTTAATATAAAAATTTCTTTTCAATGAAAAAAAGTTTGAACCAATTTTATTGGCAATCTTTTTCAAGACTTTTCAAGACTGCTGTCCACTGTAAGCCTTGAGATTTGGTGCCCGGACACTTGACTTTGTCGATTTGCCAAGCAGCTCGACGAGCTCTTCTCATCCAACAAATGCCCAGGACATTGGTCAGGATATCTTGGCCATGGCTGATGCTGGTGTTGTTGTAGCTGCGGCAGATCGGCTTACGCGCTTTATGGGCCCTTTATGTGTGTCGATGGGTGGATTGTTGCTGAACGGGGAAGGGGAGAGATACGTACTTTTTTTTTTATGCCACCGACTTGGCTGAGGCTGGAGAAGAGGCAACTATACGCATAGCATACTTTCTGGGGTGTTTCGTTGGCAGTGTCATAAAAAGTCGTAATTTATTGCTTGGAAAAAGCTTAAATTTCATTTGCCAGCCAACGACAAAAGCATTGTAACTATAGAAACTTGGAGCGGGTGTTACTCGAACGCCATGGGTGTTATATGGCCGGCTTTGGTCGTTGAGACGGTTTCCTTCCTTTCCTTTCCTTTCCTTTTTATTTTTAAACTGCAAATAATTTGTACGCACCATAATGAAGCCATGGCTCGAATTTTTTGTTTCGCTTTTTGTTGCCGCATAAAATTGAACTTGAAGTGTCCTTTGTGTCGTCGCACTTAATTGTGGCTCGAATGTTGTTCTTTCTCCAAATGCCAATCGAAATGGCCCAGGCCCAAAGACCATTTAATTTAGTGGCAACTTAAGGTGATGGCTTACGGCCCATTTTTATGGCATTCCAACCGTAGAATCTCGGCCAGAATCTGAGCCAAATTCATAAAAATTAAATGAATGATAGTCGAATATTTATCTTGTAGGCTTTTAATGTTGCCACAAGGATAATAAACGTAAGTCTGAAGTCAATATCAATATCCTGGTTCTGGCTTTCAGTTTGATTTGTTTACATTCCTTCCAGCCGACGAGCCACCTACCCGTCGAACCTTCCAGCAAACAAGTAGGCAATGGAAATTTATGCAGAAATTAAGCACCAAGAATTGCAGTGCAAAAAAGCTGTAATTTTAAATGCAAATACAATGTACAGCTGGAGGAGGAAAGCGCGTTTATTGTCACACACACATACCAACACACACACACACACACATATGCACACATGGTGCAACAAGGACGATGGCAATCTATTTTACGATGCAACTTTTTGTCCTGCGCAGCACGGTATGGAATGGTGGAAAAATGGTGGAAACAGGGGAATCCCCTTTGCGCGCCCATTTGTATGCAATGAAAAATGTTTAATTGTCTGCTAAACGCGCAATGGCAGCAAAATAAATAGTTGGCCAGGCTTTGTAAATGGCCCGAATTTGTGCCACAAATACCTGCGTGCGTGCGGCATTCAGACCACATCCATTTCACATCCCCTTATACAGAAACGCACATTCAGGGCCAACATGCTGCTGGGGCCACAAAAGAATTCAAAACAAGCGTCAAAAGTTGTTATTTATTGCTCGCGGCCCGGCATTTTGGTCTTGTTTTTAGCCCTTGCCACACACACGGCCACAACGAATTGCAACATTTTGCTGGCCAACATTTTGTTAATTTTTAATTGCAATTATCTCTTGCATTTGTTTTGCCGAATATAGCCTAGCAAGTAGTCTCCCGGGAGCTGGTATAATTATCCGGATAGATATGTGAGCTCATCAAATGCACATACAACCGACAGACGTGACTGCCAAAAGTTCCCTGCGACACTCCCGAAACCTCTTGGAGCCGCTGAAATGGGCTGTCTGCTTAGCAGCCCCAAACCGCACTCACACATTTCCTTGGCCTCATTGGCCCACTGTTTGTATAGTATTTGTGAAAGCCGCTTAATTCCAGCAATTAATTTTCATGTTGATCCAAGAAATTAAAATCGCACTCGACTGACTCAAGACCCCGGCTTTGGCTCGGTTCGGTTTTGGTCCCCATAACAGAGCTTACTCTGGCCGCACTTAGTGGTTTATGCGACTGGTTATTATTTCGGTTAGCCCCGGCATTCCACACATTCCGCATATGAGTTTATTTTGGGGCCTCTCGAATAATTACTGTTTGTCTACATGGAGAGCAAAATGTTGTGCTTTCAGCTTGGCATTGATAGGTTAATTACTTAGTTTGAATGTATCAATTACTATTGGATAATGTTTCTTTTTGTTTCTTTTAAAATGGATTCAGTCATCAGAAATATCCAGGATATCAAGATGGTAGATTCTTTTTAGTATATATTTCCTTCTTATTCACCATTTGATTTGTTTTCCAATTTCCATATACAAAAAAACACACTTCCTTATAAAAACGTGGCAATAAAATGATCAAATTAAGTTTTATTTTCTGTGCGGAAATAGTTTTGGCTATCGCGTTTAAAACAGATTTAGGGCCACACCCATATGCCCTATTTGGCAGGAAAAATAATCCCACTAAGCCATCACACAGACGCACACACACACATACAGAGACACCCACTTCGTCATGGGCAAAACGCATTACCATTTTGAGATGGCATATTAGCAGAACGCCATAAATCTCTGGCTGGGCATTAGGATCCACCCTATGAAGCACCCGTTTAGTCACATTTGGACCGCCACCCTTCCGTGCACTTCCATCGTACTATTCCCAAAGTGCTCTGCTTTGGCTTTGTTTTCTTTAATTAAATGAATGTTGTTGACAACTTTATTATCAGCTGAACTTTTGCGAGGCCCGGACTTCGACCAAGGGCCACACCCACACTCATACAGTGGAATCAGGAACGGGAGCCGCAGCCACTTTAATTCTATTATTGTATGTTTCTAGATGGGCGTCTGGCTTGGTCTTTCAGTTCCACATCCTTCTAGCCATCCTTACCTCCATCCATCCACCATCCCCTATCTGTGATTCTTTTTCAACTGCTGTTGGCTTTTAGTTTTTAGCATGAAAGCTGACGACAACTGCGTTGAAATCAAAAGAAACGAAATAAAATTTCATTATCTTTCATTAGATTTATAAAAATAAAAATGGCGTGGAGAAATACGAGAAGGGCAAAGGGATGGGGTTGAGTACAAGGAAGACAAAGGCAATGGGCCAGAGCAGGGTGGCCTAGAAGGGGAGGCTGAAAGGGACATGGCCAGGGAATCAGGACAGGAGCAGCGGCAACAAAGTCAGCAAAAAGTTTTTCTTGCCCGCCAGCGGGTTGCCAAGTCCCTTGATTCTGTTATGGTACAGTGGAGCCACAACTGTCATCAACAATTTATTCAGCTTACTTATGTTAAGTTAAGTAGAGAAACTACAACTTTAAATACTAAATAAATGAAACAAAATTTGTTGATTTATTACAAAAAAGGGTATTTTCGTTCCAAATTCCATAATTCCAAACTCTTTCAAGGATATAAAACTGATTATATTTTACCACTTTCCATCCATATTTGCCCCACTGTCAACCGCTTCGATTTCTGGCCTGCAAACTTTGACTGGGCCCGCAGAGCAGAGATACAAAGATGGCGCGCACTGTGCGGCGCTGAGATTAACGCGCTGATAGACGCGGCAGGCGCCGTCGGCTTGGCCAGGATAACTGCCAAGACCACAACGATGACACTCATACGCCGCGTTGTCCGGCTTCTATATCTGTATATCTCTTTCTTTATATATATATATATGTATATGTATATATATCTGTGTGTGGTTGTCGGTTTCTCTGTGTGTGAATCACCGTTAAGATAATGGCTGCAATTGCGGTGACCCCCAGGCGTGGTTTTCGACTTTTTTTTCGGTTTCGGTTATAAACTTTTGTTCTCTTTGTTGATTTTCTTTCTCTGTCGCCCCAGACTCCTGTGCTCTGCCTCTCTCCCTCCCCCTCTCAATCACCATCTAGCTCCCTTGAGCCTGTGTGTGTGTCTGTGCACTGCCGACAGCCATTTTAAATGGTTTTTAGCCATTAATGGTTGCCACTGCCACTGCTGCTGCTGCCGCTGATGCTGCTGCTACTAGCACTGCCACTGCTGTTGTTGTAATAACATTTTAAAATGCTTTGCTTTCGGATTTAGATTTAGTGTACGTCTCTGGCCAGTGGCTATAGCCAGAGGAGCCGAAAAGGACCTTGCTGCTAATGGACCATCGTCCACAGCCACCGATGCTATATGCCAGTTATGGGGGCGTGGCTCTTCCCAAAAAGGGACTCCCCCGCTCGAATTGAGCATTAGCCGCAGTTTTTCTAGTCTAAAATGAATTCGTAATTAGAAGCTAAAATGTATTTTTAATTAGTTCAGCACTTTTAGTAAATTCTGGTCGAGGGAAAAACATTTTACAGGGCAATGGGCTTCTGCGGGAAACTCTATACAGTTAGCTCAGTTTGGGTTTCATGAAATAAAAGTAATAATTACAGGCAATCATTAGTTTTTAGTACAAGCTGTAAAAGCTACATTTATTTGATATCCACAAAAAGGCAATTTGGCATGTGAAAAAATGTGATATCCCCAAAAAATATCACAGCCGCATAAATCAAATCTTTTTATATGCAAAACCACATGATAAAACCAAAAAATGTAATATGTTCTCCGTCTTTTCCATCTCTTGCAGCGCCGATGGCAACTATGAAGTGACAATAATGACAAAAGCAATTCTTCATCACACGGGCAAAGTGGTGTGGAAGCCACCCGCCATTTACAAATCCTTCTGCGAAATTGATGTCGAATACTTTCCCTTCGATGAGCAGACATGTTTCATGAAGTTCGGCTCCTGGACCTACGATGGTTATATGGTGAGTTGGGTGATTTGCAATGGGGGGCAAAGGCAAGGCGACGACCCAGAAAACCACCCTCTGAAAGTAGGCCCGGCAACAGCTGGTAACTCTGGCCACGAACAGATTATGCCCCAGCCCATCAATCAAAATCGAAGAAAAATAAAACCTGAAAACCAGAACGAGGCTTAGGAGGAGTCCCTCGTTTGATTCTATCTGACTGAGTGCTAATCAAACGTTGCTTTGACTCGATTAAAAAAACATTAATTTGGAAAATAAAAAACAAAATGGAAGGCAGTTAGAACTCCGCCGTTAAATGACTATTTAAACATGTTAAAATAAAATTGCCATTTTTTTTATGATTCACTCGGCTGGATTTTCATGGTTAAATATGTGTGCGCTTTTCATTTGGAATCTGCCGTTAATGTTTACTTTGTTTTTTTTTTTCATACACTTGACACGTTTCACTTGCTGTCATGTGATAAATCAAGGGGAGTCCCCATTTCCCATGCACATGCCAGTGTGTGCGTGTGTGTTTGTGTGTTCTTGTATTTGTGAGATAACAGCTGGCAGATGCGTTTAATGAACCAGCCACGCCCACGCCTTTTGCAAAAGTTTTTGCCTCGCCATTGTTAAATAAGTGGAGGAAAAACAAGGAAAACTGGAAAATACAAGGTTTCGAGGCTTTTAATACCTCGGCAAAAATATTATAAAAATTTTCTACACTTCTTAATTGATTATTGTTAACTATTTTTGGTTAAAATTCTAAGAAAACTTATCTGTAGTCCAACTGATCTGTGATACTTTGACAGTTTCTTAAACAAATATATCCTTTAAAATACTAAGAGAAAAACCATTGAAACACCTAGAAAACCATACTAAAATCTCTTTATACTTCTACTAAAATAAAGGTGTTAAATCTCTAACTTAGTAGTCATATTTATTTCAAGTGTATTGTGAAAATCCTTCGATGGCAGCACAACTGTTGCTCTCTTATACGGCGCCTCTTTCCTGTTGTTATTGTGTTCATTATGGCCAACAAAAAAAAAAAAAGAAAAAAGAAAGGAAAGAGAAAAGCAGGAAGCTGGGGGGAAAAATCGAAAAATGACAGCACATTATTCTACATATAAATTTTCGTTTTCCTCCCTTTTACGCATCACAAATTTCGAGCATGCTTCATTGACTTTCGACTTCCTTACAACTCGTATGGGATGTGGGTTTTAGGATTGCTTTTTTTCTGGCCATTTTACATTGTCAGCTCAAATGCTGGACGAGCTATTAATGACGATTGTCTCAGCCTGCTGAGAGGTTTATGTATCTCGAAAGTTTTATACAGTTTGACCAGTGGAAGTTGAGTTTTGAAAGGCAGAAATAAATTTAAGGAGGGCAATGAAGAAGGGTTGCTACGATAAATAATCGATAAGTTACAAGCAAAAGCTGTTTAAAAACAAATAATAAAGAAAAACGAGATAGAATTTTCCTTTATGTTTACTACAAAATACACTCCTAGTACAGTAAAATCACCCACTGATAAATGAGCAACAGACAACAAATGACAAATCAAGCCAAATGGAAGTGAAATAAAGGTTACAAGCGTAAATGTCATTTGCGTTTCGGAACGCACGTGAGCCGAACTTATCTCGATTCCTGCCATCTGTCGCCGAGTTAGGATCCGGAACAGGAATAGGAACCAAGCGAATCACCTGCCCACTTCCACCCACCAAACAATTCTCCGTTCAATTGACGATTGTCAAAAATTTGTCAGAAAGTACGTTTTTCCATCACCTTTGATTTTTTTTTTCTTTTACACAAACTGGCAAGAGGAAGCCGTAAGCGACACTTGGGGCAAAATGTTGCCAAAGGAGAGTCGCCTTGACGGGGGAAATGGGGAGCAACAAATCAACATAAATAGATGTATGATTGGCTGGGGTTCGTGTCGAGGTGAACAGGTGCAGCAGTTGCCAAAAGTTGCCGGCCATAAATCAGCAAGTTTAAAGAAAGCAGAAGCAGCAGCTGCTCTTTCATATTGATTATCTCGCACTCTTCCAACAATGTAATCAGTTAAAAGTTATTGGAAATTCCTAATTGATTTATCATATACATTTTCCAGGTTGACTTGAGGCACTTGAAACAGACCGCCGACTCGGACAACATTGAGGTGGGCATCGACCTTCAGGACTACTACATCTCCGTGGAATGGGACATCATGCGGGTGCCGGCAGTGCGGAATGAGAAGTTCTACAGCTGCTGTGAAGAACCATACCTGGACATCGTTTTCAATCTGACACTCCGTCGGAAGACTCTCTTCTACACGGTCAACCTGATCATTCCCTGTGTGGGTATCTCGTTCCTGTCGGTGTTGGTCTTCTACCTTCCCAGTGATTCTGGCGAGAAGATCTCACTCTGTATCAGTATCCTGCTCTCGCTCACTGTGTTCTTCCTCCTGCTGGCTGAGATCATTCCGCCCACCTCGTTGACAGTGCCGCTGCTGGGAAAGTATCTGCTCTTCACCATGATGCTGGTCACGCTCTCCGTAGTGGTCACCATTGCCGTGCTCAATGTGAACTTCAGGTGGGTTGAGTCGCTGTTCCACAGAAGTTACTAAGTTACCAATACCATATTTCATTTATACCCCTTCCAGATCACCTGTCACACATCGCATGGCGCCGTGGGTGCAACGCCTCTTTATCCAGATCCTGCCCAAGCTGCTCTGCATCGAGCGGCCCAAAAAGGAGGAACCCGAGGAGGATCAGCCGCCCGAGGTGCTCACCGATGTCTATCACCTGCCGCCGGATGTGGACAAGTTTGTCAACTACGATTCGAAGCGTTTCAGCGGCGACTACGGCATTCCAGGTATGAGTCACAATCCCAAGAAGCCGCCACAACCTTCTGCAGTAAAACAATGGTATTCCTTCTACTGGGAGCCATTCTTCGAGGAGAAACCCATAGAAAACGCAGGAAAACTTTTCACCTATTTTCCCGCTCCGCTTGATGCAAAGTTTTCTGTGTAGAACTTTGCTTCTTGGAGCTTCGTGGGCTGCATGTCCTCTCTCCTGCATCTGGGAAATTTATGAATGTTTTCAACTGGCTTTAGTGGGCACATTACCAACGGTGCATGCAGCTCTAGCAACGGGAAACTTGCAACTTGCCAGTTTATATTCCATTTTAAATATGCCCAACAACATGGCCACTTTATAATGACGCTGTGTTCGGAAGGGGAGGGCCAGGCCGGGCGATATAATTTATGACAATTAACAACTGCAACTGCAAGGACGCCGGCCAAAAGGGAAAGTTTTAGAAGTTCTGAGAAATAGGTTTCATATTATTTTGTCACCGCCAGGGGACAGCATTTAGATGACTCATTAAAGTCCAGTCAATACAAAATAAATAATAAGAATTAGTCTGTATTTTCTTTTGAAGCAAGTTAGCTCATTTCATAACGTATACGTAATATTGCGTATACGACTAGTTAAACAATTGTTTAAAGCTTACGGTGACAGAATTCAGTAATTTCTCCTTTCGAGTGGCTCTCAAAGAGCGCGAAAAAGAAAATGGAAATCCTAAAAAGAAAAGACCTGAAACTTTGAAATGGCCCAGCGAAATAAATGGAAAACAGAATGCAGAAAACTATTTATTGAGTTTCCTTATTGTATCCCCGGCCCTGAAGTCCTGCTTCTGTTGGGCCGCCCTCGAGGTTGAGGGTCCTTTGTCCACTCACTTCCTTCGGGGACATTGTGCCAAGGAGAATTGCGACGAAGACAAAGCAGAAAAGTTGCAAATTGCATTTACAACTTTATTTGCCTAATGCTGTTAATGCCGGCAAGCACTCGGAAAAAATGGGTCCCCAAATTGTGCTTTATGACTGTGTTGGCATAGGTACATTAGACAAGTTTTAGTTAGGATTATAAACTATTACTTAAAGGGTGGTTTCTTATAACGACTGTATAGTTAAGAAAGCATTTTAGGGAGCATTTTTAGATTTTCCCAAACAAATTTTTAAGTTGTCTTTTAACGTTTTCTGAAGGTTTACGGTAGATGTAACTTCAATATTTTTAAAATGAGTTTCAAAATGGTTTAATAATTTTAAAATAATTTATAAATATTTTTATACACTTTCCTCAGCACTACCCGCCTCGCACCGCTTCGATTTGGCAGCGGCGGGCGGCATCAGCGCTCATTGTTTCGCGGAACCGCCGCTGCCCTCTTCACTGCCACTGCCGGGCGCCGATGATGATCTGTTCAGCCCGTCCGGACTCAACGGAGACATCAGTCCCGGTTGCTGTCCGGCCGCTGCAGCTGCCGCTGCGGCCGCCGCCGATCTCAGTCCCACGTTCGAGAAGCCATACGCCCGGGAAATGGAGAAGACCATCGAGGGATCCCGCTTCATAGCGCAGCACGTGAAGAACAAGGATAAGTTTGAGAGTGTGAGTAGATATATTCTAGAAACTAATACTTTATATAACTAAGAACTCATTTTAAATAGACATTGTTAAATTTTTAAGTTTCCACAATAATATTCATACAAAAGGCATTTAAGTGCGGAAACAATTTAAAAACGTCATGAAAATCCTTTAAAAAACTATTTTAATGGGTATAAAATTACTTTTATAGTTTTGCAGTTTTTATGAGCTCCATTATTTGGCCATTTAATGAAAATGCGCTAATAAAGTCCAGGAAAATTTAATATTTCAAGAAAAGTAAAGAGTGAAAATGTCTGAAAAAAGAATTTAGCTTGCAGATTATTTTTTCTAGTCCTCCAAATTGGATATTTTCCGTGGCATAGCACAACCTCCAATTTGCAGTTCTCTCTTCCAACTAAAATCAAAAACCGCAATTGGTTTAGTGGCCATACCGCGTTGTAATTAATTTTCCATACTGCTAGCAAATTCTAATAATCCGTGGCCACACCTCTGTACCACTGCACCACCCACCATCGAAACTGGCTAAAACTCCCTCCGTCTATGACCAATCAGCTGCAATCATTGTCTGACAGTTGCAGCTTGTAAAAATCAGACCGAATCCAAACAGACCTGGGCCAGCATGTCTGGAACGCAATGTTTACGTCTGCTCTTGATAACCCGCATTACGGGTCCCGACATCCGGACCGTAAAAATCCTCAAACTCACCCGCCAGTAAACTAACCAGAGCAGGTTAAATCGCGTTTGCCGGGGCGTCCTCTCTAATCAAAAATCGCAAACGAGAATGGCTCTGGCGGATCCTGTTTCGGATCACGGCGGTGTCCTAGTGGTGGTGGTGGTGCTGCTGTTGCTAGTGCCAAGTGAAAGGCAATCGGTCTGTCGCCACCGTTTGGAGTTGAGTGATTGAGTTGTTTGTGCGCAAATACGAAGAGTTTGCAACATGCGGTTCCTGCACTGCAGCAGTTTGCCATTTGTCGGCGAATTTGCTGGCTGTGCAATTGGTTGTTGTGAGGGTTTTGGGTGTGTGTACATGGTGTGTGTGGGTGCCTTCGAACTGCAATCGATGTTTGCTCTGGAACATTTCAATTTAACTGGACGAAGCCCAAACCGCAAATCTGATTTGGATCTGCCAAAGCCATTTTATTAGTTTTCGACTGGCAAAATGATTAATGAAGATGGTCACTCACAGAAGTGGAAGGAATTTTAAATTGATTTTAAGAGCTAAAATAATTTGCACATTTCTACGTGTTTGTTTAACGATTTAAGCCCTAAAATGTTATAAAATACTCATCCCAACTCTTTTTACTTTACCCTTCAGGTCGAGGAGGACTGGAAGTACGTTGCCATGGTCTTGGATCGTATGTTTCTGTGGATCTTCGCGATTGCTTGCGTGGTCGGCACAGCGCTAATTATCCTGCAGGCGCCCAGCTTGTACGATCAATCGCAGCCGATTGATATACTCTACTCGAAGATTGCCAAGAAGAAGTTCGAGCTGCTCAAGATGGGCAGCGAGAACACCTTATAGCGACCACTTGGGTTCGCGGCCGGCTGGTGGAATCTAATCATCAGCTCGCTGCGGACCCTGTTCGCCGCTCGCGACGACGATCGTGGATAATATACGATGAGCCACATCATGAGTATTTCCTCGGCATTATACAACACAAATAGCAGCAGTAATAGCAACACCAGTGACAGTGGCAGTGTCATTGACAGTGTTGTAAAGGTTATTGTGAGTAGTGTTGGTAGCGCCAACGAAACGGATAACTCATGGAGCCCAGCGTAGAAGCAAACACGAGGCGAGTGAAGTGAACATTGCGAAATGAATTGAATGATACAATCGAATGGAGGGCAAGTTTATGGAGCAGTTGATCAAAATATGTAATGTAATGTAATTCGAGAGGGAGTTGGTAGTGTTGATTAACCGTGACAGTGCTGGATAGCGACGCAAGCCACAAGATCGGTGCGGAGAGCGAAGCTTAGTTAGTAAGTTTTTTGATGTACTCGATGTATGATTGTGTGGGTCGATGATGGCCCCCAGAGTATCCTTTCAGGATCCTTGGGCCAGTGTTGTATAAAGCGTATGGAGTTTTGTAAGTTATATTGTATTTTTGAGCGCCAAAAAGTTCCTTGTTACATCTTTTAGTTTTAAAGTTCCACACACAACACATACAACAACAACAACAACAAAACAAACAAAAAACAAAAAGAAACCAAAAACAAAAACAAAAAGCAAAAAAACAAATGAAAATGTTTTAAAATTGCATTTTAAATTTAAATCTGACTGTATGTGTTCAGTGCGTGAGTGTGGGTGCTTGTGTGAGAGTGTGCGTGCCAAAATATATATACATATGGAAGAGGAAATCAATTTTAATTGTTTATTTATTTGTGCATATTTTTCACATTATTTTTAGCAGAGCAAAACTAAAAAATGAAAACGAAAACAAGAAGAAATTGCGCCCACGCTAAATGGGCAAAATTCAATTGCATAAAATTCCAATCTATTTTTAGCATAAATAAGTAAAATTAATACGATAAACTACATTTAATTAGCCAATAAGTCGTAACTAGTGGTAGCTAAGCAAATCTAGTATTGAATTAAATTTAATATTAAACAAAACAAAAAAACAAACACGAAGCCCGACTAATCGGTTCGTAGGAAGCGCGAAATTCTGAAATAAATTTAGTTAAATGTTAATACAAGCGAGTCGTCGTCACATTTTTAAAGCCACACATTTTTACTAACCACACACACACACACAGGCAACAAAACACACACACACATTAACACATATATTATATCGTGCAAGAATACATATAAATATATATATATATATATATAGAGTACGTATACGTATTTATAGGATTGCAGCTAGTCAAATCACATAACAACGGAAACACAAAACAATTTCAATTACCAAACACGCAACCGAGCAGACGGAGCAGATAGGGAAGGTTGAAAAAGAAGTAACAATGACTAAAAGCGAATTGCTATTTGGCCAGCACTTTGTCTAGTTTTCAAGCAATTTTAATCGATTAAATTATTGCGTATAATACGAATTTCATTACGACTCAGCAGCTCGCAGTCATGGGTCTTTGATTGTTCTCCTACAACCATTTTCCCATTTTCCAGATGTTTATTTTAGCAGCTCCTTTCTCCGACTCTCTCGCTTTCTCTCTTAAAAGCCGCTGTTTTTTAGTTTTCCCTGCACTCATTATGCATTCATCGGAGCATACGGAGCGTTCAGAAACCTTTGGCAAGTTCAATTTAAAATAAAACTTTTTAATTACTTTCAACGGGCCACGCGAGTGCTGTTCTGAGTTCTGAGTTTTCTGGGCTCTGAGGTCTGGGCTCTGGTTTGTGCTTTCTGCTCTTGGGTTTCTGGTTTCTGGTCTCTGGTTCCTGGCCATTCCAATAGCCTCGGTCGAGTGCCACACAGAAAACACCTTCAATTTAAATGCCAAAGCTAACGAAACTTGCCACAAGGTTGACTGCCGCCACGCCCATTCGCCCTCACATTTCTGCCTTTGCATTTTTAATTGATTTTGCAAAAGTTTCTGCCGCTGCCGCTGCCTCTGCCGAGCAACAAGAAGAACAGTAAACATTAAGCAAATGCAAAAAGCCACGGCGGTGCGAAAACGGGGCGGCGGCGTTGTTGGGAAACGAGGGCGTGGCGGCGCCACAAGGCATGCAACAAATTAAGTGCGGAATGCAATTTGCCATTCTATGTGGGCATAAAGAGGAAGGCATGCATGTGTGCAGTTAATAAAAAGTCAAGAGTAAACAAATACTCACACGCTTAAGATTGAAAAAAGGCAGGCAGAGAAAAATGAGCACCTTAAATTCTCAATTTAAAATATTCTAAGAATTTAACATTAAAGAACTTATTATTAATTTAATTATTTTCAGTCAAAATATCAATGTATAGTTATTAAAATAATTGTCAGAATAGTTCCGCAATTTTCTTTCCCCTTTTCTCTCCGTGTACCCACTGTACAGTAACAATAACTTGGCAAGCATAAGTGAAATCTGTAGAAACTATTAGCAAAGAATGTCGCGACAAACGACAAACGACAGACGACAACGGCAACGGCAACCCTGAGCAGCACTCTGGCAGGGTTGTCAAGCGGTCTGAGTGTTGCCCATTGTTGCCAAACAGGCTGAATGTTGCTGATTCTGTTGCTACTGGAAAAGACATTGTGCGTGCGAACCGGCAAAAGTTTAATTAAAATTCCTAATCGAAAATATTCAACATTTGCGAGAGTGTGAATTAATTAAAATAGTTTTCCAAGCCAACGATTGTGGCACAGTTTAAGCACACAGAAAAAGCCGAAGAGAAAATGCAGCGGTGGCAGAGAGAAAGAGAGAGAGAGAGAGAGAGAAAGAGGTCAGAAAATGATATATATTATTTCGTATTTGTTTTGGCGAAAATTCTTCGCTTGAAAATTTAAAACTATTTGTTATTCAATATGAGACTAAGCATGGCCAAACTTAAAATTTTCTTTTATAAAAAACTATTTTCCCCTGATGCACACCACATAGACACACACAAACACAGTCACACGATAGCTAAGAATAAAGAAGAGGAAATTTAAACAGGAAAATCTAAATAGCGAATGCCATTTTGGGTGTATTAAAATGTAAAGTGCATAAAAATCAACAGTTAACATTTTTTAAATATTTAGCTATTAAACTAAACGTAATCTAAAGCCTATGAAATAAACGTCGGAATATCATAAATCAAGTAATTAAATGCAAGTGCGAGGACTAAAATTAGAGCGAAAATTTCAATTTAAACGATTTAATGAACAATGCAAAAAGCAGCAACAAAATTCACACAAATCCATTACACACACACACACACACAGGAAATATAATTGTGCATCATATATATATATATTGAAAGTATTAAACTGAGCTTATAAAATTTAAACAAAGAATAAATAACACTCACACACAAAGTTGCTAACTAAAAAAAAGGAGAAAAACCGCGAAAACTATTTGACAACATTCACGACTTCCGTTTTGAAATGCATAAAATAAAAAAGTCTGAAAACAAAAAGGAAATATATATACAACAAAAATATGTATAAATACATAGAATATGGAACACCACACTGACACCTTTTTAAATGCAAAATCGAATAGCCACGGACCCAAGGCAAATACACAAAAAACTGATGGCAACAAATTGTTCACAGAGGACAAAATTCAATTCCACAAAAAGTCTAAAAAAAAAGCAAACCGGAATATTAAAAAATACTGAAAATTTATATTTTGTATCATAACACAGGCAGCTCTTAGTTTTGGGTTTTATTTTAGGTCTAATTGAAACTTCAAACTCATAGCCAAGCAAATATCAGCCGTTTTTGGTGTGAACTGTAAATATTAAAAAATATTTATATTAACAATTTGCTTAAGCTTAACAGTGTGTTTATTTAATAGGGAGTTTTTTCAATTATTTAAATGTGCTCATATAAGTTTTTGTTAATTGTTGAATCAACTATTTTAACGTAAGCTTCTTAATTTAAAACTATTTTGTACAAACTTCCAGCTTAACGAGTCTTCTGTTATAGTTTTAGACAATCAACTATTAAAAAATATATTTAAAGGCAGCAAAGCGAAATGAAAACAAAGAACTAATGACAAGTAAATGGCGTAACTTTTCTGTGAATAAAAAAAACTAAAGAAATCCCTATAAAACATTAATGCATATTTAAACTTAATCTCACTATGGGAAATCCAAAAAAAAGCAAGAAATATGCAAGAAGCGAGAAGAACAATTAGACAAAGTTCATTTCAACAAAAACCATTTTTGTAAATTGTTTCACTTGGGAAATCGACACGCTAAAGCAAAAACTAAATGAATAGAGAAATAAATGAAAACTCGTTTTACCAAATAATGCAAGACACAAGGAGGAAAAAGGAAGACACTCGAGTTACGGAAATCGAATTAACGTCAAATACATAGAAGTGTATATGCTCTCATTGGTTGTGTTTTTAGGTTATAAACAAATAGGTTTGGCTCTGTGTGGGTGTGTGGGAGCGTGGGTATGCCGGTCCTTCGATCAGTACACACACACATGCACACACACTCCGCCCGAACAGCAAACAAACAGACAAACAATCGTTCATTCAATCACTCAATCAGTCGGTCTGTCGCTCGGACCTATAGTTGTACAGTTCATTTCAACATTGATTCATAAAAAAATATCTTAACGAATAAATTAAATTAAATTTAGCAATCGAGAAGCGCTGGAAATCACGCTAATCTGTATATTATATATGCTAGTAATGTCAAACATTTTGAATTTGCCTTTTCGAATCGATTCTGTTGAAGTTTTTCTTAGGTTTCTAGCTAAATGTTTAGTGTGCTTGATATACAAACTAAAGACAAGGTTAAGCAACTTATTTAGGTTATCGGAAAGATGAAGAAACCATGTAATTTAAATACTGCCACAAATAAGACGAAATGAAATGCAAATAGAACATATAGGAAATATACACACATATATATATGTATGTATCATCTATATATGATACGAGTACGAGTATTATGTTATACGATACGAACTAGTTAAGATCAAAAACAATTTTCGGAGTGTGTTCGAAATGAAAATGAAAATGGAAATGAAAGCGAAGGCGAATAACGGCCACTCAATCTAGTCACTTAAGGTTTGATCTTGCAGATCGGGGCTCGAAGTTAACATTGAAGCTAAGTACTAACTATTTAGGCAAGTTACAAAATAACTATAACTCTGTATATAACTAATGTAACCACCACAAAACCAACACACACACACACACACAGCAATGCATGCGACACAAGAGGCACACAGTTGAGGCAGTTCATACCTGTATATATAAATCTAAATATATATATATATATATATATATATTGTGAGGCAACCGCCGATCCATCACTGATCGATCATTCAGCAAGCGAAAAGAATTTATTTCCAGTACAATTCATTTCCCGATTACAGTTACAAAAGACAACGAACTTGTGTAATCACAAAAATCTTAGATAAAGCACAGGAAAACACTTGAGGAAATTGGCAGAGAAAATCAACGGTTGTCGTGAGAAATGCCCTTAGATGATGTCTTAGGAGAGTTGGAAAGTTGAGTAGCTAAAAATCACAAGAAGAGATTTGAAATCTCCTAAAAGGATGTTTGTATCTTTTCAAGAGATTTCAAATCGCTTTGCTTTCTTTATCAATAAGGGCATTCATTTAAGGCTAAAACGTGTTTCATTTTAGCAAAAACCAGAACAATTTTAAGGCCACTCACACTTAGCACTAACAAAAAATCATAATTAGTTAAAATGCGAAATAGTTATTAAACAAAATATATTAAAAAAAAAAAAAAATCGAGCAAAATGAAATAACTGATGCAAAAATAATTACGATGTAAACAGGAAATTCGAGGTATTTGATAAATATGCGGCTTGACCCTGAGATTCAAAAAACATAAAATCGTATGTCTTCCAATCAAAGGTCGTCTTTTGTAGCAAACACAACAAGAATCAAAGTCTGCGTATTGCTAAAGAAAAACAAACAAATAAACAAAAACAAGCTAATTGGAAGCAACTGTTGAGCTGATTAATGCAGAAATGCACAAAATATTTAAACAGCAAATAGAAACGAACACACACAACACACACACACAAACACTCTGCACTGCAAACTCGATTAGCGAAAAATCATTCCTTAAGGATTAATAAGAAAATCAAAAAGTATTCCACAGTCAACATGTACCATTCCTCACGCTCTCGCTCTCTCTCTCTCACTTGAACTCTAACCCATTTCGGTTCCCAGCAACTAATCAAGTACCTGACAATAGATGAACTACACTTTTCCAGAATTTCTAAGCACATCAAATCAATCCACTCAAAGCTCGTCTTGTACATACAGTTGCCGAATGTCTAATTCAATTTGGCTAACCAATTTCCATAAAGCTGTTGGCCAGAAGCGGGGCAAATCAAAAAAAAAAAACAAAACAAAACTCATAAATTAATTCATTAAAAACGGTTTCAATGACAGCTAGAAAATTTAGACACTGACACGAACGAACACATTTCAGAGCAATTAGCATTTTCCCCATGATTTATGTCAGCCATGCAAATAAACGAATTTGATATGCTTTCTTGTTTATGTACAAATGAAAAACCACAAAACTTTTGTAAAATATTTCCACAGAGTAAAGGCAATCAGTTAATTTTAGGACCTTGCTTTTCACATTTTCTGTATTATATGAGCTAAATAGCTAGGTATGCCTAAAAGTAGGCAATGATTTTAGGTGATTTCTAGCTATTTCTGTTATAAACTCGTATAACAAAAAGAGATGAACATTTTTGGGAGTTTTTCAAATCGTTGACATCAAAAATTCGCAGTTTTGCAAGCAGCACCAAACACACAAACAGCCTTAAGCTAAACACACTCACACACACACACACACACTGATCCACGAATATAGCCGAATATTTAATGCTTGTATGTATGTGTTTCATATGAATTAGATGTGTGAATGGCATTGCATGTGTGTGTGTGCGCTAGACAAAAGCCAAAATCAAATGTGTAAATTCATAAATACTAAAAATCCCTCGAGTATATAAGGCATATACTAACTATATATATATTTGAAGGTATATATGGTAATTAGAGGTATACATTATGCATATACACCTGTATGAATATTTTTTGTATTAACTGTTAGGTGCCGTTAGATTTAAGTGCTTCCGTTGCAAGTTTTTGTGTGTACATTTTCTTTCCATTCGTTAACGATCAAGATCAAGAAAACAAGAAAAAAAAAGGAAAAATCAATTTTAGCGTCAAGATTTTTAACTCAAAAAAAAATCAAAGAAAATGGCAAATCTTAAAGTCTTGCAACTCACTGGGGAAAACAACACCACGAATATTAAAGTTAAAGGTAAAACGCCCACGGGCTAAACTAAACGACAATTTGCTCAACAAAAAAAAAAAACAAACAAAAAAAACAAAAGTGAAAAACTAAAACCAAAAATATATTAATATTAAATATACATACATATACGCAGTAAACTAAAAGCCAGATTATAAATACAAGTATGGAATAAACATTTAGTTAGGCGTCTCGAACGCTCACTAAAAATTCTACACAAAACAAATCAATTTTGACTAAATTGAAAATTTAGTTAAATGGAATCGCATAACGTAAGTAAGCTAAGTAACGATAATCCATAAACGATTTATGTAAAATACTTGCAACTAAGACTAGGCTAAGCTAAATTTGACACTGCAAAATCAAAGCAAGATCAGTAACAAGCAAAACTAAAATTAATACAAAAAGGAAAAACTTCAAGGTAAAGTGGAAGTGGAAAATTTGTGCATCAGTAATTCAGATAAATGTGACACAATACTTAAACTTAAACGGAAAAGAGTTGCATTTACATTTCACATAACAAATACATGCGTAAATATATATATAATTACTATATATATTAAATATATATATATATATATTCGAAACTCTCTTGAACAACAAAAAAAAACCGACAAAACATATTACATAACGAACCGAAACTAAAAATAAATTACACACTCACGCGCAGCCAGCAAGCAAACAATTGAACATTGCAAATTGATCACAAATTACAAGATCATACAAAAATTAAAAATAAAAAACTTAACAAAAAAAATTAACAAAATCGATAGAAGAAAAATAAAAAAATATGTTGACTAACACAACAATATAAAAAATGAAGAAATGCATTAACAACCTAAATGTAAGACACTAAATAACGAACTTAAGCTAAACGCAAAAACAAATTGAAATAATAGCAACAATTGCGACAAAATAACACTAAAATTGAAAACAATTAAAAAAACGACAACACATTAAAAGAAAACAATTACTATATAAATAAATGTTACGCGTTATTAAATAAAGATGAATGAAAATAATTTGTTTTAAAAAAAACCAAAGTTGTGTTTTATTTTTGAAGGGTTTTTGGTGGGAAATGGGAATCCTTACAGGAAACCTATCCAAGTTAAGAGGTTCTGTTAAATAAAAAATAGTTTTAATGCCATTTTAAATCCATATTTTATATTGTTTTTAAGTTGTCAAAAAAATTTTTTTTCACATATAATTAAAAGCACTAATCTTGGTGGTGGTGGCTGCCATATATTTTCCCAAAGCCAAGGCCAGCAGTGAGAACTGGCATCCCGGATAGATTTCATGGCACTCCCCTGAGTTCCTCTTGGATCTGCGGTAGATGCGATCGTACCGATGATGTTCCTGGGGCTCGTGGGCATCTACAGGTGAAGGGGGCAGGCTAAAGACCGTTCTGACCAACTCCTGCAACATGTTACCCTTCTTCTCCGCCGGCAGCATGAACTTGGCACTCTCGCAAAGAGCTCGAGCCACACAGGAACGGCCATTAAAACCCATGCTGAAGTAATAACAAAAATCAACATAAATAAAATAAAAATTATGAGAAAAAACATACATTGAATATAAATTAAAAAACTAACAAACTACTCACTTGTCAAAAATAGACTGCACTTCATCGTAAAAAGCTCTTCGAGAGCGTCGTTTAATGGTGTCCTTGGCCAGAGTGGCGTTCAAGCCATGGGCATGTTGGATGACCCACTGGTGGTTGGGTAGATCGTAGGCCACGCCCCAGTTGACTGCCCAACTGAGATAGTCGACATCGGGATTGCCAATCATGCCGATCGTCATGCATATGGCTCCCTAAAGGATAAGCACCATCATTAGAACCATACTGGTCACTGACCACTAGGCTGGCTATTAACACACTCACACCGAAACCGACGAACCCTCCGGAAATGCCAGATAACGCTTGTGCCGGCGTAGAATTTTTGTCACCGCCTGTGTGGTGGCGTTTGCATCTGGTGACATGGAAAGCACCTGGGATTGCACCACTTGCCCCAGGAGGCAGAGAGCCAGCAGATTGAAGTGGCAAGTCGGTGAGAGCCTCATACTGTCAGTGGAAGGTTCCGTTGATAACTGAACTCTCGGCCTGGCCTAAAAACCTGGACCACCGAACCATCCGCTTTTCGCGGCTTATTAGCCCAAGTGCTATGTTGATTGCACTGATTAGCGGCTGGCTGCAAAGTCTGCTTTTATCAAGTACCCATTGTTGTTGGTTCCCCCTTCTCTTTGGGATTGGAATGGAATCTCCAACTCCTCCTTCTACACTTCCACCATTTGGCCATCGGTTGTCAACACGGCCAACACTGATTGCTGCAGCATGTAAATTTCTGTCAACAGTGGGAAATACACTTGTTTTGTTTCCACTTCCACTCCAATTGTCAGCATTGTGAAGCGAAAAACAAACAGCACAAATTATGGAATTGGCAGCTCAGATCCCTGGAGAGAGAGTTGCATTCACGATTGGGATCCATCAATATGTCCCATACCCTACACCCTAATTGAAAATGCATTTATGTCACCATAGCTTGTCGTTATTTACTGTTTGAGGTGCCATAATAATACTCATTTTTTCTACATTTACCTATAACAACAATAGAACTGACATGCGCTTCACTTTTTATCGAAGCGCACTGAAAAATGGCCCAAAAAATGGTCAATAAAAATGTCGATGTACGAGTATTTACTTAATTTCCATTCAACTTTTTGCTTGACGCACAGTAAAATACATTTTTTACTCATCAATTTATGCACTCATTTTTTGTTTGTATTTGTTGTTTGAATTGTGAAAATATTACAGAATTTGCAAAAGCTTAATGCATGGACAGTATCGATTTTTTAGCAATGTTGCCAGTTTCTATTAGCCTCGGAAATAAAGGTGCAAATTTGGGGAACAGGAGGTGTGATACTTTTTTATAGTTTCATCTTAACTTTCGCGGTTTTTAAATACTTTTGGCAATTAAGCTTTACAAATTTATTAAATTAACATGCATGTCTTACTATGTCTTATTTGCTTTAATAAATAGAATTTAAAGACTAATTTATGAATCAAAAATCAATTAAAATTCCAATCAATATTAACATGCCACCCAAACCTACTGCAAAATGTTTGGTTTTGTATCGTTTTAATATACTTTTTAATTATTTAAAATGCATACCAATTAAAACCAAAAACTGCATTATTCGCAGGAATTCCAAAAATCCAAACGTGAAGAACTCAGCAGATTTTTAAGATTTTCTTTATTACAATTAAATTGAGCATACATCACAATCCATTAACTTTATATAGGGTGTCATAGCAGTTAGCTGGCGCCTTTCTGGCCGACATTGCAGTTCGATAAATTCATTGGCGGGTTTTCCTTATTTTTCACTTTTATTTAATCAACGTACGTATTTCGCCTGAAACTGTTCACTGATGACCAGCAAAAAACTTTGCCGGCAATGCGGACCGTACAGACTGGCGCATTCGTGAAGCGAGTGGCCGGCGGTGAAGGCCTCCCGATACTTGGGTTTATGGGCTATCTCCGGATGCACGTAGCGCAGCATGATGCGGAAGATATCGTGGAAGAGCGTTAAGCCCGGCGGAGCCAGCAGATGACGTGCCTCGCACAGGGACCGCATGATGCAGTAATTCGGCTGGTAATTAAACCTGCATGGGGAAAAGCCAGTTGAGGGTGCGTAACTTTAACAAATTGCATTGCTTAAAATCTCTAATATCTTAGGAGCTTTAAAGTGAGTCATTATGGTCATTAAGGACTGTACTTCAGGGAGCTCATCCTAATCTACTTTGGCAGTTCAGGGGGATAGTTGGGATCTCTTTTGGTGACTTACATGGTGGCCATCATGGCTATGATATCGAAGAGCATGTGGTTCGGATTCTGTGCATCGTTGAATATCGTGCTTCCCTGACTCTCTAATTCGCGCCTCAGCCTGCGGGACACGGCAGAGGGTCGACAATAGTAGGTTCCATACGTATCTTTGACCAAGTGCGAGGCCGGACATCCCAGCTGCTTCTGTTGCACATACGACTTGCGACGATTCAAAATGGGAATGCCTTGTGGGTAGGCAAAGTAGAAAGACTGTATGGGATCCGCGGGATTGAGGGGTACGATAACGGGCTGTGGTTGCAACGCAATTGGTGCTTCAGGAGAAACTGGTAGTATAAATGGCATCGCCGGTGCTGGGGGAGAGGCTGGTGGTGGCGGTGGTGGTGGTGGTGGCGGAGGCGGTGGTGGTGGCGGTGGTGTTGCGATTGGTCTCACTAGTGGTTTACCTCTTTGTCGTGGAATCCAATCTTCAATGGCAGCTGGAAGCTCATAAAGAGCCGTCATCTCGCCAAAAGTAATTAGACCTGTGGGAATGGTGCCTAAAATAGCCTTGGCAAAGTTGGAAGTAAGCTGTGTCCAGGCAGGATTACAGATGATTAATTAGCAATAATTTATAATTGACTTAATAAGTTAATATTTAGTCAACGCCAAACTCACCGTAAGAGCAGATCCCAGTTCGAAGGTAAGCCAGCGTTTCTGGCGATAGAGTAAATGGATATTCTGGTGCATATAGGTCACACCTCTACTCCCAGATTGCAAATTGGCTTTCAGGGAAGCCGTTTCATTGCCAGCCGAAGACAAGGCCACAGAAATGGCCAACAAGACCAGTCTGAACCAAATTAAGTTTGCCATGGCGATGCCAGCGAAGAACTAAACAACCAGGCAGCCGCCAGATCGACAGTTAACTCCAGATCGAACCAGGGGCCATGTTCCCAAAGCCATACGCGTGGCTCTTTAATTTGGTTTGGAGCGTGTCTTGACCGCTTTGCAAGCAACTATTTGGCCAAGAGATTAGTCCGAAAGGGGTCACTTGGCCGGGGCTCTAATTCAATTAACAAGTTACCATTTTGATAGAACGCTAAGACAAAAAGATGAACGAAATATGTTTAGAAATCAAGGGCCGAATCAGTTCAAAATATGTCTACAACTTGGCTGACACTATTGGCGCTCACGGCATGGCTCTTGGTCGATTGCCAGGGCACAACGTTGGATGAATTTGGTCCGCCGGCGACGACGAGTCACGAAGTTGGTAAAGTCAACAATGTCACGCTGACTCCGCCAGGACTCGTTGCACAGGGAAAAGAGGACTTCGACCGGGACTTGGACCCGGACCCACTGACACCACATGCGGCCCCATCGTCGCAGCGGAAACTCTCGAGAGGCAAGCGTTTTGTGGCCTTTCCCCAGGGTTCATCAGCTTCGGTGAGTCAACGAACCCTCGAACAATGGGGCAACATGCCGTCCCTTTGCACTAAACAAAATTACTGAATGTTTCCTCTGTGGTTTAGTGTTTAGATTTCTATACAAAAGTTTGTGACTTAAACAAAAATAATTAAGAATATTAATACTATTGGAGTGTTTAGAAATTTATCTTTGAAATTACAAAACAAAATCCAAATATTTTATTACTGTGTTCCAGGGCGCTGTCTGCCTGACCACCGGTGTCATCGGCAACCCCAACCTGCTGTATCTCAGTTTGGGCATCAATTGGGGTGTTGCCTACGACTTGCCCAATATCACCTGGGTGCTGCAGAATGCCCACGGCTGGACCACAAAGAAGTCGGCCAAGGCTCAAATCAAGCGCAGACATCGACGGGAGCTCTATGGCCGCCTGGAGACAATGATAGACAGGTGAGTGGGTCGGCATTCATGGGTCAAAGGCATTTGACCATCTCTCTTTCTCTCTCTCAAGTCCATTTGTGTGTGAAAATATGGCTAAAGTTGAGAACTGAGATTTTATCATGGGATAAAACTATTCCAAAGGCTCCAAGGCAGACAAAAGAATATTTAAAATGCTTTGTATCCCCATGGTTTAGGTTTTACTCAAGTGTATAAAGTAGGCTTTAAGCTTTGCCTTTCGCTAAACAATTGTTCAATTTATAAAGAACAAAAAAGTTTGTTTTATAAACGCAAGACAAACTTTGAATATATGCATTGGAAAGTAGTTGACATAGCTTTATGTTTGAATAACATATAATAAATGTGAATTTTTAATGTATTTAGTTAACAAAATCTTAATCTAGCTCACAACGTATCACAAAGTAAAAGCTTCTCTTAATACATAAATTAAATAATATTTATTTAGCAAACATCTCAATCAATCTTTATGGCCTAACAACATAATTAAGAAACGTAAATCATAATATTTCGAGTCTTAAATTACTCGCATAAATTCTCGCTGATTTATGACCTTTAATCAAGGCTTTTTATTTTCGAATCGCACTGTACAAAGCGGCATAAGTATGCCAGCCCACTCATATGTAGATACTTTACATGGTTCAAGTGGCTGGTAACCCCCACTCCCGCTCGGCTCATCGCGATGTTTCTTGCTGCTGCCAAAATCAGCCAAGCCACTTGGCTTATCACGCACAGTGCGGACAAAAAGAAAACTTCGCACCCAAAGTGGTCGTTGTCCCTACCAGAGACACGCCCACCACCCACATAACCGTCCCTGCTACTCGGGGATGCGTGCTCATGGCATAATAATAAAATGTTGGTATTTTATATTAGCATTTAAATTGGCTTTTTGTATGCTTCGGAAATAGTTTAATATCCGTAGAGGACGAGTCTCAGTCGGAGAGTGTCTGCGGTTCGGCAACTTTAACTTGAAGGCAATGCGAAAAATGCATAACAAATTAGGCCGTAATTGGGGAGAGTTATGTGACGGGTGTGTGGCGTTAAACTATCTGCAATCTGTAAAATGTCTTATCAACGATCCGCACACACACAGGCCAACTAACACGCATCCTTAGATTGAGGAATACGGTGACGGGCGTTGTCATGGTAATCAAAGGACTTGGGCTCCCTTTTGTCGATTCGAGTTTCTGCCTCAATTCCAGAGAACCCGGCTAAGCTTCAAGTGGTCGTCAAAAAGTTACCATATTTGTCCTTCGACCGGCTTTTCCTTTTCAGCCATCTGCCATGGATTTTCCCCTGGCTTTGACCTTAGCTTCACGTGTCGGAAAATTCGGTGTCTTGTTGTGTATATTGTATGTGTGTGTGTGTATGTGTGGGCTTCTTGTCTTGTGTTTCATGATTGTTTTCCCTCGATTGGTTTCGCTTTTCGATTGTCTGTTTTGCTTAGCGTCCCACAATTGATGCCCGGCAATTTTGCCCCTGACTTTTAGCATTGGCTCTTCTGGTTTACGACCGCTACTCCCTCTAATGGGTCAGCTAAGCGCCTTCCCTGGCCTCAATTGCCTCTATCCGATATGTCGGGGTACTATGTAGGTAGGTGGATATATCCATACATATAGTATACATATGTGGCAGTGGCATGTGGCAGTGGGTGTCCTTGTGTATGCGATGTATGCCCTATGGGGTTAATGAAGTTGTTTGTTTGTTTGTTTGTTCGCCTGTCTCCCAGGCCACAGTATTCAAGTTGACAGTTTCCGCTGTCAATGGTGCACGAACTGAAAGGGGGAGGGGCGACTAAAAAGTTAAATATCCCCTGGAAATTATATTATGCGCTTTGCAACTCCTTCAGGCAGTTCATTATGCGGCAAGCCTTGCGGTGAAAGTTATTAAATAAATGGAAAATCTTCTACTAAAATAAAGATGGTTTTGCCTGAAGATACATTTAAAACTTTTGATTCTTTCCTTCACCTTTCTCCATCTGCAACCTACAAATGAAAGATAGTTACCCATACTAGTTGTAGTATCTCTTAGGGATTAGGTAAAACTATAGCCATTCGAAACCCGTTTCAGAAAGGCCTTTCACAACCCAATCACTTGAGGTGTGAACTAATATTGCCATGCATTTTCGCTGTGCAGCAGAGTTGGCAAATATGAACGCCATTGCCGTCCAGCCCATCGATCTCTGTCATCGCATCTTTGACTTTGCCCATGCAGTTCGACCTTTCCCATGGCATCGACAGGTGGAGATGGAGATAGAAAGGCAAGCGGAGATGGGTATGGGGGATGTTGCAAGTGTCGGCACAGGCAATTCAATTAAGTTGCAACGCCTGTCTGGATGGTTCCCCCTGCCCTCTTACACGTCGACCTTTTGGGCCGGTGCCATGTTTATTGTAAACGTGACTGCTGCAAGTGTCTGAAGAGCATTCTAAACGTTAACGGACAATTGACACATTTGCACTTTGGCAATTTTCCTTTTGGCCCACACAGCCCATCCATTTCATTGTCTTCGGCACAAGAAGACAGCGTGAGAGAGGGAGTTTCCGCTGCAGTTTTCCACTGTTGTTTGCAGTTTTCAGTCGCCTGCGAGAGTGGCACGTGCCACGTTGCTTTCTGCCATGATTTACGCGCACTTCGTATTGTTTAATTATCGTTTAATTGTTGCAAAGTTTTTGATTTACGATTTAATTGCAACGACAAATGCAACGCCCTCCTTTGGTGTCGTCACTGGCGCTCCCTCGCTTTTACCGGGTAATGTCAGCCATGATTTATGGTCGCCACCAACATTGATGACTATGATGGAACGTGCAGACGACGCCTCCACTTCATCCACATCATCCGCTTCCTCATCCGAATCTCTGGTTACATCCTCGCAGCTGTTGCACCACCAAAACCAGTGGCCCCAGCGAGTGCTCAGTCGTCCGAAGCGTTATCTCAGCTTCCCCGAGGGCTCCTCGTTTTCCGTATGTGCTCAGTCCCGAATCCATCCTCTAGAGAGTCCTTTTTTGTCACCGTGTCCTTGGTCAGGTTGCTGTCTGCTTCACCGTGGGCATCATTGGCAATCCATATTATGGCTACAACAGTTTCGGCCTGAATTGGGGTGTGGCCTACGACCTGCCCAATACTACATGGGTACTTCAGAGTTTGCACGGATTTGCCACCCATCCTGTGGCACCTGCAGTCCTGCGAAGGAGATCTAGGAGTGCCATCTACCAAAAGATTGAGAGCATTGTTGATAAGTAAGGATCGGTTGGTTAAAACATTACTAAAACTTAATTAGAAGAAAACGGGCAAAGTTTGATTATGAAAAATACCTTCCAAGTTAAAGTTATTAAGATAGTTGGTAGATAAGTTAAGTGCCTTATTTATGAAACTTTTAAGTTTATATTTTCTGGAGTAACTAACTGGATTTTGTCTTAGTATGGGCTATAATGGACGTGACTGCATTTTAAGAACCCTCTGCGAGAGTCGTCAGTATTTCCAGCGCACCAAGATGAGCATGGTGGGAGAGATGCTTCGCACCATATTCAGGTGAGCTACAAGAAACCTTAAAATTATTAAATTATTAAAAAATCATATAATTATACTTTCCTTATATGTACAGCCTGCCGAAACAAAGAATTTTCACCCGAGAACTGCATGAAAACTCGGACATCGTCCACTACGACCAAGCCTATCGGAATGCCCACAACGACGATTGCACTCAGTACAACTGCCACTTTTCTCTGCTGGAACTGGCCTTTGGAAAATACACCACACCACCGAAAAATTATTACGCTTAATAAATTCCCAATACTTAAAAGTTTTTCGCATCAAATTCTTTTTAAATGTCAACTTTGTCCACCTCCATTTCTCCGATGAGGAGGGGACAAAGACCGTTGGGCGAGGCCAAAGGGCACTTGTTGAGCCAGGTTAAAAAATGACACTTCATATATCTTCTGCCCAGCTGCAAGTTGGCATCCACCCGCAACCGAGTGGAATTGATGGTGTCTGTGAGCCGACTCCGGCTGACTGATGTGGAAGTCGGTCTCCTGACACCTTCTGGCCCATCATTATCATCCTGCCCGTGGTAAACGAACCTCAATTGCAGCCAAATAAAAATACATTGGCCAAACTTCTTCTTTGGCTTATTCTTATTATTGCTGTCCTGGAAAAACTGAAATCAATCAAGACAGAAGTTGGCATTGTCTTAGACTGTAAGTGAAATTTAAGTGACAGCCTGAAATATTTATGACTATTGGCCAAGAACAGCAATCATTTGAGGCGTCAGAAATATGAAAAGCTATACATTTACATTGTCAAGAAAGAAAGAGGCTAGTAACCAAAAGTTTTTGTAGGTATTTAAGGAAATTTTATAAATTTTCAAAGGTATTTTGATTTGAAATCTCACTCGTCTTAAAGCTTGACCATCTATAATTTATAATAATATCTTCAATGACCCAAAAAAATAGGTATTTATTAACAACTGCTAAACAAAGAAGACCCACCACATCCCTGCAACAAATACATTCCCATCTCCAGGTGTTAGCACCTCATCCGTATGGCTCCGCTGGCCCCATTTACAATGGTAAACGGGGAAATTGTGGATGTCAACAAGAGTTCAGTGGCAGAAGCAGCTCAGTGAAAGATGGAGAGAAAAGTGTTAACAAGTAAATGTCATGTCCAGAACTAGAATACCAGAGCAGGACGGGAACCGTTCTGACGGCCTGATGGTCTGGTGGCAATGGCCAAGACACGAGTTGTCACCGAACCACACAGAGCAATAAATAAATAAGCAACGCCAGCAGTAACAACAAAGCATCATGAAGAAATTCTTTGTTTGTTTGTTTGCTTTCCTTTTTGGCTCTCGTATTTATGTCAGCCAGATTAAATGTATATCCGAGCTTATATCAGTAGCCAAGGGAAACTGGAACTGGACACAAGCGAATCTCGTCGAACCATGTGAGAGAGCCAATTATACTGAAAAAATACCAAGAACTGAAGTAGTTTCGGCGTTAAACGCACAGCAGCAGCAGCAGCAGTTGAAAGTATTAATTAGTGGACATTTGGAAATACAGCAACATGACTCACCTGTCAGCGATGGTGTTGCTGATGTTGCAATTGGTTCAGGTGGCGCCCATCCTGTCAACCACTCCACCCGTCACTCTGCCTCATTCCGTTGACAATTTCGATGGGCAAATCAGCAGCACCCAGTCCAAACACTCTGACATTCCCCCAGTCGAAAGTCTCTCGACCAACTATGGCCCCAATTCCGACTACGATGCCACACCCAACAATGCCACTAGGATTCTGCGGCGGGGCAAGCGTTATCTGCAATACCCCAAAGGATCACGTATGTCGGTGCGTATAGTATACACTTTTAATTGGGTCCCAATCACTAGTCCTTCGACTCCCTGCAGTGGCGTACCAATGGCAAGAACAATCTCTGGTCAATTAACTCCTTGTACGCCTACGGCTATGGCTTTCGCGCCAATTATCCCTTCCCGTCCATTGAGGAGCAGCAGAAGGATAATGCCGTCTTCTTTCGGTTGTTCAAGAGGGACCTCTTTTCAAAAATGGAAACTGCTCTGGATGGGTAAGTTATCATAGAAAAGTTAAAATATTCAAATCACTTTTTACTCCGATCTCAGAAAGGTATTCAAATTTTTCACCCCACTTTGATAACTTGGTCTATATTTTTAATAAATTTCACTAGAAGACTTCACCATGAACTTCTGCAATTGCTAATCCATTACTATTATTATTTATTTCCCCCTAAAGACATGGCTTTGATGGTCGCGCGTGCATGCTAAAAACATTTTGCACTACCCTGAAGGACGTGGATAATCCCAATCAAAAAAGTGGAATGCTCTTTAAAGTGCTGAAGTTGGTATTCAGGTGAGTCGATCACATACTCCATTTTCCAGGTTAAGTAGAGCAAGTTCTTTCATTAATTAGCATTGTTCTGATAAGTCTTAGAACAAAACCAAACCAGTTTTGATTTCCTATATGAACTATAGGTCTATAGGTTTCTTTTTGTTCTGTTAGTTGAGTTCTTACATTGGTTACAATGGTCACGGTTAGGTTGGGCCTACTTTTGATTTTCCTTACCCTGGTGACGGGACGAGATCGAAATTCTACAACAATTCACAGACGAGCTAAGCGGTATTTGGATATTATAGAGACCACTCGGATATTTGTAGGTAGCTTTTGGAGCCTTAACTGAAAAGCTATAACTTAATGCCGGAATATAAAGTTATTAAATAAATTGGCTAAGAAAATGTTGATAGTTAGGGCTCCTTTACAAATGTTAAGATTCCAATAGTAGCTTTTACTCCACTTTTAAGTTTCGCGTCAATGCCAAGAACAATGTGATCGCATCTCCGATTGTGTGGGCCCATGGTTATGGCTTTCGAGCCAATACACCGGTGTTGGTGGAAAGAAAGAACAGACCCTTTCGCAGGGACACCTACGAGTTGCTCCACGAGCTGATCGATCGAAGTGGCTTGGATGGACGAGCATGTGTCCTGAAGGCCTACTGTACCGCCTTGGCCGGTGATCATGGTCAGGGATTTCTGTTTAAGCTTCTGAAATACGTATTTACGTAAGTGCTTATCCACCGTATACGAGGTGTGTTCAAAAAGTAAGGTGACTCTTCAAATTTCGCGAATTTCAAATTTTTCGATTATCGATTTTTTTGTTTTGTTATATTGGTACACTCTTCCCTAACATCTGTACCAAGTTTCAATGGAACATCCTCTTTTGTTTGGTTGTGAGAGGCGTAAAGTTACAAGTTATTTTGCGAGCTCGGCGATTTTTTGCTATCGAAAAATATGGATCAAAGGATTTGGATTTTTTGGCCAAAAACAACACCACAATAATGCCTCAGCCACCATATTCACCGGATTTGGCCCCATGTGACTTTTTCTTGTTCCCAAAACTGAAGATAATCGAAAAATTTGAAATTTGAAAAGTCACCTTACTTTTTGAACACACCTCGTATAACTTCTAAAAGGTTTCGATAATCGAAAAATTTGAAATTCGCGAAATTTGAAGAGTCACCTTACTTTTTGAACACACCTCGTATTAATTATCCTGCGCGTACACGTTATTTATTTTCAGCCTGGATGAGCACGACAAGAGGCATATGCCGCATCTGCGGGAGGAGAACTGCGAGCAAATCATGCACAGCCACTGTCCTTTGAGTTTCGACAGCATATCCCCATACACGGATGACATTTAATAGTGTTTATATTATGTTTGCTGAAGGGTTGCCAGCAACCCACTTGGAAAACAGGACAGATCAACCAAACAAGAGCGGTTTAATAGGAAAAAAAAACTTTAAAAATTTAATAAAATGAAAATAATTTGTTTTAATACATCAAGGCCTCATTACTTTATAAACAAAGTAAGCTTATAGCTTAAAGTTATATCTATATAACGAGGTATGACATTCTATATTCGGGCCATAATTAATTGAGCTATGTACAAAATTCTGTTTTTGCGAAAAATTGAAAAAATTTGACATTTTAAACTGTGACGGCAGCTTGACTATAAATTAGAAAACAAGCTCATCGAGGTATGACATTTTGTATTCTGACCATTATGGGCTTAGTTATAAGCATAATACTTTAACTATGAGAAGAAAATCTGAGTTAAGCAATTTTCGCATTTTCGATAAAGGGTAACATCAACTTTGTTTTTGCGAAAAATGGAAAAATTATGAAATTTAAACCTGTGAATGCGGTTTGACTAGGAATTAGAAAACAAGCTCATCGGGGTATGACATTTTGTATTCGGACCATTATTGGCTGAGCCATGGACATAATAATGTAATCTTGAGGGGATAAATGGGAGAAACCAATTTTCGCATTTTTGTTAGATCATCCGTCTTTTCATGCAGATATTCTTCGAGTGCAGATATTCTGGAAACGAGCTAAACGAGGCATGGCTTTACTTATTTTAAGTTTCTGTTAAAATTTCAAAGGTTTTTCGACCACATTTTGTAATAGGTTTGGTCATACCTAATGTAGTATAGAAATTCCTTCTAAAAATTATCTCGATGAAATGCCAGCACTGATATGTTGTTCTAAGCTATGAAAAACAAACACAGCCGAGATTGAATTGGACATCAAAATATAAATATAAACACAAGCCTGACGGACTGATTGCCTAAAATAATAAAACTGATAGTAATGATAGCACTTCAAAGTGATTGAAGTTTGCCCAGGGCCTGTTAAAGTTCGCCTCATAACAGAATTAAACTTAATAGAATTGTTAATTCAGCAGGTTTATAATGCAAATTAAAAACTCACTTTCTGCAAGAGAGGTTTGGTTTCATTTGAGTTCTTATTGTACATACTCTTTCGATTAATGAACTATATTAACTAGCTACATTGAACTACATTTCCTCTTTTAACGTGCAGTTAAAATCTAAAAATGAATGGAGCGGGGAAATCTATCAGTCCATTTGATTAGATTGATATATAAAACCAAACAAATATATATTTTCCAGGTATAAAGTTGCTTACTTAGTTTTTTCTGAAAGTTTAACTAAAATTCTCTTTTAAAAATCTTAAAGTTTGTTCATAACCAATGCCATCTTCTAGACATGAATTATACATTTTGTGAAAAACTCACAGTAAGTGTTTGCGGCTGCTGATGATATTTATTCGATGTTGTTGCCATTTGTAATTTATAATTAACTTGTGTGCCATTTGCAGGTTTTGGACGAGTGTTTCTGTTTTCCGGCAGCCGCTGATTGTGCGTGTGGCAATCAGCGACGTGCATTTAATTGGCATTTTTATTAAACAGCTGAAAATGAGCAGCCATGAAATGAAAAAAAAAACAAAAAAATATACAAAATAAAACACCAAAAAGGATACCAGGCTGAGGGAAATAATAGCAAGGACTCCTGTTGGCCATTGTTGACCTCGTTGCATGACAAAAGTGTTCCAGCTGTTTAATGTCACCCGCACGAAAATGCCGAGTGGTGTTAAAATGTTTGCGGCAGCCTTTGATGCACTTGTCACGCCACCCACTACAACCTCCCACTCCCCCGAGGAAAACCTGTCGCCCAACGCAGCGGCATTAAAAATTAACTTTAATTAAGTTGAAAAACATAAATTACATGCACGCATACAAGGGCATTAAATTGCAGTTGCGGGAGCTCTCAAGTCTCTCTAGTTCGCCACAAGGATACAAGAAACAGGACGAACAGGTCGGGGAATAGTACGGAATTGGAGCCGGAGAAGTGCTCCCACTTGGACATTGACCGCAAAACTTTTAACCTTTATTGGGTCACAACTTTGCTCTACTTATGGTATATCCAAAAAAAAAGGAAGGAGAAATACATATAGCTTGCGTCTCAGCCTTAATCAAGTATTAATTATCTCAGCATGCGTTGAGTTGCTGCATTAAGAGGTCAACTCCTTGCTCAACCCACATCGAGTGACCTTACTTTACTTACATTAACCCATAGCCTTGCATTCCACATTACCTTCACTTGTTTGCAATTAAAAATAAGAAAAAGGGTATTTAAATTAAGGAGGAGTATCTTCAGTTTTTGTTATGATAACAAAATATTGGCTACCTATAAGAAATAAGTATAAGCTATCTAGAAAACACATTCTTAAAAGTTTGTATTCAGTTCACAAAATACAAAACTTCCTCATGAATTTTAAGCTTTACTGGTAATTTTCAGTTCCTTACACTTAAACCCAAACTGCAATTCTCACTTGTTACTTTTGCTGACAACAAACGTAAATGTCACTTTGTTGCCGCCGCTGGTTGCAGTTTAATTTTCTCATTTGGTGATGTTTGCATTTCTCTCCTTTTCGCTCTCATTTTTTCGAGTTTGTGGCAAGTGTGCTTTTCGCAATTACAATTAATTTTAAAATACCCTGGAAATGTGCATTCTCCACCTGCCAAGTGACAATTAATGAGGTAGCTATATAAAAAGTAATATAAACAGTGACATTAACTAATTGAACTCTTAAAACAGACTTTATTAAGGTACTTTCACTTTTATAAAATACATTTTTATTAAAAACTAAAAGTATAATGTCATTTTGATAGCGTACATTTAAGCCAATAAATAAATTAAGAAATTTTAATTGTTAGGCATAAAAATTTGTAGCTGGCACTTTTGATTTTTATTTAGTTCTCTTAATCTGTCAATTATTTATTTGTATCCATAAAATTTTTAACCTATTTACGATACTGAATCGAAACACTTGCCAAATGAATAAATGTCAATAAATTGTGGAAAAGATAAAAGCATTTAAATGTTTACGAAAATTCAAAATAATAAAAACTCACATGTCACTAATCGGAAATAAATATTTGAACTGCGAAATGGATGTCAGCAAGTAAGCCATTTTAATTACTTAGTAAAATAGGCAATTTACAGTTTAACGGGGGCAATTGCCATCTAAAATTGATATGACCAGACAGGTGTGGCAAGGTATTTGGCCTCCCTTAGCGAGTGATGGTATGCCCTGTGATTGGGAGGCGCAAACACAATATGGACGAGATTAGCGCACACCTCGGGTAATTTATTGGCCGTCAAGGACCAACGAAATGCACATCTGGCTACGTATCCTGATCCCTCTCTCATTATGCATGCGAAAAGGGCCAAAAACCCCATCCTGGTTGCATTTCCATTCCATTCATCTGTATTCCACGCTCATTCATTCATTAATCGAACAGAGGTGGAGTGACTGGCATGCAAATTGATTTGATGCGTTGTCAATTAAAATGTGCAATTAATTTCATTTGGTTTGCCTCACATTATCGAATATGTAATTGGATAGGGCGATAGGCTGCACACCCCGCTGGCCTGCGAAGAGGTTACAGATAGGGAATATAGACCCTGACAGCGGCTGCTAATGAGCTCAGTTAGCCAATTCAGTTTGTGGCCAGGATCTCGTGTGTGTGTTTGTGTGTGTGCCTGTGTGCGTGTACCCATCTGAGTCGGTGTGTGTCTAAATTAAACCGTCTATGATATGGCAGAGTGGCAGAGAGCATGGCGTATACGCAATTAGTTAGTCAAACGCTGATTGCCGCACTTTACACAATCCTGAGCAAGCGATTAGTGGCTATAGTTTAAAGTAAGATTTATGTTTTTTTAAGTAACTAAAATATAACAGATAGGAACCTAACTATCTTTTAATTTACCTTCAAAGTAAAGTTTAAAGTTTCTGAATAAAAGCAAACACTTAACTCCTATTCTCATGACTCACATTATAAAAACCAATATGCCTAGACTTAATTTTAAAATCCTAAGACTCTCAGCATCAGCGATTCCCTCTCTCTGCCATCTCCCCAAATTAGTTCAAGGATTAGTGCAATAAAACTAACGTGCCATGGATTTGCGCAGCCCTTTTGTTGACTTAGGGGAACTGGGACGAAGATACTGTGGCGGGAAGGGCGATGGTAGTAGCAGAGGAGCGGGCATGTCACAATTTCCCAATTAGCTACTCATTGAGATAAATTTCTTATGCAAATGATGACAAGGCCAAGTAGAAGGCATTGTGGAAAGGGGTTTGGGGTTGTGGACAGGCACCAAGCTGAAGTGGCATTGGCATCCAAAATCCACCCCAGGAAAATTCCACCTCCTGGCTTGGGAGTTTGGGACTTTGAGTGGGGCAACTACGGCGGTGGACAGCGACAGAGTGACATTGACTGACTCGCGATGACGAAGACGCAGCGCTACATCCTTTTGGCTCACTCTTCCTAATTGGCTGCTGACATTTGCCAGCTAACAACAGAAACAGCAGCAGCAGCAGCAGTAGCGGAAATTACAGAAAAAAGAGCTGAACTGAAATGGCAGACGAAACACCGACGTAAAGCTGGGTAAATTTGACATAATTAAAATACTGAAACACAGCTACAAAATGTCAGACAGCTCGAAAAAAGTTGTTGGAAATATACAACAGCAACGAAAAATAAAAGGTGTAGCGCACATTTTACTAATTTCTTTTGAGTGATTAACTCAAGGTGCTAATTACTTTTGCCAACTGTCCCATATTTCGTTAAGAAATTGTAGCATTTCCCCCTTAAGATTGTGGTAGCAGAAGTTCATTGGACTTGGCACTTAAGTGTGAAATAATTTCAGAGAAACGAGAGCTGCTAAGTCACAGATCATGATTTAGAACAGAATATTCTTAGAACTTTCCTGAAGGCTAACAACCTTAGTATGTCAACAAAACAAAGGCTAGCTCTTTTTAATTTCACCGCCTAACCCCCACTTAGAAACCAAGGACATGGCTTTCTTCGAGGCACTTTTTCGGATGTCATTTGTCCCTTTGCATTTCCCAAAATTTAATTATAACTTGAATTTGCTTAAGGCTCTACCTCGCATACAAATGCAAACTTGTTTTGTTTGGTATCTGGGTGCGATAAAATTCACTTGAGAGCATCTCGCCTAGAACTTTGTTTGGGCCCTCCCGAAGGGCAAGAAGGGACGTGGCGCAAACAAATGCAAATTGCTCATACGCCGTGTGGACCAGCAGCTAACCAAAAGCAAACGAGGACGACACGAATACCAGAAATGGCGCTTATTAAAGTTTGACTTGTACTTTTGCATATTTTTTTATCATTATTTTTGGGTTTTGGCAGTGAGTGTGTGTGCAGCGGGGCAAAGTAAAAGTTTCGGATAACAAAAATTAAGCATTGCCTTTTGGGCTCCATGATAATTGCGAACAATAGACGCAGACAGGAGGAGGCGGAGGGTGTGACCATGTTAATGCTTCCGCATTTGCGTTCAGCTGCAACATTGCACCAATGCTTGAGCATGTGAATGTGCGTGAGTGCACTGGAAAAAATGATAAGAGTTTGGGATAATTAAGCTTAGAGAACGTACAGCTTAAACTACTTAAATGACATTTTCTAACTCCTTTTTTTACCCCAGTGCATGTCCGTGTAAGTGTATGTCCCGTACACATGCAGAAGTTTGTGTGCCAGCGACATTCACGCCTCGCTGCACTTTTTACATGCTGCATGTTGCCTGCGGGCATTAAGTGTGATTTTATGCGATTTGTACCAGGCAAACACCCGTTCAACGCCGCCCCCTAAGCCGTCTACTTCCTGATTCCCGCCCCCTCTTCTGCCGCACCCCTTCTTACCCCCTACGCCAACGCCACTAGTAAAAGAAAAAACCGCAGCAGCAGCAGCAACAGCAGTGGCAGTAGCAGAGGCAAAACCTTTCCCCGCACTTCTTTGCTAATTTACATTTGACAAATGTTTTGCATGCTGCAAAATTTTTGCCACTGCTGCGACGACTACCACGACGACGACGACTACGACGACTAGTGTTCGTTAGCACGAGGACCCGCTGTACCACGTCCTTGCCCCCTTGGTGTTTTGCTAGCTGCATTTGTTTTCATTTGGTTTCTCTGCTGACATTGTTTACAGTTCAACTTGGTTGGAAATTAGTAAAAATCTCACACGAGCACCAGCCACGCCACAAAAACTAAAAAACCGAGACAATAAAAATACCAGCAGCGAGAATCGAAAAGACAAATCCACAGGAAAGCAAACACAAAATTTCCAAAACCTAATTCAAATTAATGTAGCTTAACTTTTGATGGGTGTCAAGGGCATAAGCGATTAAATAAAGTGCAGGAAAGACATAAAATGTACAAATTTTTAAAACTTAAATCCCACAAATGATGTTGAACATTCAACTAATTTTTCTAGATATTTTTGTATTATTTTTGCCATTTACTTAGATGATTATCTTTGCCATTTGAATGAGTTTATTCCAAAGCTTTTTGCTGCAGCCACTGTAAGTTTTCGAGCAATTGGCACCAGCTTTTCCGGCATTCCTGGCATGCAGATACTTTTCAGGAACATTATCCAGAGATGGCCTGTAAAAGTGATAAAATTCTGCACATTAAAACAGAAAATTTAAGGGTATTTTAAAGACCTTGGCCCTTACTTACACCAACATTGCATTGAGTATCTCACCGAAAATGTGGTTGTGCATAAAAGGTCGTTGAGATACCTCACAGATACTCTTTAGCAGACAGGCAACTGCATTCCGATCTCCAAGACTGTAATGAGAGTACCACTCAACGAAAGCCGATGACAGATGAGTCAACTACCCACCTTTCCAAGCCCATTTCCACGACATCGTACAGCCAAATTCGAGTCTTGTCCTGGATAAACCGACTCTGGACATCTTTTCGCCAGTCCCTGGCAGTGGACACAAATGCCGTAGTGTTCCAAAAACTCCACCAGTAAATTGGGACAGGCGATGGCGTGTATTGGGATTGGTAGTTGATGAATCCCCAAAGCGACTGCACCACATCCTGCTGTTTGACGGGAAACGCCAAGCCAGCGATAAACTAGGAAGGAGAACAATTAGGAGTCCGGAATGCCAAAGTTCGATCGATGGATGGTCAACCTTGAATATGCTGTTCCGTCCATCGAAAATGGCCAAGCGTTTCGAGCGACTAAGAATCGGGCCAGCTGTAGCATTCCCATCTCCTGCAACACTTCCTACAAGGACAAAGAGAAGGAGCAGGAGGACGGAAGGATTCAGGTCCAACTGTTTGCTGCTGAAGTGCATGGTCAACTAATTTTGCAGCCGGTGCAACTTGCGGCAGCAATGGGAAACTCAGTTCTTAGTTTGCCCAAGAAATTGACAGGCGGGCAATTCGCAAAGTTTACAGAAAACCATGCTGCACCGAGAAAAACTTTGAAAAGTTTCTAAAACCTTAATTGGATTATATTGGAAATACCTTTACTAACTATTATTTTGTTTAATTTAAATGAAAGTTTGTTATACGATTATATACTTTTCCATTACTGAAGCTTTTAAGTGGCCCATCCCATACTCAGGAGCAATCACATGGTTCCGATCCACAAATTCTTCCCTAACTCCAATCCTCATCAATTCCTCGCTGGACAGGGAAGGGAATTGTGTGTAGGCCAGAATTCAATCCCCTCCGGCGGGTCCTAACATCGGATGTCCAGTCCCTGTTACGGCAGTGCGAGTCCTCTGTTACCACCTGGTTTTGTACCAAATCCCCGAAGCTCTTTGACTGACATTTTGGGTGCCTCACCCAGCAGAAGATCATCACTTGCAGCAATATTTGTGGCCCTCCGATTGTTCTGCCCACCAGCTGTAAGTTGATTGGTGTCACCTATTGATGTTCTCACAGAAGAATTGTTTAAGCAACACGAGTAAAACTTAAAGTCAGAAACCATTTAAGCCATATTAAATATAATGTTTATATAACTAATCTAGAGTTAATAATTCGGTCATGAATTAAAATCGAGTTCGTTTAAATTTTCCGAAAAAAAGAAAGCAGTTAATCTGAAAATTAAACAGCACTCAATCAAGCTGAGAATTACCAAATGTATGAAATCGCTTAATCCCTGTGAAAGCAGTAGTGATTAAAATATTTTCCACATTAACCATGAGCTACTGTTCTCCTTTTTTTTCACTGGTTTATCGCATTAAAGATTATTTATTGCTGACGCGAATCAACCACCAATCGCGATCCAAATATACTAATTAAACAATCTGTTATCGGGCACTTTGACAAAGTAGCGAAATTGCCACAAAATTAATGGTTTGGGTAAGTGAAAAAGTGCCGTTGAATTAGTATTTTCAGCTGCAGGCAATTGGGATATGCGATACAAATTGGGATCGGTGCAAAGCATCCGACTATTTAGCACCTTTTTAAGAGCACTTGGAATGACACAGAATCGAGTTAACGACACTCAATTGGGTGCTAATTGTACAATTAAACTTTGCCGGCCCGAACTGTTAGAGGAATCGATGCGATGGCCGGAATGCCGCACCGCGTCAGTATCAGTTCGTTTCGGACAGCTAATGGCATCAACATATCGTAAAATAAAAAAAGTGTAGACCCGGCCGAAATTGGTCCCCAATCGAGAACCCAATTCGCTTCTAATGGTAATTATCTGCTTCATAAATTCGCGCTCAATTCCGCCCGGAGGTTTGGCATTTCGAAAATGGCAGTGTTTTAATTGTAAATCCCGATCCAAACGAACCAAACTGGACTGGACTGGACTGAACCGTAGAGGAGCGGAGTGACCATCTCTTTCGCTTCGAATGTTGTCGAAAATTGCATTAATTTAACGCATGATTGGCAGTGCCAGCAAATGGAAGCGTCACAGCTAAAGTGAAATTATGCAAATTTCGTCGCTGCTTTTTTGCGATGTGAGTGCCCAGGCACGGAGCAATCGGAATGTTCGATTGCTCAATTACACTTATGAACAAAAAATGTGAACTCCTTTGCTGAATGACTCAAAAAATATATTCAATTTGTGAATGATACCCAGAAGTGCCATCAAACTAACTCTATAAATCCAACTTAAAATGTTAATATATATCCAAATCAATTTGCAAGTTTACTTCCTAATGAAAAAATCTCTGTAATTCAAACCAAAATTTTAAATCTCTTTGTTGTTTTTACATTTAGTTCTCATTAAAATACATTCCTGACTGTTCTTCAATTTTGCAAAACCCATATCAGAACTCCTTCTTGGCTGTTCAGTGTTGACCAAGTGACTTTCGCTGGCTTCCATTAAGGAAAAATGGTAAAAACAATCAAAGTAATTGGATGCGCTGGAGCTGGCACTCTGCTTATATTGCTCCTACCTCTTTGCCTGATCCAAAATTACGGTCCGCCAGGCGGTAATGGTCACTCCAATGGCTCCCACTCAATGGTCACTATGCCGCCGTCGCCTACTCCTCCTCCTCCGGCGCCACTTGAATCTGGAAGAGATGCAATGATGCGTCTCCACCGCCAGAAACGCTACCTCTCCTTCCCGGAGGGTTCCTCCTTCCAACTAGTGTTCGACATCATCATACCCATCGTAGACTACACAAACTACGCCATCCTGGGCATCACCTGTTCCGTGGCCTGGGAGCTGCCCAGTAAGCCGCCCAGCGAGCTGATTGAAAACGTGCTTACTCGCATCAACGACGGCACCATCGGCACCGTCCGGCGGAATGATAGCGTTCCCGATCCAGAACCGGAACAGGCCACCCAGCCTCAGAGCCAGACCCAGCATCTGGACAATCGAGTCCCAGCCACGGCTAATTGGCAGGCTGTCCACGCACGGCCAGCGAATCCACCGGCATATGCGGCCAATGAGCAGGACTCCAACTCGTACTACACGAATATCCAACGCATCCCGGCCGCTTACCCATATGCAAATTCGAATGCGGATGCAAATGCAAATGGACAGCAGCGCCAGGCAGCGATGTCTGCTAATTGGCATGCGCGACAGTCGTTCCCAAAGTGGCAGCAAGGGGGCCTGGGTAGTTCTGGAGCGGGAGCAGACAACTGGTGGACACGGAATGGACAGCGTGTTGAGCAGAACTGGCGCCAAAAGCAGCATATGTGGGGTCCTGCAAAGTGGGAGTAAGTGTAGATGCAGTACGAAAAACTTTAAATTTATATATATTAATAGGAAAATATGCTTTTTAACTTCCCTGAAAACTAATTTAAATCTTATTTCTTATAATCATAAGCTATGGCTATAGCCAACGACCCCGTCAAGTCCTGCGAGCACCGCCCAAGCACCACATATATCCTGTTTTTGCTAGGCGCAGGAGGCGAAGAAGCCTGGAGCAGGATCCCCACTTCGAGCGACTGCACCTGCAACAGCATCTCAGCTCAAGACAGATTCTCTTTGGGAAAATCGAACGTCTATATAAGTCGTAAGTTTATCACTTAAGCTAATGTATTTCCTCAATGGTACAGTAAATCTGGAAAACCCCCAGGCGGCGACTAAATGGCACCTCCTGTGTGCTCCGAGCTCTCTGCGAATCTGGCCAAAGGCATAAGGCTTTTGAGGGGACAAATACGGGCAGGCCACAAAGCTTTATAATGGAACTACTGTCGGCCATTTTCCAATTACCCAACAGCGATGACGTGAACGAACCAGGGGAATTGGAGCTAATGATTTCCCCTCATTATCTCGAGGCCCACCGACAACAGGGCAACTGTCGACAACTCTACAGTGATTGCAATCACACATTTTGGTTAGATTAAACAGCAAAGGGCAATAAATTTTAGGAAAATATATTCAAATGAGTTTTATTATAATTAAAGCTTATGATTAATGGGTCGTTAGTTCATTTTTACTAAAAATAAATACTATTAGCATACATTTTCAACGGTGATAATTTTAAAACATATAACTTCCATCAAAACTAACCCCAACCCTATGAAAGATTGTACAAAAGTCATTTGGAAGTTTCTTCACTTGCAGCTAAAAGCATTCCTCGAGCATTTAAGTTTATCCCCGGAAAAACTGAGACTAGTGATCACATTACTTCAACTCCAACTCCCCAGCACTATCGGAGGAGTTGGAAGATGGAAGTGTGCTAGTTTCTAGATGGAAAGAATAAACCAAAAGAAGGGCGAACAAGTTGGGAGCGTGAAAAAGTAATTTGAACCTTTAAATAGACCAATGAGCTCACAGAGCAATGGCAAAAGGCGAAAGAAGCTCTATGGAAGACAAACTACTTGCCAAAACACAAAAGACGAAAAGTGTGAAAACTAATGAAAGACAAAAGAAGAGCAAAAGAAATTTAACGAACGGAGCTGAAACTCAAACTGGAAACTTTCTGGCCAGCTAGTCAGCGGGCCGGAGGGAAGCGGAGGGCTCCACTTACAATTAACGGCCAAGTTGCAGAACGCTTCTGTTTCTGTTTGGGCCAACATCGCGATACTTGGCTGACAGTTGCCGTATGGACAACGCTTCGACCGCAAGTTGGGAAAATGTCGACTAGGAAAAAGTGGAGCTACATTGCCAGCAAAAAGGAAAATTCCCCAATAGGTAATTGTTGGCTGAAAATCCTGATGTTTCTCCTCGTGGCCAACTTAGCAAACGCTTTGAAGGCCGGGGAATCCATCCAGTTGGCAACGGGCAGCCCATCACTGAACATAAACAATGCGGACAGCAGCCTGGAGCAGCTCATCGAGATGCGGCTGAATGAATCTCAGTCCTCATCCGTCCAGAACAGTCAGTCGCAGGAGCTGTTGTCCCGGAAACGACGCTATTTGGTATTTCCGGAGGGCAGCTCCTTTCAGATGGGTAAGTTCTCTGTCACAAGACAGTACAGTGAAGTTGGATGGTACTTTGAGGGACGCTTAAAAGGGGTCCTAGTCACCAAACTTTGTAAGCTTAAATAGTATTAATCAACATTTAAACTTTTAAATTTAAAAACTCAATTTGCTTAAATATTAAACTTACCCTTTTAAAGGGCCCCGTCACTACGCCACTGTCATAAACCATGCAAATCACATGCCTCAATTACCTTCTCTTCATCCGTTTAGTGTACGATGAGATTGTGGGAGTGGTGGACCATACAAACTACTTGATTCTGGGCATTACGGTGGCTTTGGCCTGGGAGTTGCCCAGCAAGCCGCCCAGCGAGGAGTTGGACGATTTGCTGACCAAGTTAGAGGACGGAACCATAGACATCAGTCGCAACGACACCGTGTCGAACATAACCTATGTGGATGATGCCTCAGAACCCACGACGACCAAGCCCCCAGACTACAAGCCCAACTACATCAACTTGTCGAGTTACGGCTCTTCGAGTGGCAGCAACTCCTACTACAGCTCGTCTCCTGTTTTCCGTTTTCCAATGCATCCGTCGCATCAATATGCGGACAGTTATTACTCCCGTCCGAAGGGTGGAAGACGAAAGGATAACCACTACTACTATAACCATCCGGGGGTCAGTTCCAACAATCCGTTTAGTAGGTGGACGAGGCCCTCTACACTCCGCCCACAAATCACGATATCCTTACTGGGCTCTCAACTCCAGGTAAGGTCTATTCTTGAGGAGAACAATTATTTTCTTTTTGTTAATATATATGTAAATATTCCCTTTTTGTGTAAAATATTAAATTCCTATTTTAGAATTAAAGATCGCTACTACGGATACAAGAGTCAGCAGTCAGCACCGCCACCAGCGCAAAGGCGACAGGACAGCAGCACCACTACCACCACCACCAATCGACCCACTCGGCGACCGGCTCCTCGTCACCATCGCATATATCCGGTGTTTGGAAAGCGTAGCATTCCGGATGCAGCCAATCCGCATAAACGTCAGCGACGCAGCGGAGTGGCCACCGAGCACGAGGACAAAATAAGTCGCCTGGAGCAACTTCAGATCAAGCATCACCGTAGAAGTAGACAGTCGTTGTACGAGAGAGTCGAGAAATATCTGGATAAGTAAGTACAGTATGGGAAAGTCATTGAACTCGAAAGGAAATGGATTGTTATCTTGTTAAGGGCTAAAACTAAAACTGTTTTAATTATGTCCTTAAGTAAAGTTACACAAAACATCTTGATTTGATTAAGTCGCCTTTTAGTTAGTTCGTTTTTCTGAATAACAACGTAAGATAATCTAATTAGGGATTTTTCTTTAAGAGTATTTATCTCGTTAATTAGCATACTAAACGATTTGCTCTTTCCACAGGCGAGGTCACCATGGCCACCATTGCGTATTGCGTACTCTCTGCGAAACGGGACAGAAATCTGAGGAGGAGGAGCCTGGTACTTTTGTAGGCGAACTGATGCGTGCGGTGTTCACAATTCCGGAAGCCCTGGACAACGAACCGGTTGCCTATCGCGACACCCACTATGACAAGGCACACGCTTCCAAGCAGGACTGTGCCTCCCTCTACCCGGAGTGCAAACAGTCCATGTGGCAGGCCCAGTTCATACAATAAAAACCCATTCCCCAAGTCCTCTTGAAGTTTGTTTTATTCAATTCCACTTGCCGCCCATTAGAAAGGCCAGTAGGTTCAGCTTACAAGAGTCCCTAAACTGACGGTCACAATCCTCCGCATCCATTTGCATGATCCGTGAATAGTCATCCTCTATGCCGGATGCGGTGGGTAATCTAATATGGGGATATATCAGTGCCAATTATTGGCTTTTTAAAATATCGAACTATTTCTACGATTTTTACTTACGTAAAGACGAGTCTCACAATATCATGAATCATGGAGTATCCACGAGGCAGAAGTAGCCGCTTACTATCACAAATGGCTCTCAAAACACAGGCCTTGGCATCGATTCCCAAACTGTAAAAAGTGCAATGCTTATAAAACCGTAGTTTGTACATCAAACTATTCCTCACAGCTTACTAAAACCATCAAAGTGCTCGAAAAGCTGTCTGCGATCTCGATGACCATTGTAGTGGCGCATATCCATGACATGTGCTAGTTCCGGATAGTGAGCTATTTTACTGGGTGTCATATCAGGATCATAGGGATCATCTATAGGCAGCGACCTTAGATCTTCATAGGGTTCCACCTCGGGATCATAGTATTCTCCATCTGCAGATCTATACCAGCGCTTTGACCACTTGGGCGACTGCGTGGTCCACTTGCTCCATTTACCAGGTTGGCTGTATTTCTCATAGTTGTGATTTGCTGGAGACCAGTTTTCGTATCGGTTACCATATTTTGACCAATGAGACCACTTGGCAGGTTCTGCATACGATGGTTTTGGGGGTCTCACATCAATGCGTTGGTGAAGTTTGAGAGGCTTTGGTTTTTTCAGAGGCGTGGCCTTAAATCTCCAGTTGGTTCCTGGTATCCAAACATAGGTAGGTTCTGTAGTGGTCTTAGGCTTCTCCGTAGTCGTTGTTCTTTGTCGATATCGCTTTGGATAGACATCCTCGCGTTTCGAGGGCACAGGATAATAGCACGCCTGCTCTATATTCATGGCCACCCCTTTGGGATAAGCTGAGATAAGACCTTTACTTAACTGCCCAGTAAACTTCAGATTTGATCCTGGTGGAAATAATACAAAGCGTTTCCGACGTGAAAAAACCCTCTCCACCACATGATTCAACGCCGTGTGATTCGAGTCCACTTGGGCTAAAGTCAAGTGGAGCAGAGCAAAGCTGTAGAGGATCAACAGATCGATACGCATTACTGCCAAGTACTGATTGAGATGTCCAAAATGAAGTCAACTAGTACCAATTCAATTGACTTGTTTGTCATTGTAATCGATTCGGTTGGGGTGTTAATTGCCTAGCTAACAATCGTAGAACTTATTTTTTTAAGTCTTGCCTAGAATACGTGACTTAAGTTTATAGAAAGTGTAGAATTTCTTAATAAAACAAGACTTTATTCCATTCTGCCGCTCAGCAGCCAAATCAATAAATTCATATTACACTTAGTTTTTAACTCGTCTGCACACTCATCAGCGCCTTTGTCCATTATTCGACTGTATTCATCTTCCACTCCATCCAAACGCGGCATACTTTAAGATATCATTTGCTGGAATTTGTTAATTTAACAATAATAAGATATCAAAACTCACGTAAAAACAACGCGCAGCATATCGTGCAACATGGAATAACCTGGTGGCAGGAGCAATCTTTTGCTATCGCAGATGGTGCGTAAAATACAGGACTTTACATCTATGCCAATCCTTTAAAAGACAAAGTTTATAAGCAAAAATCATAGAAAATATACAGAAATACCGACAGAGAACTAAGTTTGGTGAAGCGTTCAAACAATGATCTTCGATCGCGATGACCATGATAATGGTGGGACTCCCAGGCTCCCCTATTCTTATATTGATTCCTGTTCGATTCCCACTTTAGCGAGGGCGTAGTCCATTTCGACCACTTTGACTTGCTATAGTCTGCTCCTTTCCATTTGTAATTCTGCCATTTTTGATCCTGCTTCCATTGCTGCCATTTGAAGGGATTGGCATAGCTATTATCATCGATGCGATAGGTTTTTGGAGGTGGTTGTCTCCATTTGGGTTTGGGCAAAGTCTGTGCTTTGAAACGCCAATCAGTGCCGGGGATGTAAACTATGGAGTCCGGAAGCTTTTCCGGTTTCTTTGTCGTGGTCTTGGGTAAAAACCTCTTGGGGTATAAATCCTCTATGACTCCAGGTACCGGAAAATAGACAGCTTCTTCCAAAACAAAGGTTATACCCTTTGGATATGTGGCCAACAGTCCTGTAGCAAAGGAGCAGGTGAACTTCACGAACGATCCCGGTGGAAACAAGACGGCTCTTCTCCTTCGGATAAAAACTCTAGGCACTACATCTTTAAGGTCGGATTGCTTGGATTTCCCAAGATATTCTCCCAAACTCGAACAAAAAGCGGCATATAGCACAAACAAGATAAAGAGCTTGGCTCGTAGCATCTTAACCAACTGAAAAGCGTAAATTATTGAAGCTGTTCTGAGAGCCCAGTTATTCTGGCCGTGTCAACCAATTACCCAAATATTTACCCACAGCTGATTGATGTCTTGATATATTTACGGTACTCATGTATCCATTTAACCCACAGACCCAATTTGTCCAGCAATTTTTGGGAATTGTCTGTTTGTAGATGATGGATCAGTTCTCTTTTACAAGTCAGGTTGAACGGTCCTCAAAATGAAATTTAGTTGGATTATTATTACGAGTATCCTAGTTTTTTACCTGACGAATCCATCGGAATCTCTTCTATGGCCAGCCTCATCTAATTTGGGTGTAAGTAAAGGTTTCTGGTTTCTCGAATCATATACTAACTTATCTCCCCTAGTTGACCCTATCTGTGTCCGTACCCATTGCTGAACTGTTTCCAGAGCGTCGCATACTGATCGATTGGTGCTTTGCCATCTCCTACACATATCCCTATAACCTAACAGAGTTTTATAGCATACCAATTTGGCCAGGATTTGGCAATTATAAAGCTAAACGAGAAGTTCCACAACTAGAACTGACGGATGAGAACTTCTATACAAAATATGGACACGATGAAGGGAACGGTATGCACCCCAAGGATTTTTCAGCTGGGCAACTCTATGCCTTTCTTGAGGATACGTTAGCGGGCTATGGCTTCCATGAGACATGTTTGCTTAGAAGTGTGTGTGAGCTAGCACAACATCCCTTTGATGACAACCATCGGCACATGCTAAGCGATATTGTGACCTTTGTTTTGAGGTAAATATATTTTTATATATACTTATTTTTAATAAATTTAATAAATACTCATTATTTTCCAGTCCGTCCCAACACGATGGTTTCCGGGATGATGAACTTGTTTACAGGAAGGTCTACGAACAGGCCGAACAAGATGGATTTCTTGGTCAAGATTGTGTGAGATTATATTCCCATTGCAAGCAAGATCTCTTACAACTCATGAGCCGAGTCATATTTCTCGAGAACTAATAAAACCGTTGGAAATAGGCCTACATGTAAATTGCAATGTTTCTTTGTTTCATTAGCAACTGTTGGGAGCCTCTAATTAACGCATACGTTGTGTTGTCAAGAAATCAAATCCCAAAGGTTCTTTAGAGTGACAGTCATAATAGAATGTATCTCACAGGTGTCCACTTCATTGGAGCTCTGCTGTCTTTGTGGAGTATTCCCATTGGGGCTGAGTTCCCTTTGTTCTTTCCAGCATCCTCTGTTTATCAGATAACATCCTCACTCTCCGTTCCCGTGGTCATTCCGGATCGGAAACTCTTCTGGGATTGGGGTCTTCAGATGAACTATGCCCTGCCCGCTCAACCTTCCTCCTTCTACGCAGCCACCATTTGGCCAGATGAATTCTCGCGGCGGGGAAAGCGTCAGTTACGAAATGAGACTGCCAAATATCTACTAGGAGGTAGTTCTACGATGCATCCGAGTGACTTTACAGCGGGAGAGCTGTACGAGAGTCTAGAGAACATGCTCACCCGATATGGCTTTGATGAGTCCTGCCTCCTGCGAAGTGTTTGTGAATTGGCTCGACATCCTTTTAAGGATATAGAAAATAACATGCTGACTGCATTGATTACTTTTACTCTAACGTAAGTGGAAACTCATAATTGATGAAATCTGCATTAGTTTTATTCGATACATACTTATCCTTGCAGACCCTCCTTGCACGAGTCATTTGGTCCCGGAGAAAGTATTTACCGGGAGGTTTACGAACAGGCCGAGCTGCAAGGATTTCTAGGAAAGGATTGCGGCCATCTATATTCCAATTGCCCCGTGGACTTTCTAAGCGGTATCAGCAGCCTGTTGAGCTAGCAGTTTTTACCTGATGCTGCGTAGCCATTCGAGTTAATTACCCATACAAAGATAGTGACCAAAGGCATATTGATTTCAATTCAATTAAGATTATCTTTGAAATATACTTATGCACCCGTTCATACTTCATCTTGCCCCATTAAATATACACAACTGTTAGACTAAAAGCGTTTTAATTTCATCTGACCAGTCGGGTGGCTAGGTTTATTATATCTATTTCGCAATTGGGATATGTAAGATGGCACTGGCCACCAAGGAAACCAATTTGCTCGGCTTTTTCGTATCTTTCACGATAAAGATGCTCATTTTCCGCGAAGCCTTCGTGTTGAGATGGTCTGAAATTCAATCACAAATGTTATTGTCTCACTTCCTTATTCACAGATATATATTTCATACTTACGTGAGCAGGAAGGTGATAACCTGCGTGACCATTCCATAGAAATGGTCTTCGGCAAAAGGATGCAAAGCCAGCTCGCAAACACTGCGCAGTAGGCAGGATCTGTGGAATCCATATGACTCTAGCACTTTCTCCAGACCCGCGTACAGCTGTCCTGCCGTAAAGTCAGCAGGATGGAGACCACTCTCTAGTTCTATCTGCTGGAGATTAGTATAATAGTTGTTGTCCAACTGGCGCTTTTCTCTTCGGGCCAGCTCATCCGCCCAGATGGATGTATTGTAGAAGGAGGAAAGTGCGTATGGCAGATTGTAGTTCATCTGAAAGCCCAAGTCTATAAAGACTTTGGTGCGAACATTCAGATCGGCGGGTATGGAAATGGATGAGGTCACCTGAAGCGCCGTGGTAGTAGGAAATAGCAGGAGTCCATGAATTGGTCGGATCAGTGTGATCAGCACCAGGGTGACCTGGCTGAGATATCCAGCGTTGTGCTGCTTTGGGCGATACATGGTGATGTGATCCACTCGGAAATACAAAACGAGACACCCGAAATCGAGATCTCTCCATTGTCTATTTGGGGATTAATTAAGGCGAACTGTAAATGAGCAGATCAACGACCAGAGCCACACGCGTGAACACCAATTAGAATGGTTCACAAAACACCTATTGAAAGTGGAGCGCATGCTCCATCATCAAGATTCAGATGGCAGCGTGATCTCGCCAATCAAGAGACGTCTTCGCCATGCTCCATTCTTTTAAGAAGAACTACTTCATTCTTTGTAGAACTTTAGTAGAAACTATTATCGGTGCTACACTGAAATTTACTTTTGCATTGTTTCATACCAATTCTACATCATTATTGATTTAATTTTAAATTACAAGTATCTCGACTTTGTTTATAAAACTTGACATTAACTTTTTTTTTGTTATATAAGTCGAATATTTGAATAGAAATTGTTAATACTTATAGATACGACGAAATAAAATGAATTTAAATATAATTATTTTCGGTGCACACTTCCCCAATGGGGATCTGTCAATTTCTTAAGCAAACAAATATTGCGTCCACTTTAGATCGTGGCGTAGATCGAAGTTTAAACAAAGCGGGATTAGTTAGCATTGCACTCCAATGCAAACAAGATGGTCTCCAGAATTCTTACCTGTCTTTTCCTGCTCCTAGGCTTGCTCTGCACTATCAATCTGGTAGTGAGCCACACCAGGAATATCTACTCTACAGATAGAAATCAGTTGAGATTGAGCAAAAGTTTTAAAAGTCAAAATGGAAATGTGAATACAAATTTGACACACCTAAGTCGATCAAAGCGCGTGGCCATCTATGATGGCCTGGGCGTTTGCAAGGTGGGATCTCTATATCCTACATATGAAACTTCTTTTCACCTTCTCCGACTTTTTGACTTACAGCTGGTTCCTAGCTTCGCTTATCCTATAAAACAGTTCGACAAGAAGCAATCCTTCTGGTGGTTCTTCAACGTTCAGGGCCAATGGGTACCCACTACCATTCCCCTCTACTGGTGGAGCTTCTGGAACACTACTGCTTTTGTGTCCACAGCTCGCGAATGGCGGAAGGACATGCAGTCTAAGGTGTTCCACGACGAGGCCAGAACATGGGTATATAACGCCATCGAGTTGGGCATGGAACAGTAAGTTGTTTCGTAGTTTTAGAACTATTATTTTATTTCAATTGTTTTTCTGTAGGTTAGATGGTGCCAACGGTGGAGTCTGCCTACTGAGGAGCATCTGCGAAATCTCACAGAAACCCTTTCAAAGCAGCAACATCTTCAGCGAGATCGTAAACTCAGTAATGGTGTAAGTAAAATTATAAGTTCGAATCGAGATACAAATGAACTTTGAAATTTTCTTAGACCGAGCCTGGACAATGTGGCCAGTAAGTACTTGCACGCCCGGGACGCCGGACTTGGCGGAGCAGACTGCGAGCGAACGTACAGCGACTGCAATCCATTGCTCTGGACCCTCGTTACGAACCTGGCCAAGAACCCGTTTTCATGATCACACATCCAATATCCTCCAGGCACTCAGGGAAACACATTGATAATAAAAGCTTTTACTTCTTAAAAGTGGCTTTTCTGCGGAATTCGGCCCAAATTTCGCAAAGCATCGGTTTCACCAAGCAAGTGCACTCCTTCAGGGGCAGGGGTCCGGGCCTATCGCGCTGGCACTCTGAGAACGAGGGATACGGCGTTCGGGGCTTTACACAGTTCAAGGGTCCCCGTTCTCTTTTGCACGTTGGAGGCCTACGGCCGTCACGATGGCAGCGACGCGCCAGCTTAGGACAAGCCTCACTCGATTCTTCTGGGCATGGCTGAGGACAGGCGGTCGATGGTTTAAATGCGGGCTTACGACGCTTGATCGGCGCTGGTTTAGCTTTGGCAAAGCAACAAATCTTTTTGGGCTTGATTTTGAGAGGAGGACAGGCCACCCATGTCTGCCAGTACTTTCGTTTGGCCTTATCAGATTCCACGTAATAGATGTCATCGAATCGTGGATTGAACGGGCAAGTCGTGTCATCTGGGTCGCAAAATGGGTTCAGCCACATCGACGGAGCCTTGACTATCAATCTCTTCTTCTTCGGCTTCGCCTGAATTTCAGGTTTACCACAAGGAAACTTTGTCAGTACCTTGGGGCATAGGTTTTTGCCCTCGCCCTTCTCACAACCCGAAGCGAATCGCACACATTCTTGCACGGCACCCAACAGAATTGATGAGGGCCGTAACAAGGCTCGAGATTGACTCACATTCAATGTCATCCTGAAACTAAAATTTGGAACTTTTGACCGAAGGGGTGGTGGTTTTTTGAAAAATATTTGACCCTGGAAATTTAGATGGAATTTTGAGGAATACGATACTGGAGGTAAGAGACCTATCCAGTTCGAAAACGGAACGAGAAGTGAAGCCTGTTCGTTACCCACTATCCCAATACAATGACATGTTGCGGAAGTTCGTTTCTCAGTTTACTAAGTTCACATTTTTGTACTACTTTGGGTGAGAAAGTCCAAAACATTATAGGGACAACTTGGAGAGTAAAATCGGGCGCAATCCTTAACATCCATGCGATGCTTATATTTATCGTCGCCAATTTCTTCGGGGACTCTGAAAATTTTAATATTTAATGGATTTTATACACCTAGTACAGATTCGCTTACGTCAGCACAATTCGCATTAGATCCTCCATTAGGAAACCCTGGTCATGACCGGCATTCAGCTTGGCTCTAAGTTCGCACATGGCTCTCTTAATGCAGGACCTTAGATCTAACTGGAAACTGCTTAGAAATATTAAGTAATTATTTTAAAATGAAACATTTTTAAGTTAATAAATATTTTACACTTTGCCCATGGCCTCGAACTGATCGAATATATCTCTACGCTCTCTATATCCACGATTTAATTTCCAACGGGGCACTTGAGACAAGGACTCATAGATCTCTTCATCGGGGTGATACGATTTTTTTCGATTGGTGGTTGCAGATAAGCTCCAAGGGGTTTGATAGAATGAATCTCTATTTAATGAACTGAAATAAAAAACTTTAAATCAGAGCCTTTAAATATAATATTCATATTCTTACCCAGCTTTATAAATCTCATTCTTGCCTTGATAGAAATTGTTCAGATTTATAGGTGATATTTGCCAAGGAGTTTGGTAAAATGATTTTCTACCAAAAGCGGGACTATAATATAGAATTTCTATTAATTTTTATTATCTTAGTTTGTTTTTAATTTACCTGGATTTTGGATAAAGTATATTATTTATTTCGGGCCTGAAACGTTGTAATTTGAATTATTTTCTTAAGCCACAAATTAATTATAATTTACCCAGCGTAGTAAGCATTTTTATATGGTATGGAATAGTACGGATAATAGGCTGCCGGTTTTTTGTAATACTCCCAATCATATCGGCGTTTAGGCATGGGCTTCGGCGTTAATCTCTTCAAAATTTTAGGTTGCCAGCCCTCGATGGTGTCGGGGAGTGGGACGTACATATCAAACTCAAGGCTGTACTGAAGGCCACTGGGTCTTCCGCCCACAATAATTTTGGTTAGGGCGGCAGTCAAAAGAAGAGAAGCCTTGTCTGGAAATACCAAACCCCTCACCCGTCTCGATAGAATTCGATTTTCCAAGGAGTTCTCCACAAAATGGGTGCAATTCCCATGAACTGAGGCGATGCCACCGCACAAAAACAGCACAATAATCGTGGACCTCATAGCGTCACACCAAGAACCCAACTGATCTGCGTACCAGGTACTAACAGCGGAAAATTAACGCCAGGGGAGTAGCGCTAATTGAGAAAGGTGGACTGGCTTACAGCATCAGGTGGGCTTTTGTTCGTACGCACCTTACATGTCACATTGTTTTGTTGGAATCGAAATCATTATTTCATCAGACGCCGCCACTTTAGAAGCAGGCTACGTTTTGGCATTTTAATAGTCCTACTCAACCCCTTAACTCTTTTTAAAAATAAACTTGATAACGCACAAATTCGATATAATAATGGTTAATATACACGGCTGCACCCGGATGATGGTGAACCGCTGCATTGAGCTCCTAAGAGCGCGGATTGAATGCGCCTCGACCCGACACATTGCCAGACGGTACCAGCTTTCCCAGGATCAAGGCAAGATTGTTAACCAAAACATGCCCCTTGAGCAGGTGGTCAGGGAGCGAGAGAAGGCAGACATCTACAAAAAGAACAAGCGTCGCTCTATGTGGGAGCAAGACGAGGGCCACGGCGGTCGAGTCCCGGGAAGGGATGATCAGGAACGCTTCGATGATGAGCAGTACAAACCCCGCGAACTGGAAGCGCGAAACTACGACTGCACCTGGATCAATTTCCCAGAGAGTGTGGCGGCCAAGCAGACCACCAGACGAAATTTCCTGGAAGAATCGGAGGACGAGACCCCTAGACGTCGCAGAACTCAGGTATGCTTTTACTTATACTCTCTAAATTAATATTTCAGAAGGAAAAAATTAAATGTTAGATTTTTGCTTTTTTCTCTACATTTCACATTTTCTTAGGAAACCCGTCCGAATACTGCAAAACCCTTCGACGACGAGGCCCGCGCCTTTATCAATCAATGGGATACCAATATGGATATGATAAACCGTAATCGATTTGCCCGGGCCTCCGATAGATGTCCGCCACCCACCATTTCTACCCGGATGTCAAACGCCTATCGCACCCGGAAACGCCAGTTCTTCTACTAGTCCGGCAGTATCCGCTTAAGAAATTCAAACGATTATACAACTTAGTAGCCTGTTCAAATTGTTAGTGCGCAAGGCATCCGATTTTAAAGCGTCAAAATCCGAAAACGTATTATAATGTTGTATAATCTGTAGTCCAGATGTGATTTCAATATTCGAATAAACTATCAAAATTTATCCTTATATAAATGGCTCTTAGGGGGTTTGGTAAATTCATGTGCACATGCAGTTTACTGCGAAGCCTGTCAAGTAATCAGAGGGGACAAAGAAGTACTCTTCTACCCAATATCGCGAAAATGTTTAATAGACGGACCCCAAAGGAAACACCAAAATGCCCACTTAATCCAAAGCAACTCCAGAGGGAAAGACTTTCGATGTATATCAGAAGAAAACTGTGGGGATATCGACGACCATCCCGGGATTTGTGAAGGCCATATAATTTGTTAAAAAGAAATTTTCGAATATTTTAAAAATATGTAAATCAAATATCAATGCTTACTATAATGACACAAATACTATTTCTTAAAAATACAGTAAAAAGGCTCAATCACTTTAAATTATATTGCAAATTGCATTAGTTTCAAGAATTTTCAAAACTATTTTCAAATCAAAAACGCATCGGGCTTGAGTCTCAATTAAATGTCCACCCAAGTTTCATACCGCACTGGTACTTTTATTCTTTAGTATATATCTCGGAACCAGATTATATATTATTGTAACGGCTGTTCTACGGTCACACTGGAGCTCACGTTTAATTGTTTATTATTCGGCGGTTGGTTTTTAATCGTTTTACGGCTATGGCGCTCCTTAGAAACGCGGCCAACGGCTTTTGGGGCAGTTTCCGTCGGTTTGCCAGCAGCGGGTGCACCATTTACAGCCTCAGTTCCGGTCATGTGAAGTGCGGCGTCTCCGTGATCCGCGTCTCCGGGCCACAAACAAAGAAGGCGCTCCGAGCCATTGTTGCAAATAAAGAATATGAGCCAAAGGCGAGTCAATTGATTGATATATCATATATATGGGGGCCTATGACCTACAGAAGAAAGGTTTTTTATAGAAGATAAACATTAACAACAAACAATCTTAACCTATTATATCTAAAGACCTGTTGAATATTTATTTTTATAAAATAGAAGATAAATTGTACTATATATTTTTTACCATATATCTTTCTTTTATTTTTACATAATATTTATACCAAACATAGCTTAGACAATAAAAAAATAATGTAAGCAATTGTAAGGTTACCCACTTTACACACCACAAAGGGTTAAATACATAATTTAGTTCGTTATATGGCATGTCGCCAAGTTTTATTTAAATAATTATACTTACATACAAACGAAAACGGCCTATATGAGGGAAATTTATTTAATGCTTTGTAGTGGTACAAGCACATCTTTAACTTCAGCTGAAATAATAAAATTGGTTGCTAATTAGTGCCAAAAAAAAAATTATGTGCTTGTGCCTTGAATTAAGAGGTTGTATTGTATGTTGAATATTTATAACATTTATTAACATTCCCGAATAGGCTCGTCACGCGTATCTAAAATCCTTCTACCATCCTGCCAGCAATGAGATGATTGATCGAGGCCTCCTACTTTGGTTTCCGGGGCCGTCTTCGTTCACTGGAGAGGATTCTTGCGAGTTCCAAGTCCACGGATCTCTGGCAGTCATTGCTGCCATGCTGGATGCATTGGGGAAAGTGGATGGGCTACGACCAGCGGAACCAGGAGAGTTCACAAAGAGAGCCTTCTTCGGAGGAAAGCTGGATTTGACAGAGGTGGAGGGATTGGCCGATCTTATCCACGCCGAAACGGAAGCACAAAGGAAACAGGTTAGCAGTAACTTTAGATTTAAAGCATGTGCTTGGGTTTAAAACACAATTTCCTTCCAGGCTTTGCTGCAGAGCACGGGAGCACTGGCCCGCCTTTATGACAACTGGCGCCGTCGACTTATCCGGTGTGCTGCCCATCTGGAAGCTTATATAGACTTCGCCGAGGAGGAGCAGATAGAAGGCGGTATCATCGTTCAGCTCACAAAAGAACTGAAAGCAGTGAAGCGTGAGATTCAAGAGCACTTAAGTGACCAGCGGCAGGGAGAGCTTCTACGCGACGGAGTTCGCACTGTGATCATCGGAGCTCCTAATGTGGGCAAGAGCAGTCTGCTCAATCTTCTCTGCCAGCGATCCGTGTCCATAGTGACGGATCAGGCCGGCACTACAAGGGATATTATAGAAACCATGCATAATTTCGGGGGATATCCCGTTGTATTTTCTGATACGGCAGGTCTACGCCGGTTTACTACGGATAGTATAGAACAAGAGGGAATGCAGAGGGCAAAGGACTGCCTAATCCAATCCGATTTGATATTACTATTAGCAGATGCCAAGAATATTACACAATTGACGCACGATGAAGCTGTTGCTCCATTTGTGGATAGTTATCTAGAGGAGTTAGATATACCAATGGATTTGTGCTCGGGGAAGCGACTTCAGTTGGTGGCAAACAAAACTGATACTTTATCGGATGAAGAGTCCCAACAGTTGGACAAGCTATCCAATGTTTTAGCCATATCATGCCATAAACCCGATAAGATGCCCGTATTTCTGGGATCTCTAGAGAAGCAGCTGCAAGAATTGTGTGGTGAACCCCGGGCGGAGAATCCACGCATCACAAACTCACGCTATCGGCAACAACTGGAGCGCTGCATTCAAAACATCGACATCTTTCTGCGCGATTACAGACCCGATGTTTACCCGGACATGGCCATTGCCGCCTCCAAGCTGCGCAACGCCGTTCGCTGCATTGAACGCATCACCGGACACATTAGCTGCGAAGATATACTCGACGTCGTCTTTAAAGACTTTTGTATTGGAAAGTAATTGATAGTTTTTAGTAGTTAGGCTCAAAGATTTTAAAGTACTGCCTCGTTGAGTATTGAATAAAATATACATACAGTTTAAACCATTCAGTTGTTAATGTTTATTTGCTTAAATTGATATAACGAAAAAATACCCAGTTTGAAGGTAAGATTTTTTGAAATTAATATAAAACCAAGTATTTTTCATTATACATTTTTTTGATTATAACTAAAATTCTTACATCTTTTTCCCTTCACAATATTTTATATTTTTTTTTTTTTAATTCCAATGCCGTTACTTTTAGTGTGGCCTTGCTAGTTTGCTTGCGACCATTCTGTAGTTATTGGTAGACTGGGCACACATTACGATATTGTTTACGTGTTTTGCTAGCTGAGATTTGTGTTATTTAAAAAATATGTCATCCTGGATAACAGGACTGGCGGACAAGGCCGAAAATATTCTGAACAAGCTGGACCAGAATGCGGCAACGGCCCTGCATACGGAAACCCCGACCAGTGGCCCAGTGGATCCCATGCGCAGGAGCATGACCAGCAGCACTCAGTCTCTGTCATTGTCAATGAAATCAACTCTATCGCCAGCAAAGCGTTCGAGCGCCAATAGCTCATCTAGTGTGAAGAGCGAGGGCGGAGGATCAGTGGTCACCAAGGAGATGCGCCAGAAAATGACTTCATCAGCCAGTTTCTCACATAACCCAGACAGCAATGCCAACTCAATGGACACCAGTGAACTGGCTGCCTTTAAGATCGCCTTGAATGAGATCACAGCCGAAAGGGATGAACTGCGTCTGCGTTTGGAGGAACTTAATAACGAAACCGAGAAGTTCGATCTGCATCAACACAGCCAGATGCTGGAAGTTATGGTCAAAACTCTTTCCGAGGAGAGGGATAAGGCGGTTCACGACCACAATGAAGCTCAGTCTGCGAACATGGCGTATGTGCACTCTATCTCCGAACTGGAAACAAACCTTGCAAAACTCCAACAGGAATACATGAGCACCGCTCACAAATTGCAGATGCAAACAAAGGAAACGGATCAGCAACGACAAGAGCTCCAGGAATACCGCATTAAAGCGCAGCGGGCCTTACAAGCCAAGGATTCCCTTATCGCAGAGTTGAAAGATAAACCCGTTGAGGAGGGTTCTGATCCCCACTTAGTGGCGAAGGACAGTGAGACGCGATTCCTACAAATCGAACACGAATCACTTAAACAAGAACTAGACCATGCCAACGAGGAATTGCAAAAGGCACGACTGCAGTTGGAGGATTATCTTTCTCAGGAGAGACAACGTCAGGTTGAGCTAAGTTCAGCGCGCCAGCGGGAAGAATCGCTCGCCAAGGAGTTGAGACAAGCACGAGAACACACTGTGACCTCTGAGTCGGATCAAAGAGTGCTTACCCAGGAGTTAGCATCACTTCGGCAGCAACTTAGTAACCAGATGGCCGCTTCTGCAACTCGACTCCAAGAGCGAGAACAGCAGTTGCAGCAAATGCGCCAGAGGCTCAGCGAAGAGGCAAATTCTGGAGCTAAAAACGATTATGAGACGCGGTTGAAAGCACTCACCCAATCGTTAGTAGAAAGGCAAGGTCTTTTGGAAAGAGTTACAAGTGAGAGGAATGCCCTGCGATTGCAACACGAGAAGGCGCAGACACAGTTGCAGCAGAACATGCACATGATAGAGATGCAGAGCCAGAGAGGCAGCTCGCGACATGCTTTGCTTAACAGCACAGATGATGGTGAGATCAATAATAGTTTGACAGCAAGAAAATCATATCTAATGAACGTTTTCCAGTCAAAGCACAATTCCCGTTGCTCATGCATCCAAGTCCCTTCGACAATCGTGTGGCACGTCGCTTCAAGAGAGCCCTTCGCCAGGCGGACTCTATGGGCATCCGGGTGGGAACCTTTTTGCGCCGTTATCCAATGATGCGTGTCTCTGTGATCGTGTACGTGGCTCTACTCCATCTTTGGGTAATGTTTGTGCTGCTCTCTACAACACCAAACTAATCGAATCAAATCAAATCCATTTAATTGAGCAATTGTTTTATTTTTAAATATTGTATGTAATGTATTTTACACGCCAAAATTGGATATCTAGGAGTACGAGTATATGTGTGTCATGTTTGTGGTTGCAACAATTGTATATATCATTAGTATACTTGTGTCTCGCACTCGATCTAAATTCAATATTCAATAAACATCAACTATGTACAGAAATTGCAATTGGTTTAACGCTAAAAACATCAAGCAAACAAGTAACAAGACCGAAAAAATTCGCACTAAGTTAGGAGAAGAACGATTCCTCACAGTTAAAATATTGCATAAAGAATCCAACCACAGACTATATAGTTGTCAAGTAAACGTGAATTAGATTAACTTCAGTTGCTGGGCAAAGCTGACAGTTCTAGCTAAGCGGAAGAAAATAGAGAGTAGAGGCTTTTGGGACGATTCGCGTAAAATAGTCGCTATATGCCCCGCAAGTTTTTGTATCACTCATCGGCATGGTAGCTCACATAGACGGCATCGCCACCGATGCTAATCAGGCACTGACCCTAAAAATAAAATAGAAACTTATTAAATGGATTTATTAAACAATTGTTAAAACTAGCCTGATTCTTGTGCTGATTATCGAACAACATTAGTTCGGTGATGTAAAACGAAACCATGGCATTCCCACCCAGAGAAGCGATGTGGGCCCTCACTACCGCCAACAGTTCGGTAATAAAACCATGGACAAAACCGCTGATACCGCCATTCTCCCTTATCGAGGTGCTTTCTCGAATAAAGAAAAAGTTCAGATTGCCCAGGTATTTATCTATACGACCACCAGGTATGAAACTTAGAGGCGTCAAATCCACTCCGTAACGATCCCGCAGAGGAAACTTTTGAAAAATAAGAAAATTAATGTAAGCCAAGTAAAAGTTAAATCAACGTAAACCTATACTTACGTATCGATTACGTGGAACCGATCCGACATTCAAAGGTTTAACTCCGGTGGAGGGCAATGCTGAAACTATGTTGCTAAGACGTGATGGCGAAGTTTTGCGCATTTTAAATGAGCTCATTCCAAATGGCGGTATGGCGGTACTGGTTGGCGTTGGTGTGTCTACCATCTGATCCTCATCCAATGGGAAAATGTAATCCTCCTCCTGGAGCATTCGCTTTCCATTAAGTTCTGGCTGGGATTGGGTGGCCAGCACCGTGGCATCATGAAATCCATTCTGCTGTTGTGAGGGTGGCTGCTGCTGTGCTGTGCGTCCACGACCACGATACTTCATTTTATTAGCATCGGTTAGACCCATAGCCATGCCAGTAACTAGCAATTGAATTTGATCCTGTAAATTATCTGATTTAAATAAAGCATTTTTATGAATGGAATTACTAGCACTTACCGTCTCGGGCAGATCTAATCGGAAGCGAAGATCGCAGATGGCACATGGTATCATGGTGCGTAACTTGAAGTAAATGGTCTGCAATAGTCTGGAAGGGGAACAAATATTTTTTCCGTTGACCGTATTAATTAGTTCATAACCTACCTCTGGAAGTGTTTGGGGAACCCGTTAACACTTTGGCCAACTTCAAGACGAGCACGCCACACTTGGGTGAACATCTGTAGATTTTTGACTGTGTCCATTTCCAGCATCCCCGGTACCTGCTGTGTATTTACCACATGAAAGCCTTCTGGTGGATAAGGTTCCATTAAAAGCGATATGATTTCCAAGTCTTCGATATCATCCACCTCCAAGACACACAGCTCCTTGTTGCCGCAGTTGAGATCGATCTCGTTCATCTCCTCCTCATCAGAGTCGTCTGTGTCCGATTGCTTATCCCCAGAGGCCCCACCAGTGGACAAGGCTCCTCCGGCATTGGCTGCCAAATCAGGATCTAAGCTTTTCAACTGATAAATCTCCTGGTTTCGCTCAAAAGTCTCTTGCAACTTTTTCTGCAGCTCATTGAGCTTTTGTTTATCGGTCCACGAATTACCAGCCACGATCTTTGGCACCTGAGGCACCGGCAAAGCGGTAAGAAACAGAGCTGTTCCTGTGGCTATCAAAGCTATCATACGCTCTCCGATAGCCACCTGAGTGCGTAGTCCAAAAATGGCATTCATGCCTTTGGCCTTCAGCTTATTAATAAGCACTCGATGAAGTTCGTACTCCAGGAAAGGCAGACCATCTGAAATCTCTTTGGCGTTCAGCTCAGCACGCAAATCTCTTTTTGCGCGCACCACTTGGGCCTGCATGAAGCACCCGCGGCCGGTGACCTGCATAAATTCAGGCACCTCAAGTGTAGCCAGGAGTACGTCTGGTACTCGTCCCTTGCGACATACGGCGCACTTCTTCATTTTAACATTGAAGGGCACCGAGCTAAGGTTGTAGGGTATATGACAAATGGCACAGGCATTCCGAGGTCCATTGAGAGGCGGAAGTGCAAAGCGTTTACCGCCCGAGCTGTTTCCAGTGCCCAGGGATCCAGTATCTTTTCCAATGCTGGTGTCTCCGGCGCTGCTTCCATTTCCTTCCTCCGTGGAATTCGTCATGCCTGCAACGCTAGCGGTTGCCTTTGACATTGTGAAGATATCGGTTTGCGACACAGATCTATTGAACACCATGTTAATCACCGCCGCTGTTCCTGTGGCAGATAAAACACATACATCGTCACTGCAAAACAAAGATAGAGTATTAATTATTATTATCTCATCAGTCAAATGTTTTTTTAAATCTAAATAATTCACTTCTGTACTTACGAAATTGTTGTGGTCTCCGCATAACCTAGCACTACATTACATCCCAGGGAACGGGCGTGCGATCGGATCTCCATTCGAAGCTCTGTCCACCAGCTGTCACGAACCTCTGGTTCATCGGGATTGGGCACTCGCTCCAACAGTTTAACGGAACGTGCGGCAACTGTTGCACCCAGATGAAGAATAAAGCCAGTCGGGTATTTTGTCATGGTGAGGAACGGATATTCCAACATGTCCAAGCTGTCCGTCGCTGTTCCAGGTTTGGCTCCCACAGCTGGCTGCGTCAAACGCATCATAGCCGTGGCAGCCACCAGACGCTCACTTGCCACACAAATAGAGTTTCCTGTGAATCAAGAAGATCCCATAAATGTTATATTGATACATGCTAACTTGCTTACACATATTGATTACATTTATATTTACAGCTGAATGGCTTAAGACTGTATGAAGGTTGAGATATGAGGTATTATCCACAAGGACTAACAAAAAATGATTAGTCCACATTAATCCATGGGCGGATAAATTTTATATTATTAATTTTGAATTTATCAAAGAAAAATAAGATACATCCGAATTCGTAGGATGGTTTGTTTATTGTATCCTTTAAAAATTTGGAAATTATTAAAACAAATTAAACCTATTAATTGCGATCCTGAAATCAGTTCAAGTCCCACAACTGTGACACACGTAATGATAGTGTAGTATAACATTTAAGGATAAATCAGATCGGATGAGGCATTCGTAAGATATAAAGTGGGAAAGACTTGGCGATACAAAACAGCTTTCACCCGCTAAAAGTGCAGGCGAGGTGAAGAGACAGAGAGAGGAGCACGCACAGACACACAGAGGTACATCGATAAAGGACACCGAGATTAGGCGGAGCATCTACTTACGCTTCCGGTGGAATGTAAAGGCTATGCCTGATGGCGAGATGCGGCAGCGGACGCAAGGATAGAACATTAGAAGAGACGTTTACGGTTACTCAGAGACGAGACGGTGTAAGTTTAGACACACGGTGACAGTGAACACGCAAATTGAACAGCAACTAGTGGTTAAAGCCTACATCCTTATACTAGATCTTAACTATGAATCTAGGATTCCATATCTACCCAGATTCCGTATTCAAGCCAAAACTTATAGACTTTAAGAATTTGACTCTTTAATGGGCATGAATACGAAATCAAGGCTGAAAAGCTCGAAATAATGCCTTACATACCCTTGGGCGTGACACTTAGGTCAGAGTCGGAAGATCTGCGGCAGATTTCACCGACGGTGGCCGGCACCATAGTCGTAGCCGTCGACGCAGTTGAAGTCGATGCACTATCCGCGTTTGTGGTCGCCGAGATACCGCTCTTCGAAGGACTGGGAGTTAACTTAAGGCGACTGTTGCTCACCGGTGAAGCGAAGCGCTTTAAATTAGGACTGCTGCCTTCTACTGTAGTGGGTATATTGGACGGTCCAGAGCTTCCGGCTGCCACGGTTGTACCTGGCTGCTGTTGGAGTTCAGTGCTGGATCTAAGTTCGCGTGGTTGTTGTTGTCGAATGGTAAATGGAGCAAGCAATGATGATTCATTATTCTGGTTACTATGGTTAGTACTATTAAAGATATTTACAGATTGATCTAATTGGGCAAGGCAAGAGGGGTTATTATAATTGAAGGTGACTAGATCGGATTGAGTGGGTGTGGGAGTGGAGGGACAGACGCGCAGCTCGGGCGCCTTCAGCAGCAACGTGTTAGGTGGCACTAGAGTTTCAGGTGCCACTAAATGATTCAAGGAGGCACTGCGCTGCATGGTCTTTTCGTAGCTGGGAAGAAAGTTCAACTGCAGCATGGACGAAGATCCACTGAGATTAGATCCAAGCCAATCATTAGAGCAAGTGGGCAACTCTGGCTGTGAGCTGTAATATGATTTGCGTTCCAGTGACGGTACAAATGGAAACTTTGGTCTCTTCTCCAATCTATCCTTAGGATTCAGATGTATGAGCTTTTGCAGGCGACGTGAGAAGCCTTTAAGGTCCTCGAGTATAGTATGGTGTCTGGGACCCAAATCTTGTTGGCTATTCTCGCAGCTTCGCGTCTCTCCTGGTTTAATCCAATTATCCTGTAGATCCTCCTCTTCTGGAGACTCATCCCCATTGCTATCAGGTGGATCTATTTCCAGATCCAACTGCACAGACTCTTCTGAATCAGTAGAGTAATTAGATGTTGGCCGAGTCTTCGCCTGAAACTCATCTCCTGGCAAATCAGGCGCTGAACGAGTGTTTTCCTGATACTCTGACAGACCAGGCACCGTGAGAAAACTTTTTACTGGCGGATGACCAGGGCGAACGCCCGTGTCACTGCTAATGGATCGCACTATAAACGGGGGAATAGATGACTTAGATGTTGATGCAGCGAAGCGAGACCTGCGCCGACGCCTAAAACTTGTAGTAGCTGCTGCGGCTCCTCCAAAGATGCTGCTCAGCGATTGCGTAGCATTCTCCGGGATTTTTGGTTCAATGCGACGGATAAGCGTGGCATACTTCTGACTAAAGACCTTACTTGAGGAAAGCGTTAGGCGTCGCATTCGGTGTCGCAGCTTCTTTTCGCGACTGCGATCTCCACGCTCGTCCTCCTGCCTTATAAGATCCTGCATAAGTTCCGCATCCTCCGTGTCGCTGCTAGCACTCTCCAGATAAAACAACGTTGCTGCTGCTGCCGCCGCCGCAGACGAAGGCGCCGACGAACTGGGCTCCCTATATATGTTGAGACGATATTGGGGTGTGCGGCCGGAAAGCGGCAGACTAGCGCTGCTTGCGCCCGCACAGTTGAGGAAGTCTAGATATTTTTGAGTCAGTCTAGCCGTTTGTAGGAGAAGGTGGTACGTAAATGTTTTATAAACACAAACACGACACAACAACGAAACAACAACGACAACGATTGGAACGTGCAATACGATACGACAAGGAGCGAAAATAGAGATATCGAGGGATGAACATCGTCGGAGATTTCGGTGTGGGGTGGAGAACGTTCAAGAAAAGAAAGAAATTGCTTTAGAACATGTTTAAATTGACTTCCTTCTAGCACCTACATTCGGCTACGGATGCTAAACCAAGACTTTATACAAGAAAGGACTGGTTGGCTTCGGGGACCGAAGCTTCAAATACTCTTGCAACCTAAAAATATTTAAGTGGAAATATTTCAACAGATATATACGTATAATAAAATAACAATAACTTTCTTATTGAAAACGTACATATACCATTAATAGACTTATGTAAAACAGACAGCCATTACTAATTTTGCAAGAGTATGGAAAATCGCACAGGAAATCTTAAGTTATGAGTCATTAGACTCACATTGCCCTACGTGCTTTAAACTACTCACTCTTCGATAAGGGCCACATCCGCGCTATTTGGCTGACTTGTGCTGGTGTCCTTGATCAACGTGACTGCCGTTCCAATGCCTCGGGCTACAACGCCCACATCGCCCTCTAGATCGAAGCACTGAGTATAACCGATGACAGCATTAGCGCCCATATTAATAGCCTTTAGGCCCATTTTCCTTTGCACCTGGCCCGACAATTTGAGAAATACCACCTGTCGGGCCTCGTTGGAAGCACGGGGAGTGCGAATTTTGTCTATCCACTGGTACTCTGGATCATCATTAACCACTAGCTCCTCAACAAATCCGTGAATCACCTGTGCGCGGTAGCCAAAGGGCACACACTGGGCTGCAAAAGAGATAAATGGTATTGAGGTCTAATTAGTAGATGTAATGATCTGCTCCGGGATTTAAGGAATTAATTGGGTGGAACTTAAACCGGATAGTATGTATAGTATAGAAAGTCTACATACAGTGGAAAAAGGGAATGCCGCAGGAGCTCTGTCGGAACTTGTTGACGTCAGAGAAAAGATCCACCTTGACTATCACGTTGATTTCACCGCGGATGCCGTGCATAGTATCAAAGACCGGAATCCAGCCGGAGAGCACGGTGCCTTTGCCGTGCACCGCCTGACTAGAGCTCTCCAGGCACAAGGGATTCAGACTGATGTTAACCTTTCCTATAGCATCATTGGCGGAGTACGTGTCGTAGTCCATCAGTCGGATTTGCAAAGGCTCATCCTGCAGCTCAGCATCGTCCACCTCAAAACGGAACCTTCCCAAGTAGTAGTAGTAGTTTTAGCTTATATGAATGTACTGGAAAATCAGAGCTTACCAATCAGTGTTCCAGGTTGGATTCAAGCTCTTGCGGAACACATCTGTCTTGTGGGTCACCGAGGCCAGTTTGATTTCCACGAAGGCGTCCGTAGTTTCACTGCTTTTGTCCATCACGGGCAGGTTGCGCGCCGCCTTGATCTTCACCCCCACCTTGCCCGGCATCCTGTCAGTCTCGCCTGTCGTCCCTTTTCACCAGATATCAGATTGTTACCACGAAATTTCGACCAGAAGAGTTCACGTTTTATCTTGTGTTTTCCATTTTCCCAGTTACCAGTGTGCCCGTATTTATAAAGCCCCGAAATCCCTAAAAATTTACCTTTTGGGTTAATGTAAATAGTTCAATTATTTTGTAATAATCTAAATGAAAAGGAACTGTTTTAACAATCATAAGACAATCAGAGCCTTACAGTATTCAACTTATATCAATATGACTGTTGATTAGTGTATTTTTAGCTAAAATTAGCTTTAGGGAAGATCAGGGCTGCCAACTTTGTTACTCTTTTGGTGACTCCAGATTTCAGCCATTTAGCTATAGCTATTTTAGTTAATATATAGTCTTAATTTGTTGACTTTAATAATAGAAGACAAGTAATATTTTTGGGTGCGAATGTGTCTTATTTGTGTATTCATTTTAATTTAAGTTTATTTTTATATATGAATAACTCAACTTCTCCGTATAAAATAGCTTTTTATAGCCAGATAAGGAAACAAATGATGTCATCCCTGTTGGAGAAAGTAAACGGCGAAGAGTGGGCAGAGCTATAACGAAAATCAATAGTCGCCGCCATATTTTTTCACTCAACGCAGACCAACGCGCTCCGGACACCCGAATAATGTTTAGATAAATAAGTTAATTAAGATAAGCTATAGTTGGAAGTGCACCGAGTGACCCAAGTGACAAGTGAACATCGACCGAACAGACACTTCATCGCCAATACCAATCCCCATAATTGCCAAACTCCGGCTTCCGAACGCTTCTTTTTTTTCCTTCGGCTCCTGCAGTCTTGTAATCTTCGTCCGATTACGAGGAGTCCCAGTGTCAGTGCTTGTGGGTATTTTCTAGCGTGCGAGAACAGCTAGCGAGGAGCATGGAAGGATCCTCAGTGTCCTCATCATCGATGGGTGGCCCACGTGGCGGAGGTTTCCGCGGACGCGGAGGTGGAGCACCTATGCGCGGTGGTTTTGATCGCGGACGTGGTCGTGGCGGACGCGGTCACTATATGGGCGGCATGCGCGGAGGCGGCGGTGGGATGGGTGGTGGACCGCCTATGCAGGGCATGATGTCGGGTCCTCCGCGAGGCATGCGTGGTTCCCGTGGCGGTATGGGCTACCAGGGACGCGGTGGTGGCTATCAGCCTCGCGGTGGTGCACCTATGGGCATGCGCGGCGGACGCCCTCCTTTATATTCCCAGCGTAAGTTCACAAGCCAGCCCCTTCACCCCCATTCGCACTTTGTAAATCCAATCCAATCCAATCTAGCTCCCAAACAACACACAGGTGCCGACAACAACAAGACCGTTTCGCCAGTGCCCACTTCATCGATTAGCGGAGAACAACCAGCAGTTGAGTCAGCCGTCGACGAGGTCACCGATGGTCAGTCCTCCACCGGAGTCGCTCCCTCAAACAACTCACATGGAGGAAGCTCTGTTCAAAGTGGCAGCAACGGTGGAGGGCCTCCTCCCTATCTCGGACGTGGTCGGGGACGCGGTGGTCCATTCAGCGGACGCGGACGAGGTGGCGGCGGTTACAATTCCCATATGAACGGCAGCGGTGGAGGCAGCATGTATGGCGGATCCCACAGCCACCACAGCAATTCCCTAGGTGGTCCTGGCGGAGAGCACGGATCGATGCCTAGACGTGGAGCCCCGCGGGGCAGGGGCGGCTACAATCAAGGTATGAGTCGGCCACCCTTGCATCACCATCAGGCACATAATCCCAATACACAACTTGCACCGGTACCAGCTCTCAAACGTGGCGCTCCCGGTGGTCCTGGTCCCAAGCGCGGTCGCTACGAGGGTGGTCCCTACGGACAGCGGCCCATGACGCCCAAATACCACTCCACACAGCAGCACATGGGTGGCGGAGGAGGCGGCGGCATGTCTTCGCAGTCCTCTTACGGCTCGCCGCCAAGTCACCATGCGCCAGCTCAGAGGTAAGTCCATTATATAAATTTATCATACTTTTGAATCATCTTCAACATTACATTTTATACAAGTCATCTTAAGCCATGTTTGATTTAAGTTTCTAAATATGCATACCGTTCTTGTACAGCCACCACAGTTACCAGACCCACGACCAGTCACAGCAAGTCGATCCATATGCACAAAGCGGTTACAGCACTCAGACCACCCAGCAGGGATACAATGGTTATGGCCAGAGCGGCAGCAGCTATGCGGCTCATACATCGCAGACAAGTGCCCCGGCCAGCAGTAGCTACGCGGCCCACCATGGCACTGAATATGATCAGAGCCAGTATCAGAACTACAAGTGGGTTAACTACTCTATATTCTCTCTTTATTTCCTTCCGAATGGGCTGAGCAAGTGCTAATGTGTATTGCTTTGTGTTTCCCAGCAGCTCGACGGGCTATGCTGCTCCTCAGGACACGCGGTATCAGTCGTATAGCCAGGACTATAGCCAGCAGTACGGTTCAACTGCCGTGGATTACAATGCCACCGGGCAAGCGGACTACAGCCAGCATGGTCAGCAGAGCACTGGCTACGATGAGCGTGCTTATGCGGGTTATGGTAGGTGATTTCAGTATCATCAATTTGCGTCATCCGTCAACGGTGTCTTCTTGCAGATTCGCAGGCCTACTCCCAGAACTATTCTAATGCAGCCGCATACTACTAGACATCCGTAACACACTCCCACCCCTGACGGCACACTAGAGATCAGAACGCTGCGCGTGCTCCGATAGGCCAAGAAACCAAATAAAATGGGATTAGGGCAGAAAGAAATCGAGTAACAGGAAGGGGAACTATGTTTAATGCAGTAATTTACTTGCAATACATAATACACACAACACACACACACACACATGGTCACTCAGAAAATAGAATTTTAGTTGTAAGGATAAAGTTCTCTTTTTCTTAGCATTTAAGCCAACTCGTGTTTCGACGTCTTTCTATATAAACCCCTTCCCCAAATTAATTTCTCCATTTGTTTTTGTTAAGTCTCCCCATGAATCCTGAACAAACATATTGAAAATACCCGCCATTGCCTGTTGTTTAATGTTTTCTTAATAGACAGACGGAGCTACCTGCACTGAGCTCCAGCCTAAAAACAAATCTTTATGTGCTTCTCCTTAGTTCGATTTACAATTACAATTCAACTGTGACCAAAGTATGCTAAAATCATATTCTTTATATGACGGGAAACTACGAGAACATACAAGATCTTAATGAACTAAACTAAATTAAAAAAACAAATTGTGAATCATGTCAAATTGTATACAAATGAATGCAATGTATATTTTAGTTATTAAGCTCAAAATCCGCAAAGAACTCTCGACAGACTGAAAGTTCATTTCAATCCCACATGCTCCTGAAAAACGATTATGATTTAGCAAGAATGTGTTTATTTTTCTTTACCATCTTGACGTGAATGACAAAAGTAAGACTTATTATTTTCTTTTTGTTTTACAAAAACTTTTCTTATAGCCACAATTTAAGCAAAAAAAAAAAGTTTGCAACTATGTAACTCCTTAAACTAAGCTGAGAAAAACCAGTAACGAAATACACAAAATATATTAGAAAAAGATGCAAAAATCATAACCATAATCAAAGTCAATAAAATAATGTTCAAAAATGTGTTTAATGCATTAAACTTATTTATACGTACATATTATTATTTGAAATATTTTGTTTTAAGAAAATCAATCAGTAAAAATGCAAATAATTAAGCAATACAATCGATCCAAAAGTCAAAGAATGAGTGAAAAATATGAAAAAACTAAAGACTGAATATATTCACGAACCGAAGCAGCACTGCAAAACATAGAAATCATGAAATTTGAGAAACAAATGAATGAAAGACAACAAAGTATTAAGTATTTACGAAATGATTACAAAGTCTATAAATTGCAAAGAACAATTAAACGCCTTGCAATAATTAAAGTGCCAAGTATACCTGAACAACAACACTCAGGATAAACCTTAAAAAAACAAAGCAAACAAAAATATTCGTTTCGAAATTTTAAAGGACAACAGTCAATTGAATTATTAAGATAGTGTCGCGAAAATATTACCGAGATTGTTCAAAATGATTGAACTTACACGTACCATTAAATTAGATAATTATCTAAATTTACAAAATGAAAGCACTGAAAAAAGTACAAACAAAACATACAATTTTTAAACATATTTTGGTAAGTTAAGGTTAAAGCAAAAAATATATATACAACAAATTTTAGAATATGTAGAACTCAGCATAAAAAATATTCGATATATGGAAAATAAATATATTTGTCTGATAAAAAGAGTTTTTACAACTCAAAAGCTTCGTTAGTCGAAGTAGTTTTAAATGCAATGGAAACGATGAATATTTGAATAATAAAAACATTTATATGCTTATATAGATTTATATGAACACAAAACAATTTATTTAGCTGTTGAGTTCTTCATACACACAAGTTCGGCCCTTTTGCCGCATTTACCATATAAATTGTAGCATTTAGATTTTTTTACAGGAATGAGAAATCAAAAATTAACAAAAGATAGCGTTAAAACGCTTATCAAAACTGAAGGAAACGAACTAAAATGGATATGTCAATGGTGGTAAACTGAAAACAAACAACACAAAAGACCAAGTAAAGAATGAAAACAAAACCAAAGAGATTATAAATCTATGAAATATTTTGTTTTAAATGTTGCACTTTTATGTTATTTATATATTTTCATTTATGTATACAATGATTTTATTTGTTATTGTTAAGATAAAAAAATACCCTAATTCAGGTCTTATAAAGACCAATCTAAGATAACACAAAAATGAAAATTAATTAAAAAAGACTGAATGACATTTTAACGAGATAAAATCTCTATAGATCAAAGAAAGAACTAAAAAAGGAATCAATAAATGAATACAAAAAACATATAGGATCCAATTTAAATGACACCTTTAAAGAAGAAAACATTTTTTTCTAATTTCCTAATTATTTATTTAAAGAAAATTAGATAAAGATTTTCAAGCAAAGTAATATTCATATTTTGCCTCATACGAAAAGGGCTTACAAGATGAACCCATTATGGAATAAAAATGCAAAACATAATGAATAAAATTAACAAGTATCAGAAAATCTATCTGCAAAGCATGAAACGATATGTAAAAATATCACACAAAGAAAATCATTTGTAAATAGCAAATATTTCTTAATTTACAAGTTTCGGAGTCTTATGAATACGCTTAGAAAACAGATAATTCCATTATTTCACGTTTTTCTGTCAATTTGATTTACAATATTCTATTATTTGTTTAGTTTTTTTTATTGATTTAATAAAAGCGTTACAAATGGCAAACCTAATTTAATCCAAACATGCAATTAAATGGAAACTTTTAACTTTTTCAGCAAAAGAAAATATTGAAAATCATAATTTAACCAATGGAGCGAAAGTATCTGCGCCCTGTGGAACCCATTGACCAAATATGTTTTTATAAAATATATTTCTTCTGGTTAAGAAGAGCACGTAAAGGAGAAAACATGATAATCAAGTTTTTAAAAACTTCCAGAAAAACTTACAAATGTTAAAATATTACAAAAAGATGCATCTGCATTTCTTCTTCAAGATTGTTAATTTCAAAGTAGTTTTTGCACATTTTCCAACAATGTTTTTGAATTTTTAACAATCAAGATTTTTATAATTAAAGTTACAAATTTCTTTTATATTTAGATGCCAGTTCAATGAATATGAATTAAAAGTACAACCTGTTATAGATTTTCGAAAAATTCTATATCAATCTAGACATATTAGTTCTCAAAGCAACTTTTCCTAAATAAAAAGCAACATTCTGAAATATTTTTTTATGTTCAGTTAAAAGTCTGAACCAATCAGTCGGAAAATTATATTAATATCGAATCTTTTAGGATGACTTAAAATATAAGCAACTTCAAAGACAAATAATAAAACAAAATGTAACAAAAATCTTTGCGCTTTTTATTTCTTTAAAGAATCATTAATATTTAAGACCTATTAAGGTAAGGAAAACATAATCTTCTCCATTTCTAACATCATCCCCAATTCCCCTGTTCAATTTAAACCATTTTCAATTGCATTTTGTCATGCATTCACATTATTGAGAGGAAAAGTTTGCCTTTATTAAAATAAATATCAGAAATTATGGTTTGGATTTAGAAACATTTGTTGGTTATTTTATAAATAGTGCTTCATGCTAGGGAAATATGTGTTAGATATTTTAGCTGTATCAAATACGTATTATTAGTTGTTATATCATTAAAAGGAAGGAATGAAAATGAAACTAGAACCAAGGGAAAAACCTGTATAACGTTTCGGGGGTCTTTGAGTATGTACAAATATGTATTCGATTTTTTTTTATAGAAACATTGGACACATCGATTGGCTATTTAATGAACTAGAGAGCTTCCAATTGAGTAAAGTTCTGAGTTTCCATTGATTACATTTGCATAAATATGTTGAAGACATCAAAATAGTGCTGTGCTTTGTGTGAACAAAAACGATTCCGCCGCTTGTGGTCAAGGTCCAGTGTCGTTGTCTCAGGTCGGGATCAAGGGGGTCTTGTAATGGTATCTTCTGAGTCCATGTCCTTAACGACGTTTGCCAAAACGCAGGAAGACGTGATCAACATCCGTACGTTTGTTGTAGTTCTTCAGGAGGTCATCGGAGTTAGCAACCAAAGCTGAAATTAGATTTATTTTTAAATTAGGGCGAAAACAATAGTGCATAGATTGTAAAGTAACAGGAAAAGGAGTTCTTACCAGATGCTTCGTTGTTGATGTAGGACTTGAGGGCCGTCGACAATTGATCAGAGTTCTCCAGGGCTTGGCACACCTTTCGGATGTGTGGCGGCATTTCCTCGACAATGCCGTTCTGGCAAAGTGGAGGACCCTGGACAGCAGCCCGTGTGTTGGACACGGCCAAGATGACGATGGCCAGGCAGCAGGCGACAAAGAACTGAGCGAACGACATGCTGCAAGTAGGTTTGAAGATAAGAAATAGTATGCAGGAAACATGATTGACATCGTTAGCTGGTGTCAAGCTTATTAGATTATCAGCAGAGCAAAGGTTACCCAGCAAGGGCATCCAAGTTGCAGGGCGACTTAGCCCTATGCCACCACCATCCGACCCCACTGATTTTGATTAAGTGTAATGATCTTAATGCTACGTGCCTGATTACCACTCGCTGATGATGATGATGCCGTCGCCATGGCAAAGTATTATGCATAAATGGAGTTGTATTTAATCTCAGGCTCGCGGCGAAGTTTCCATTTTAAATCGCATCCAAGCAGGCGTCTTAATGCTACCCTAATATGTTTACGCGACAGACAATTTGTTTCTATTAGCTGGAAAAGGCAAAGGCTGTTCCTATTCAGTGTCACCGCCCCCCTTTGATGATGATTACGATGATGAACGTCGAGGCAGTACTCATACGCCCCGTATTGCAGTTGGCATGCAAACACCTGTGCGAACGTGTTGCTTCCACATCAATTTAGCTTAGAAAATCAACACCAGAAATCGAGAGGAAGGCGGAGTCACGTTAGGACACGTTCCAAGGATCCAAACTGCTGTAGCTTGTTTAGGGCTCAACTAAGGTGCACGTATGCAAATCAATTGCACCTGTTTGTTTATTGCGTAACATTTGGAGGCCTTTAACTGCTAGTGAAAGCTAAAAAAAATCTGATTGCTTAGACTTTAAATACTATTTAAAGTTCGTCTAACCAAAATAACAATCTTACTATCCAAAATAACTCAGTGGGATATTTAAAAAATCCTATATTTTAAAAAGTATTTTCCAAAAATAAATTAACAGAATCGAATCTCTTTAAATTCTAAATTCACTCGAAAGTTTAACAGATTAATTTGTCTCATTTTAATATTATTAAAAGTTTGTTTCTGATACTTTGATATTTTTCACACTATTTTTACACTCAAGATCCTTTGCAGATCTCATCAGTTATTGCTCTCACAAAGTATCCAAAACTCTGACTTAAGACACAATTACCCACCTGATGAGGGTTTTTTAAGATTGGGATGTTGCCACAAAAAACTTGATAGTTTTGTCACTGGTGTTCAGCTGCTGCTCCGTTTGCTGGACTTGTTGAACGCAAGCACTCGAATGATGTCTTGTCCAGCCAGGACATCCGCTTTTATTTACTTCTGTCGAGGACAAACGCAGATGGCGCGGCGGCCTGTGATTGGCTGAAGCGCGGCACACAGATAGGACTGGCAAAAAGGTGGAGTCGGGGGACCACATGTTGCTCTCCATGTTGGATACTTGGTGGGCGTGCTCAAACATCACTCATACGCCACCGACACCGACCAAAGCACGATGTGTGCACTTGGCAAACTTTCGAGGGGAACGAAGAAGTTGGAGAGATGGAAACCCACTGAGTTGCCCAATATGTTTATCTATTATATAACTTTATCAGCTCTTAATTATGTTGTAAAAGTTGTCGCTTTTATGATCAGTGGCCGGCATCCATCACCTATTTATAGGTAGTTATAATCATTTATGGCCACCATCGAACGGTTATTGTCCAACCCACGGATCTACTTTAAGCTCCAACTTTAAAGCTGATGTCCTGGCCACTGCATTTTGCTTCACGGATGCGTAAGCAGAGTAATCTTCGGTTTATGAGACTGGGATTTTCAGGCGAAGCGTTGCAATTAATTTGAATTTGTGCGTGTTTCGCATGCAAAACCTCTCGATAAGAATTTCGACTGTGACGTCAGGCATTCATCTTGAGTGGAGACTACTCAGAATGCAGATAAAGAGATGGCTGAGTCTGTGACAATTCGAATTAACCAAAAATAAAGTCTTATACGGCGGTCTTTTATGTTGTTACAATGACTAATAAAGGGACAAATATGTATGTAACAGTGAATTCTTGTTCGATTTAAAAAATGATTTTTACATGATTTGGCGTCATATAAATGACTTTCAGACTACAAATTATATTCAAATAAAATGCAAAATGTACATAATAGATAAGTAAATAGTTTATTACTATATTACAATATTTTCTACAATATATATCATTCATTTATTTAATATAATTCGATTTAGGTTTTCTGCAACGGTTATTACTGTTATAGGAAAAGCTGTGCATTATAATATTACTTTATTATTGTTGCCTCTACAATGTAACAATTTTCCGTAATTGAATAAGAAACGCTAAGATCTACAGCTTTTTTTCTTTTTCTCCTCTAATAGTTAGTTACTTATGGATAATGAGCTCCATATTGTCACACAAAGCACATTGAACCAACCATTAAACTATGAGCCCGCGTCCAAGAACCCAACTAATTGGGTTACGGTCATCTCAGCTTGTCGCTGTCATCTTTGATGTACAAAAATCAAGCCAAATAATGCAATGCCAGTGCCATATGTGAGCAGGAAAAGAACGGGGAGGGTAGGTTGTCCAACAATGTTTCGCGAAATTTGCACAAAATTTGAATAAACTGATTGGGTTTCAGTTGTACGTGAATAGTGCGTCAGTGCAGGGAGAAGGGGATAGGCGAGTAGGTCACAATGTAGCCCATCGATTAACATTTAAATTATTTTCGCCATTTTGCGGCCTACGCAAATAAATGGAGGAAAAACCCCAGCCAAACTTGCTTAAATTTTATTTTCTTCTTGGTTATCGTACATACATGCTAAGGATTAAATGCAGGGCTTCTTTCAGCCCTTCAGTCGAGTAACTTGGCCACAATAGGATCCGGTGCGGACATGGCATAGCCCAATTGCTGAAGAGCCCTCCTGATCTCGATAAAAACACTGGCATCATCGATGGTCGCCGGCAGGATAACGCGCTTGTTCCGGGCAAAATCCGCCATTGCCTTTCGCATTGTCTTTCCGGATCGAGTGCGTGGCAGGTTGTTCACGGACGTGATCAGCCGAAAGGCAGCAATCGGCCCTACCACATCCCGGATCAGCTTGATAATCTCAGTTGATAGCTTGGCATCGGTCTTTGTGCAATTATCCACCGGAATGTACAGGCAGAGCGGTACCTGGCCCTTAGTTGCTTCTGGTACACCAAAAACAGCCACGTCCACTACATCCGGATGTCTGAGCACAGCGTCTTCGAGACTGGAAGTAGATAACCGATGGCCAGCAACATTTATCACATCATCATCTCGGGCTGTCACAAAGATATAGCCACGGTCGTCCTTGTAACCCGCATCCATTGTGTCGTAATAACCCTGAGGTCGAGAAATTTTCATAAGTTTTTAATGGTGGTAATTCTTATAGTTCATATGGATATAATAAATATAGATATTAAGGTCCAAAAGATAACTTACTGGGAACTTTTGGAAATACAGTTTGCAGAAGAGTTCTTCGTTCTTGTATAGGGTGGCCATGTTTCCGGGTGGCAGGGGTAGCTTAAGGGCAATTCGTCCCAGCTCCGATGTCTGAGCCTCGCTGCCGTCCGGTCTTAGGATCTTGACTGCAAGAGAGATGTCCCAGGACTTATATCCTTACTTTGCGAAGCTATCTGGAGCATCACTCACCATTGTAGCCCATTAGGGGTAGACCAGTGGAGTACGTGGGCGGACTGAGATTCTGCTGAAAGCCCAAACATGTTGCGGTCACCGCCGAACCGGTCTCCGTCTGCCACCAGTGGTTTAGCACTGGCACCTTGAAAGTTTTCTCGATCCAGGATTTAGTCTCATAGTCGCAGTGTTCTCCAGCAATGAAGATGGCCCTCAAAGACTTCATTGAGTACTGACGTCCGTAGGTGATTTCCGGATCAGCGCGACGAATTACGCGGAAGGAGGTGGGAACTGAGAAGATCGACCGGACTTGGTATTGGTCGATTATTCTAGGAGAGAGATTTGTGATTAATAAACTCATTACTGATAAAGATAAACTACTCACCTAAAGTATTGACCCGGGTCTGGAGTACGATCTGGCTTGCCCTCGTACATCACACTAGTGGCTCCCAAGCAGAGTGGACCGTAGCAGATGTACGAGTGACCCACAACCCATCCCATATCTGAAGCTGCCCACCAAGTGTCACCGGGACTAATGCCATAGAGAGTTCGCAGCGTGTATACAAGAGCCACCAGATGGCCTCCAATAGTTCTTAGAACTCCCTTTGGCTTATCCGTCGTTCCCGAGGTATACAAGATATACAGGGGATCATTGGCTTCGATGGGAACACAGGCTATTGGCTGCTCGTCCTCCGCCATTTTCAAGACGTCCGACCAGAGCACATCCGTTAGCTGATCCAGTTTCGTTGTATCCGGCGATATATTGTCCCGTTTGAAGATGATGCTCCTCTGTGGTGGCCGCCAACGCGACATGCTGATGGCGGAGTGCAGGATGTCCAAATAGGGCACCACCTTACCTGGCTCTACTCCAACATTCGATGCGATTACTAACTTTGGTTCTACATGCTCTATCCGTGAACAGAGTTCCCTGGCGGCAAAGCCACCAAAGACCACCGAGTGAATTGCGCCCAGACGAACAATAGCCAACATGGCAATGATAGTCTCTGGGATGAGGGGCATGTAGATCACCACGCGATCACCCTTGACCACCCCTAGTTTGGCCAGACCACCGGCCAGCAAAATAATCTGGTCATAGAGCTCTTGGTATGTCACTCGGCGTACTGTTTCCGTGATCGGACTGTCGTGAATTAGAGCCACCTTGGCACCCCGACCAGCTAGTATGTGCCGATCGATGGAGTTATAACAGGCATTCAAATACCCACCCACATACCACTTCGTGAAGGGTGGGTTGCTGTTGTCCAGTACCTTTTCCCAGGGCCTATCCCAGTCGAGCAGATGAGCCTGCTCCTCCCAAAAGGTCGCCGGATCCTCGACACTCTGGCGATAGGCCTCCAAGTACAGGGGATCATGTGATTCCACGGGCATTCCGCATACGGATTCACCTGAGAAGAAGGTGAAGCAACTGGTGGGTTAATTGCTCCCTCTATAAAATAGATCGCTGCTTAAAATTAGGCTTTTAAACTAAGTTTCAGCCCTACCACTCAATATCACCTTACACCAAGCGCACCATTCAGTCGCATTGAATTTTAAATTTTCTAAATGTCGCGGTCACTCAACTGATTTCTATATACGCTGATACCCATGTACTATACAAGTATATGTATATATAGCCTAACCAGACGCCGAGCATAATCCACACGTCATTGCCGCTAGCCGTTGGACCTTAACGCCTCCGTCTTGCATAGGCTAATCGAAATCATTAATATTTAGTGCTAACAGTTTCGGCGCACAACTAAACTCTAAGTAATCATACGAAAGTCGCATGGAAAGTTCATTATTTTAATTTATAAGCACTTTTTTTGTTTTGTTTTCAACTCACAGAAATTTACAAAAATGTCCTTTATTGAGGAAGTATTTCATTATTTTGAATTTAATATGTATCTTTAGGATACATTGCTTAAGGACACTCCAAAACATTTCAAAGCAATAAAATCTTTGTTTAAAACACCATATTAAATTATTTTTATACCGAAAAACTCTGAATCGCATTTTCCTGATACTTATATAAAAAATAATATATATTATATATAAGTTTAGTATTCCCTTAAAGTCATGCGATTACTCATCGGAAATGGAACTTCTTCTAACGTATCTCCAATTGAACCCTATTTAAACTTACTTTCTGCACCTGCACCGGGTTCCATTATGTTTCGTGATAGTTTTTTATATATACTTTATCCTAGTTTATATATATTTCTTATGAGTCCGAGTCCCCTATATATTTTTGAATCACACGAGCTGAGCACAACCGTCGCACTGTAGTCGAATCTTTGCAATGGGCCTGGAGAATGTAGAACGCAAGTTGAAAACCAAAACCTTTAAGAAACACCCGATCAAAGGTTTGCTTTCGAAATTCTCCGAAAATGCGAGAGCCGGAACGGTTGAAAATGGTTTACGGAAGAGAGAGGAATTTTAAAAAATATTTCATTTGTACAAAATGATTGTAGTTACACATTAGTTCAGCTTAGTCTAATTCAAATTAGTAATTAATCCAAAGGACTACTTCTTTTTCTTATCCTTCTTGGTCTTCTTAGAGGGAGGTGGCGTAGCCACCGCCTGGCCATCGTCGGTGGAAGTTTCCACACTGAAACCCTTTATGTACGGCTTAACCAGTCGGAAGACCAGCTTCTCGTGCTGTACGTTGCTGGAATCCAGGCTAAGTCGAACAGTGACCGGGTCAAAGGAGTGAAATACAACGTCACCGCAACGCTGAGTATAATCCTCTTCGTTGAATGTGAAAACAAGATCACTCTTGATACGCTCCAGGCCTTCCTTGCCATCCTTATCCGACTTTAGATACAGGGTGCCTTCCAGACCGTATTTGGGAATAAGAATTTGCAGAGCGTTCTTGCGCACAAATAACACATATCTAGAAATAACAAAATATATAAAATATTTCACCAACCGAGGTCTCACCGACTTACCCTTTCTCATCCTCCTCCTTGCCGCGGAAGAAAAGATGCGTGTTGAGAGCCACGGATGCACGACCCGCATACTGAGCCATTTTGTGGCGGTAGTTAAGGTTATGACACAACTCTTCGTTCGATTTCCGCTCCAACAATTGGGCATATGTGCTATCTGCGCCAATGGAGGCGGCCAGCAGGCGATGAACCATGATGTCGGAGTAACGACGAATGGGCGAGGTGAAATGAGTGTAGATTGGAGCAGCCAGACCGTAGTGGAAAAACTCCTCTTTTTGCAGACTACCGCTGATAAAATACACAGCTTGCATCATGCAACGTGTGGTAAGGATCCGAATCATTGTGTTAAAGTATGGATTATCTGCCTTAACGCACTTGTCCAGCGAATGCGAAAGCTCAAGTCCCGACTCGATGCCCACCTGGAAACCTTGGTAACGGGCGGCCTTGACCAAAGGATCGAAGTTGGTGGGCGGCGGCCGAGGATGGCGACGCAGAACAGCACATTCGGTGAACTCCGTGGCGATGTGTTCGGCCACTGTGATGTTAGCCAACAACATGAACTCCTCCACCATTGAGTTGGTCTCGCGCATCTGCTTGACCTCAACCTCGAGTGGTTCGTGTGTTTCGCTATCCACCTGAAAGCGGATCTCCGGCGAGGCGAGAACTAGGGCACTGCAAATTAAAGATTGCATGAAAATCTTGGATTACTCTTTGGAAAATATAATCTTACCCATTGTCCATGCGTCGTTTTTTCAATATCTTGGCCAGGCGATTAAGATTTCTTAAGGATTTTGCTAGTTCATTCTGCTGCGTTGAATCGTCTATAATAACCTGAGCCTCCTCGTAAGTCATAGCTTTCTTCGACTTGATGACGCTTTTGTGGAAGCGTTTGCTTAACACATTCGCCTCTTGGTCCACCTCCCACACACAAGAGAAGGCAAAACGTTCGACACCGCCAACCAGCGAACACAGATTCGAGCTGAGCAGTTCAGGAACCATGTCGATACGTTTACCTACCAGGTAAACAGTTGTTCCCCTGGCGGCTGCCTCTTTGTCTAATGCGTTTCCTGGCCGGATAAAGTGACTAACATCTGCGATGTGGACGCCCACTTCTAGGTTGCCATTTGGCAATTCTCTGCAGTGCAAGGCGTCATCAATATCCGTGCAGCCCGGTGGATCCACTGAACAGATGTACAGATCCCTTAGATCCACACGCTTCGCGTAATCCTCCTCGGTAATTGTCCAGGGCATCTGCGGCAGGAAGCTGAGCACCTCATCTGAGAACTTGCAGTGCGGCACGTCGTGCTCTAGTAAAATAACCTCGTTCTCAGTGGCCATGTCTCCAAGTGGTCCCAAGGAGCGCACAAAGTGTCCATGCGGGTAGCGCGAGTTCCGCGGCCATGTGTCGATGGTCACAATGATTCGCTGGTTTAGCAGCTTGGCCGCTTGTCTTGTTTCAATACGGATTCGAGGAATCTTCCGGTCGGCAGGCACAAAGATGTGGCGATTGGTGTCTTCTATCAGACTAGGCTGAAGGATTCCACAATACTGCCGCCATTTGCGACGCACAATGCCCACAATTCGCCCGGTGGGGGTACGCTCAGCAGATGAGGCAGCAGCCCGCACCTGTCTCAACATGTCCTTCTCATCCTCCGCTCGTTCCTCGCTGGGCACTTCATCTGCATAGACGTTTTTCTCCTCCAGAACGATTTCACTTGGAGCAGACCACTCTTTCTCGGGGAGTAGCTCTACGGCCACCAAGTCACCATCTACAGCTCGGTTTAGAGATTCACGACCTTGGATCAGGATCTATAATTCGGTAAGGCAAGTTTTATTAAATGTACAGGATCATTTATAATTTAAACTTACGCCCTTCTCGAAATTCTCTACATTAACGGTGCCCTCTAGATAGTTTTCCCGGGAAGCCTGAAAAGCACCCTGCAGAAGCTTTTTCTGGCGCAGTCCCTCAAGCAATTCTCTCATGCTAAGATGAGCCGGATACTGGGGCAAACCCTTCTTTTCATTCTCAAACGTTTTGTGCGACAGTTTGTCCACAAAGAAAAGGGAAATCTTCGAGAGATTTGACATACTCGCCGGCGGAGGTCACTAGAATCTCCGCGGCTTCGGCCTTGGCGCGGTTCCCAGCATCATCGGTGAGCAGAATAACTCGCGTAGCAGTTCTACCACTTCGATCAAACTCTTTTGAGGATTGTGAAGCCTGAAGGTGATCATCATACCACTTGGTGGCCATACGGATGGCCCGATCATTGCGATCGTTGGCGGTCTCATCAGGTTCGCGATCCGCATATGTGTCCCTGGGTCAAAAATGTTTATAATAAAGGCGTTTCCTACAAAATCCATAAACCTACTTGTGGTGCTCGTTGACAAACACATAGAAGTTCCTGGTGCGATCGTGGATAAGCTCATTGAACCGCTTGTAAATTGAGGAACTTTTATGTTTCACCTCGTTCAGCACGGTGGTCAAAACGATTACGTTACGGATTACATCCTCCTCGAGAACGTCAATCTGATCCAGAACAACATTGGTGTCCAAAACAAGGTAGTGCGGGAACTTGAAGAGACTGCTCTGAATCTCGTGCTGCGAAGTGAGCTGGTAGACCTCGTTCTGGAAGCACTGCTGGCAGAGATCGGAGCCACAGCCGATGTCGTCGCGCAGGTAGTGCTCTCGCACAATCTTCAGGATGTTGCCGCGCTTGGTTTTACGCGTAAATTCACGTAAAGTTTGCATTTTTAAGAATTGCGTTCGAATTGCACCTCCACATGTGTGCCGGAATTGGGAGGCCTTGGGACTTTCAAGCAACAGTCGCGTTTCTCTAAGGCCCGTTCGCATTGAGGACGCAACTGTTAAAGTCGCAGCAGCGTATGGTTTGTGTCCGTGATGTTAAGTAAATTCTATTACTTCTTTAGGGCATATTTAGTACCATTTTGCGAACTGATTTTCTATATCGGCGCTTAGCACGTGTAGTACGCACGTTGCTTGAATTTTGTTATTTAAAACGCTAAACTGCATAGCTCACCGATGGTTCCCAATGAGAAAAGCTTCCCCCGAGGCGGGACAATCCACAGCGAAGCCAAAACCGCCGACATCAGTTCGAATATCGTAGGTTTAGCCACGGATATCTCCGAGAATTCTGTACTCACTTTTCTGTTCCACAGGTTTTTGGTGCTTCGCAAAAGAAGGTAAAAAAGGCTCCGAAAGTAAAAGACAACTTTTTGAACGATGCAAGCGAGGAACAAAATGAGCAACTGGAGGCATTCTCAGCGGAATCCCTTAATCTGGACACACTGCAGGAGGATATGTTGGTCATGGGAGTTGTAAAGGAGACAAGCGCCACAGCTCTACAGATTGCACTGCCCGGACGGTTATTCGCGCGAACCCTGGTGGCGGACATATCGGAGGCCTATACCCGTGTTGCTAAGGCAGCGATGTCGGGGGACACCAGCGAATACCACGATCTCACCGAGCTCTTCCAAGTGGGTCGCATCGTCTACGGCAAGGCCATCAAAACAGATAAGCTGGGCAGCAGCAGGATCAGCCTTTTACTTTCTCTTAAGCCGGCCGATGTTCATGGCAGTCTACATCACAAAAGCATCAAGAAGGGATTCATCTTCTCCGGGGCCGTATCGGAGATCCAGGAGCACGGATATGTTATCGAGTCAGGAGTACAGGGACTGCAGGCCTTTGTGCCCTGTGAGGAGCCAGCGCAGACGCTTCATGTGGGTCAGCTGACTTTTCTCAAGGTCAATAAGGTCCAGCACGACACCCACCAGAGCACTTGCACCTGTGTCCAGGTGCAGCAGGACCAGATGCGCATCAAGAGCCAAAATGAGACGAATCTCGACTATATTTTGCCGGGCAGCATTGTTAAGTTCAAAGTGGCCAAGCACTTGAAGGATGGACTGAAAGGTAGTATCATGAACGAATCCTTTAGCGCCTATATTAACGAGCACCACCTGGCCAACGCCTTGGACACGTTGGATACCTACGAGTTGAATGAGGATTACAATGCAAGGGTGCTCTACGTGATGCCCCTAACAAAACTGGTGTACTTAACACTCAATTTGGATATCAAAGCGGGAGATGAAGTGGGAAAAGATCAGGATGAGGAGGAGGAGGAGGTAGGAGAGCCCCTTAAGGTGGGTTCCGTAGTTGAAAAGGCCAAGGTCCTGCGGCTTGGTAGTGGCGGAGTGGTGCTGCTGCTCAACAAGAAACTTAAGGGCCTTATCTCTTATGGTTCCATCAGAGCAAACTTTAAAGGAAACTACGACAAGGACGAAGTGTTGTCCAAATACGGTCGGAAAACCAAGCACAAAGTGCGCATCTTGGGCTACGACGTGATCGAGTCACTTTACTACTGTTCTGACGATCCCAACGTGATCAATGAGAAGATCTACTCCCTGGAAGACATTAATGCCGGTGATTTAGTGACAGCAAAAATTTTCAAGAAAGACGCCAAAATCAAGGGCTGGTCAGTAAGGATTGGAAAAGTCAACGGAATACTGGAACAATTTTATCTGGCACCCAATCTTCGTTACGATGTTGGTCAGTCGGTAAGGTGTCGCGTCCTGGAAGTAAATGTGGAGCGTAAAGTTTGCTATCTGAGCAATCGCAGCGAGTATTTGGGCAAGGGAGTGAAACTGCTGACCGATTATTCGGACGGCCACGTTGGAAACGTCTATACGGGCACTGTTGTCCGATGTGAGGACAATTATGTACTCGTTAAGTTCGGCAATGGCGTTAAGGGAGTCCTTCACAGGCAAAATCTAAAAGAAAAAAGCTCCTTCTTCGAGGGTCAGACAACTAAGTTCCGGATTCTAAGTCGCAACAAGGACCAAATCACTTTGACTATGCCGGAAGACAAGTTCCAACTGGGAGAGATCTGTCCCGTTGAGGTAACCAATGTCTTGGACGCTGGACTGGAAATTAAAATCACTTTTGCCGCCGACGATGAAGATGAGGACGAAGACGGAAATCCCAGTGTGGAGGAGTACGTTGGGCTTATCCCACTGCGGTTGCTCTCAGATCACCTAGAGTTGCTACACGCCCAGATGCGTGTACATCCAGCGGGCTCCCACACCGAGGCAGCTTGTATAATGCAGAACATCTTCAGCTTGCGCGATGTCGCCTACTTCAGTGGCCAGCTTACCAAGGACTGGCAATCGGTTAAAGTGGGAGACATAATTCGTTCATATGTTAAACACGCCACCGATCAGGTTGTGGATCTCATGGTGTCCGTTCGCGACTACAACAAGCCGGTGAAGGTTCATGTTAAGATGCTTCGTCTAAATGCCGTAAAAAATGCGCCCGTAGAGCTGGTTCCAGAACAGCTTTTGTTGGTGAAGGTTCTCAGCAAGGAAGCCGAAACCAAGACGTTGACAGTGTCCGCCAAGCTCACGGACGTGTGGAGCGGAGATCTTAGCGATACTGCCAAAATGGTTGAAAGGTTAGTTTACTATTAATTATTATTAAAAACAGGATTTCAATTTTTATAAATTTTACTTAAGCTATCTGGACGAAGTGGCAAAGATCAAGGCAGCGCTTCAGAACACCTCTGCACCCATTTCCAAATACTCGGTTGGAGATAAAATTGACGTGGTGTTTAAGGGCATCGATGCAACTTCCAATGACTGGGTCTACACAGTGGAGGGAGGTTCTAAGGTTTCCGCCCTGCTGCTTTCCAGTCTGGTGGGAACAGCTAAAGCTCCCGAGGCGGGAAGCAAGAACCAGGCAATTATTCTATGGATCGACTACTCCAGCGACGTTCTACTGATCAGTAACAAGAAGCTGGATATTGCACATATTTCACCAAGCGGTAAACTTTCTGCAAACCTGATCGGAAAGGCGGGCATGAAGGCCAAGGTACTGTTAAAACTGGAATCCGTGGTAGTGTGCTCACTAAAGAAAGGTACAAATCCGTTGGTTATATGTCCGATTCGGTTGCACCCTAACGATGTGGAGAACTCTGGAAGTGCAGAGCTGCGACAGGGAGATTTCTGCAACGTAGCTTTTATTCACGACAAGCTGCCAATTGCTGTGCCAGAGACTGTTTGGCGGCTATGGAGAGGAATAAAAAGAACGGCGGGCTCAGAGGAATCCCTTGTTAAACCAAAGAAGGCGAAATTAGAAAAGCTGACCGAACAGAAGAAAACCATCATAGAGGAGAAGAAAGTCAAATCGGAAGTCAAACCCTTGAAGCGAAAAGCTGAAGAAGCAGAAATACTCACCAATGGTAAAAAGAAGACTACACCAGTGACCAATGGAATTGTTAAGGAGAAACCTAAGCAGAATGGCAAACTCTTCTTTGAGGATAAAACTCCAGCTAAAAATACGAAGTCCGAAACACCAAAAAGCAATGGAACTGAAGCCAAGACGCGATTGCCCGGTGTGTCTAGTTTCTGGGATAACGACTTGAACCAGTCAAAGGAAGCTTCCAGTGATGAGGATGAGGAACAGGACGCATTGGCAACTCAGCAAAACGCAGCCAAGAAAAAACGACTCAGCTCCAAGGAGAAGGCCAAAGCGGAAGTTAAGAGAAGAGCAGAGACTGCGAGAGATTGAGGAACGCAATGCTGATCCCAAAGCACGTCTAGAGACAATCGACCAGTACGAGCGATTGGTGATTGCCCAGCCAAACAACAGTATATCCTGGCTAAAGTACATGGCATTCCTTCTGTCTAACACGGAAATTGAAAAGGCTCGCGATCTGACCCGAAGAGCGATATCAACAATATCCTTCCGAGAAGCTCAGGAGCTAAGGAACATGTGGAGCGCATTGCTGAACTTGGAGCTCGTATACGGCAACAATTTTGATGAAGTGCTCAAGGAAGCCCTGAATTGTAACGATCCTTTGGAAATCTATATTAATGTTGTAGATATCCTAAAGAGGAACAAGAAAAAGGAGCGGCTATCCTCCGTGCTTACCACAATCCTTAACAAGTTTAAGGCGGAGTTAAGGGTATGGCCCTTAGCCGCCGAGGCCTACTTCTGGCTGGGGAAGTCGGACCAGGTCCATAATTTGCTTCAGCGCGCTCTGCGAGGATTGCCAAACCAAGGGCGTAAGTTTATTAATCAGCCATCATCTTAAATCGTATTTTAACCACTTTTAACTACTTTTTCAGACATTCCCTGCATTGTATCCTTTGCTAAGCTGTATGCTAAGAACGATAATAATGACATGGCCCAGACATTACTCGACGATGTCGTCACTTCATATCCTAAGAGAATTGACATCTGGTCAGTATATGTGGACATGCTGATTAAGGCGGGCTTAATCGATTCTGCGAGGTGAGTTTGATTACTAATTTATAAGGTAATAAATTGAGTTAAATTTTATTTATTTAATTAATTTTCAGAAACGTTTTGGAGCGCGCTGCATTGCAGAAACTGAAGCCAAACAAGATGCAAGTTATCTACAAGAAGTATCTGCAGTTGGAAGAGAATCATGGGACGGAAGCAACGGTGGCCAAGGTCAAACAGCAGGCCGAACAGTGGGTGAAGAACTATGCCAAGGCGACAAAATAGTTCCATCTTACCCCATATTATAGAATATAATTTAGGATTAACAACAAAAGGTTATATACAGAGTTTTTTCATGATACTTTATTCTAAAACTATTTTAAATGAAGTGTGATTCCGAGTGTTACCTTTAATATATATGTATGATAGTACCTATATATTATAGAAATACATATAAAAACGTTGCTTTGGCCTTGCCCCCTACACATAGAATGTAGGGCTGATGCCAATAATGAACTTAAGACTTGAACTAAAATCAAACATATTCTGTCACTGTGTATGATGGATATGATCTAAACACTCCACGCTTAGGGTTAGGGAGGGATTTAACGGGTTGGGTTTGGTATAATGACCGTGGCGGTGACACTGAAAGTTACAATGACAAGTGACATGAGTTTCTCTTACATATTAATCAATAATAAGAGATTAGACGTTAGAAAATGTTACAATGGTTTCTTGATTTAGCAATTAGATTTAATTTATACATAAAACAGTCTGTGGTCACTCCTTGAAGATGCCACGCGCCTTGGCAGATGGTTTCCGCACTCTACCCCGGCTGCTTACGCTCACCCGCTGATCATCCGAGTCCACCGAACTGCCCTCCTCGTCTTCCGCATGCTCCCGCTCGGTGGATGCCTGCGACCGTTCCTGGGAGCTGGCATGGACATCTCCATTGCGGATTCGTTTTCTCCTATGAGAATAGCCTGCTGCCGCCTCGTCCTCCTCGGACTGCTCATTGTAACGCGGCCTCTTTTGGTTTCGACCGGTGCGCTGGTTTCCACTTCGATTGCTACGACGACTGCGTGGTTCCACATAATCGTCATCATCATCGTCGTTTACAAAGGAGTTATTGGAGGGCGGGCGACGAGTGCGCCGCTGCGGACGCTCCTGTGTTGCCGCCGAAGAAGAGGATGTTTTCACCTTTCGCCTCGTGCGACCATTGCTTGGCGAGACGTAGCTGGTAAGCGGCTGATTGTCTTCCGAGTCCGAGTCCTCTTCATCCTCATCCACATAACTCTGTGAGCTTGAGCCTCCGTCGGTGCCTTCATCGGACGCCGCCGCCTCCTCTTCCTCAGGCTCTTCGTCGTGTGAGTTCGCCTGACTGGCTCGTCCACGTAGACGTCTTGTGACAACGTTGCTGGTACTATTGGTAGTGCTATTTGTGGTTGATGTGGGTCGCCGGTGATTGGCTATGGCTGAGAGCAAAAGCGAGTTTTCAAGGACATCCAGACTGGAGTCCAGTTCATCGGCGTTGCGTTGATGACGAGACAGAATACGTCGTGGTGCCCTCGATGAATTGACATTGCCCAGGTAATTGTGGTCGTGGGTGGACAAAGCTGGCTGCTGTTCTAGCCTAGATGTTGCGGCCGAGGTAGTCGTAGAGGTAGCATGAGAACGAGTCATGTGAGTGTTCCGTTCTGGTGGCGAGGCCATGCGACGTCTCAGGCTTAGCGGATGTGGTGCTGTTGTCGCCGTTGAGCTAGATTTTGCAGGTGCTTCTATAGGAAAAAAAGAGTTTATAACTATTTTAAATGGAAAGTAAACCCAACTTACTTTGCTGATTATTGGCCAGTGGCTCGTTGTCACTGTCATCGTCATCGTCGTCACTCTGGGCTGGACGGACGACAGTGTTGCGGTTTGTCCGCAACTGACGGATGGGACCAGCGGCATGTGCCAAAGCTGCTCGGCTAGTAGACGGCACGTCGTCCTTGGTGGGCGTTGGCAGGATCTGAAAGATAATGGTTTTAGGTCGTAACGAGCATTTTCGTTGGCTAGTACAAGACAGACTTACCTCTTCGGCTTCTTCACTGTCTTCTTCCTCCTCCTCTTCGATGTCGCTGCCACGACCCCAATCCATAAGGGCCCGCTTGGCGCTCTGACGCGTCGGCCTGATCACAGGAGAGTCTGTATCGGATTCGATGATACGCCCGTTGCGGACAGGAAGGTGGTAACTGTGATCATTTTCGGCGGCCAGATGTGAACCTCTACTCCCATTGGCCCGAGTGTTTCGAGAGGGACTTTCCAGACTAGAGTTGGCAGCCGCTGCGGCACTAGTGCTCGGTCCATTGCCTATTGTCTGGGATCTGCTGCTCGCCGAGCGACCTTTTCTGCGGCCTACTTGGCTGTCCTGGGTGCTCTCATCGTGCTGCGATAGGGAAGCCGCCTCTTCTGCGGAACTGCCTATCATGCGACGCGTCCGGCGTGGCGAACCAGCGGCAGCTGCACTAGTACCTGGACTTTTGTTATACCGGCGACGTTTGCTGGAGTGTCCATTTTTCTGCCGGTTGCTGGATGGGCGTGTGAGCCCCGATCGTCGGCGACTACTACGTCCTTCGTTGGGATTATAGCTGTCCTCAGAGTCGTTGACATTGGATTCATCGGTTACCCGTTGCCGCTGCCTGGCCCTACGCGTGCGTGTCTGCTGAGGCGAACTATCATTGGACTGGGCTCTCTCCTCTTCATCGCTGCTGGCATCTGAAGTGGCTTGCGCGCTGGTTTCCTCCTCCTCTTCTTCCTCGCTACTACTGCTCTTAATTCGACGCTGCTGGGCGGCGGATGATGAAGTAACGCGGTTAGATCCAGACGAACTAGCACTTACGGCTACACCGTTACGTCGACGAGAGCGCACCCTCGTTGCTTCCTCCTCCTCATCATCGTCGTCGTCGTCGTCATCATCTTCGTCCTCATCCTCACTGGAATTTGGCAGTGGCAATCTTCTGGCCGCCGCCGACGTTTTTTGATTGCGACGCGAGGACCGCTCCTTGTTGGCTCGCTTGTTTGGACTACTGCTGGAACCACCGCGTCCTCCTCCACCACTGCTGCCCGATTTATTTTTATTGGCACGCCTGCAGGCCGCCTTCCAGTTGGTGACCACTGTTTTGATATGGGACTCAAAGAGCGCACATAGTCGCAAGGTCATAGCATAAATCTGAAAAGAGAAGTAAGAAATAACAACAAATTATTATTATTAAAAAAAATGTAAAATGCGTTAATTGAAATATGTTAGTACCCCGAGATGGGAGATGAAAAACCTTACCGCTATATTATCCTACATTAGATGATAGTCACGGAGATCGTCATTCATTTGGTTTAGACATTTTATTAAAATGTTTTTATGGGTTGTTATATTTTCATTATATTGTTTTTGTTTTTACATTTTTGATGGTCATGAGTTAGGGTGGTTAATTTGAAGATCGAGATTGAAGGCATGTTCACGGAAGGCAAAAGAAACGTAAAGAATAGATGGATGAGCTTGCATATGTGTCTACGTGAGTGAGTGTGGGGTAGGGATCGCAACTTAAACAAAAAGGCAATAGCTGAGAAAGGGGTGGATATCTCAGTCCTGGAATGCAATAAATGACGATCTGCAACCGATCTGCCAATCTGCTTTCGACTCACCCTCGAGCGTTTGTTGGTGTTGTAGTTCTTCGAATTTTGGAAGATCAGTCGCACATCCTTCGCAAAGTCCAGCGGATCATCGTAGTTCCCCCCTAAGAGATCTTCTTTTACTGTGCGTAGATCCATAGGCGTAGCTATGATCTCCAGGTAGTCTGGAAAGTCAATGGTATCCACGGGTTCACGGAAGGGCACCGAATCTGTCCGTGCCCACATCAGGTCGAGCAGTTGCCGACAGTCTGCGCGCCAATCACCTTCCGAGTGAATTCGAGTGGATCTAAAATAAAATTGATATAAAATATAATAATATTATTATTTCAGTTTTGGTCCACTATTTAACCCCAGCTTGTTCTTAGAATTATATATTAAATGAAATGTTTACCGTCGGGCGGAAGATACTCTCTGCCGTGCTGCTGCTGCGGCTGCTGAAGTAGTTGGTCCTGTGCTTGTCGATGGCACTACATCCGAGTCCGCCTCGTTCTCCGACTCGGATGAGTGGTACACATCCGCGAGTTGATGATAAACAGCAGCCACATCTATCTCATCTGCTTCCCTACAAGATTTAAAAGGTATTTTAAAATCGAGTGGTTCTTTATAGAACACATGATTTTACTCACCTGATGATCCTCAGGCAAAGGTCTGTTACAATCCGTGAGTGCTTGACGATTATCGCGTGACGGCGGTTGTACTGCTCCGCATTGGTTGCCAGATATCGAACATCGAACTGAGCTGAAGTGATGCGCCGGTAAAAGTGATTCTCAAAGCGAGACTTTATCGTGGTCAGATCAATGGGATATTCGATCAAATAAGCGTAGTCTGGATAAATGTTCAGGTCGACAGGGGCCAGGAAATGCTCGGCTATAGAGAGACGCATTACCTGTAATATAAAGTAAATATAATATAAAGTATATATAATATAATATAAAAAACACAATCAAATTTTTACAAATTGCATTTTGAATTTATAACCCCAATCATTACCTGCTCTAATCCATTTATTATTCGCCTACAGGTGCCATCCCGATCCCCGCGATGCCACTCCTCGGATTTTGGCTGGTATAAGGTCGCGCGTATTTCTTCCGGCAAAACGTCAACAGCACCTCCTACCTCGACGGGCACCCTTTGCTGGTCGATTGGCTCCATATCCCAGGGACTCATGAACTCGTACTCGCCGTTGTCCCAACGCACGCGGAAACACATAAAGGATGAGTCTGGGAAGTCAGCGGAAAGAGCGTGGCGCGATTCAATTTGGCCCATCCACCAACCGTCGACAATCATGCATCGAAACCGGTCACCAATGCTCCAGTTGCGCTGCACGGCAAGATCAAAAGTTTGGCGCAGCACTAGAAAGTCCAGAACGTCAGGCATGTCATGGTACTTAATCTTAAACGTCGTTCCTGTCATATTGCCTTCCTCATCTATGATGGCCAGCTTTAAGCAACACAATCGGGGTGGTCGGATTTCGTACTTGATTCCAATAACACGTACAAGCTCGTGGTCTCGCAGTGTGTGAAAATTCCATGGCTCTGAGCTATGCGACAGTTTGTAGGTCTTCTTCAGACGCACTGCATCTAAGTACTTGGCATGTCCCTGTCGGAAGTAGACAACTTCGTCGCCCATCTGGGGATAGTATGGGGCCTTACGTGGAATCACCTCAGACAACCACTCAGCAGGTCTATACAACTCCGGTATCTCTCCATTAGCGTCTGTGGGCGGAAACAGAACGGTTTTCCGACCTACTTTTCGGGCCGTAACCTGTCCACCTCTGGCTCTGCCCGCACGTTCATCGTCGCTGCTGTCATCGCTACTGCGTGGTCGTCGGGACAATGGTTTTCGCTTGGAGCGCTTCGGGGGCTCCAGATTTGGTCCGGGCGTGTCCGCTACCCAATCAGAGTAGTCGGAACTGTCTGTTTCTGAGTCATCGCTGCTGTCCTCTAGGTTTTCCTCCACATTCGAATAGCTTGTGTCGCCGGAAGAGTTGCTGGATACATCTTCCTCTTCCTCTTCGGGCTGCGGAGCAACCTCATCGAAGGGCTCCGGCTCTTGATCGCGTACAGCACGTGTGCGATAAGCTGGTTGCTGTTGTCCGGCTGCCGGCTGGGCGCCACGTCTTCGTCCAGCTCTTGCCCCGCCGCCGCCGCCGCCATTGGCTCGCGTGTTCCGCGGTCTTCCCACGCTTCCTGGCTGTTGCGAAGATGCTGCACTGGCAGTGTTTATCATAATGGGTCTGCGCCGCATTTCTCGTTTGTACTCCTGTTTCTCAAACTGACCAGCAGAGTAGATGGTCTGCTTAAGGTTCTGTAACTGAGGGTACTTCATGGGACGCACATAGGTGCGTCGGATGAATTTCAGGGGGAGCGCTTGCTGGGCTTGTGCATTACCAGGTTCTGCTGCCTCTGCTGGTGGTTGCGACGGTCCAGGTTGATCTTCAGCTAGAGGAGCCGCTGCAGCTCCCCATCCTTGGCGAGGCGTGCTTAGACGACTTCCCAGAACATTGCCGCGGGAAGCTTGCCTGCCATTGGAATCGGGTAGTTGACGATTGGTCAAACGTTCAAATGACTGGTTGCCATTACTCGGATTCGCATCGTTAGCATTGACATTAACCGACTGTCGATTGGCCAGGGCTGCAATCATGCGGTCTATATGGGAATAATTAGCTCCAGCTGCTCCTCCAGCTGCAGCTGGGGCCATTATTGCAGGTGGGGCCTCAGCAGGTGCAGCAGCTACAGCAGCATCACCACCTGCACCGCCATCGTCGATTACTACGCCATCCACGCCAACCGTAAGATTTGGAATCAATTGGTCTAAGCTGCAGCTCTCACGACCAGGCACAAAACGTTGAAACCTTGAAGGATGCGGGTTGCCATCTGCATCGACGAGGAAAGGCGGTGGCATTAGGTGTGGCATTATTTGTGTCTGTTCGTCCACTACATGATGCTGGGCATCCCGTATCAAAGGCCGAAAATCCGTGTGAAAAAACAGCTCAGTGGGCAGCTGAAGTGAATCAACAAAAAAGTTATTTATTGTCCTTTAAAAATGTCTCTTTTAAATTTAACTTACCATTTTGTACTTTTCAATACACACGCCTAAACCGAATATTAAGATGTGTCCATGCGAGTCGGTGGCAGCTATCATTGTGCCATCCGGTGACCACTTTGCGTCAAACACACTGCCATGGCCCTGCCCATCAATGTCGTTAAGAAAGTTGGCCACAACAACGCCCTGATCTATGTCCCATAGAAACACCTGGCCATCGTGGCCGGCAGAGAGCAGGACATACTCATCTCTTGGGTTCGACTCAAGCACATATAGCTCATCCTTGTGGCCTCGCAGAACACGATGCAGCTTGGCTGATTTCGAGTCCCAGATTTTAATCTGTTTTTTTTTTTGGGTTATGAAGGTTAAGGTTTATAATAGTTAAGCATCAAAAGAAAAACTTACAGTAAAATCGTTAACGGCGGTAATGACGTATTTGTCCGAAGCATCCCAGGCTACCATGGTTACTTTTAGCCTCTTTCCCTCCTCCGGTTCTGGGCAGCTGTATTTTAAAAACACATATTTCCATTGTATATCCAAACCACTTCATAAAAAAAAAACGTTTCACTTACCTGTGTAAACGCTCCGTCATACAGAGCTTGGCGCTCTTCCACTGCTGCGACTCAAACGTCCAAATGTGTGCGGTGCCATCTTTGCTGCCGGAGATGAATCTCAGGCCACGATGCGACCATTGAACAGAGTCCACTGCATCTGTGTACGCTTCTGTCTCTAAAATCCGCTTCGGTCCGTCCTCACCCATCATGTAAACGCGGACATGGTGATCGGCAGAGCCAGCGGCCAGGAAAATACCGCCCGGCGAGAATGTGGTACACATCATCTGGGCTTGTCCGGGTCGCAGCTTCTCGTGGTACTGAGTTGGTTTCGGAGCAAAGGTAATCTTTTGCCCACGCGGAGTTGAATACTGCCAGAAGGCGATAGATCCATCGGTGCTGGTGGTCACCAGGTACTTAAGATCGCTGCGCGGCGACGGACAAAAGTTTACCGACGTTATCATGCCTGTGTGGGCGGACAGGACGGCGATGGGCGAGGTAGTCTGCATATCCCATACTCTCAGGATGTGATCCAACGATCCCGCTGCTAGCATTGTATTGTCCAAGTTGATGGCGATATCCGTAATCTCGGATGAGGCGCCCCGCAGCGTGGCCAGCAGACGACCATCTGCTGCGGACCAAATCTTGATGAGCAGATCATCGGCTCCGGTGATGATGTAGCGGCCAGTGCGGTCGAAGAGCACACAGTAAACTGAAGACAGATGGCCCACAGTGCGTCGGAGCAGTTTTGTTCGACGATAAAGATCCGTGGGCACGAGCAGCTTGCGACGCACATCTCCACCATGCTCCCGACCGGTAAGTACGCGATCTAGAGATATATATATATATTAGTTTTAATGATAATATGCTTTGACCTAAATTTGCTCCTTTTCACCATGGTGTATAATCCATTCGATTTCCATTTTTACTCACCCAGGTTATGTGTAGGCTTGGTCAGGCAGGAATCTGGCAGCGAAACTCCATGAAGGCGAGTGCAATAGTCCTTCAAAGAGCGGTGGCAGTAAACGGTTTCCTTGGAGCGCAGGAGATTCTGGCGCCCTGTACCCAAGAGCGAGTTTATCCCTGGCACACTGGGCGGCAGTTCGCGATCCACCAGTGGACCAAGGCGGCCGCATATTTCGAGCAGATGATTGGTGCCAATGTGCTTGTACTTTCGTTCCTGTGAAATAAAATTTTAAAGTTAACGACTTTCTATCGATAACATGTCCGATAAGCGCAAAACATATGGTTGTCTCCCTCTCTCTCGCACAAGCCAGGCAAGTGGTAGCTGCTCGCGTGCATGTGTGCGCATGGGCATGTGAATGTGTGCGAAAGCAAAATGTCGGCTGCTTGCAACTAATTGTTCTAACTAAAATATAAAGTATTTGTTTAAAAAATATTCGTTTTTCAAAAATGACTTATTTTTTGGGGATATTGGAATTTTTACAATAGCTTTCTAAATTTTTCAAATTTTAATTTTTTTTTAAACTTTTTTAGTGATTAAATATTAGTTATTGGTAAATTTAATATCAAGAATGATTGATTACTTTAGTTTAAATGTTTTTACTAAGCAAAAACTATTTTTTTATTGTCAACTTTTTTCTCTATTCCCGTCAGTCGATGACGTCACAAAGGCGCACGCAAGAAAGAGAAGGAAAATGCTATAGCAGACACACACTTACGCAAGACTTGTACGCCGATCAAAAGGCATTAAACGATACGTTTAAAAACTAATTGATTAATTATGAAAGCACTCACCAATTCCTCAAAGGTTTGTTCATGCTCATTTCCCTGCCAATCGAGCCGACGCGGCAAAACCTGGGAATACAAAAGGTGTATATATATAGATAGATGTATGCATGTAGATATATATGTATATGACGGGCTGTTATCAGTTGCACTCCGTGACGTCGGCGATGACGTCGCGGGGCATCCCTATGATTTTGTATTTTTTTGTCTCTTTTTGGATGGACTATATCCCGTGGCCCCAGCAAACCCACAATTCAGTCTGATTTCCAACTCTGAGACAAGCGGTTGTATATGTGGGCTTTTGTCGACGTTCGCTGCCGGCAGCAGAAACAACAACAAAACCAAAACAAAGCGTATAAACAAACGCGGTTTTCTTATTTTTTTTGCCCCCCTCCCGAGCAGAAATATATATCTCAAAACAGAAACCCTCTTAAAACTCACCTTTTTCTCTTCGAGTTCCCGGATCAAGACCTAAAATAAAAGTTGGAAATCGGATTGAAAATTAGTTAAATGTTTGTAAACAAAGCTGTGCGGTCGCGAAATTGCGCTCTTTTTTCAGATTCCGATTCCATTGCGATCTCAAGAGCGCTGCTTTTAACCCACCTTTGCCGTTTCCTCTAGAGGCCCCGCAGCCAGGAATTTGGAGATGAGGAAGTACAGCTCTGCAAGATATGGAATTTCACATATTTTAGTGCAACAAGTTGTTGGAAACGCACTCGCAAGGAGTCGCCAATATGGAAATTATATCTGGCCAAAGGCGCCCGTGCAATTCGCTTGGCCAAACGCAGTCGAAAAAACGCAGCCATTCCATTCGAAGGGCGACAGAAACACAGACACACATTTCACAAAGTCTATGGGGCTGCGTTTGTGAGCCCCGTTTTGCACACTCGTTACGTTCCCGGCTAGTACGCACCTGGCTTTATCTCATCACCGGAACTGGGCTTTCTAGTTTCCATTATTCATTGCGAATTGCAGCTTCGATTATGACAAAATTGCAGTTGCTTTCTTCTAAAATTCTTTTCGCAGCTTCTTCTTCTCGTGTGACTCTCGATTGTCATTCGCCCGGAAGATTCGCGCAGGCGTTCGATAGTTGAAGACTGGGCTCACGACAGTGGATATCGATTGTTTATCAATAGGGCAATTTTCGTATTTGTATTTGAATTTTTGAAGAGGATTCAATGTGTAGCTGCATTCGGTGATTTTAACCAAAATATTTGTATTTTTAAAATGAAAAACAAAGAACTTTTATTAATATTTAAACCTTTTGGAAATTACACCTAATGCTGTGAACAAAGCTTAATCAAAACTTTTAATAATATAAGTAGAAAATGTATTTTAATTGCATTTTTATTAAATTTGATTTTATTTTTAGACGTATTTACTAATAAATTTCATGAAACTAAATAGTTACAGTAGTCAACTTAAATGTGTTGACAAAACAAGGATAAGCGGTTAAATAAAAATATTAACATCTAAAAAAAGTTTAGTCTTTCTTTAAAAATAGCTTTACACTTAATTTGTAAATTGAACAACTTTCAAGAAACAACAAAATAAAGAGAACGGAATAAAATGAATAACTTATTGAAATTTTTAAATTCAGTCAATGGTACCGATTACCTTAATGTACTTCGGCACTTAATTCGGGGTGAGTGTCACGAACAATTTAAAATTTAGTGAAATTTAGCAGGATAAAGTGTGTTCTTTAATTAGACATAAATAATTCAAAATTAAAAAATTTCTATAAAATTTGTTATTATTAAAGCAGTTGAAAAGGCGACTTAAATAGATATTAAAAAACAGTTTGCACTCTATTCAGAATACCCCATATGCCGAGCTCCCACCCTTAGATTCGGATATCGGAGCAGCTGCGATAATTATTTTCTGGGAGATTTTGCTATTTTCTCATGTAATAAAAAATAGAACTGTCCACAAAATAAAATTCAGCTAATAAATGTCCTCGGAAACCGAACACTGGAACGGATAGAAAATCAAGCAAACATGGAGTGCAACCTGGGCAGCGAGATTGGGCAGAAGATGCGCGTAAGTGACGGTGGAAAATCAATGAACTCGTAATGCTACTCGGAGAGAATACCCTAAATTAATGTTTTCATATTTAATTGATAGAGTGCCGTCAAGGCCAAGCTGTTGGAGCTCGGAACCGGGGGATCGGCCGGTTTCATAGACGATGAGCTGCCGGACTACGTTATGGTTATGGTGGCCAATAAGCGCACAAAACAACAAATGAACGCAGAGCTAAATCTTTTCCTGGGCGATCAGACTGATCTTTTCGTCACCTGGCTGCATGAAGTGCTGCAAAAGCTACAAGAGGTTACACTGCCCGCATCAAGTGGTAAAAGAAAAATAGACTTTTTCTAGAACACCTATTAATACCCTTTATTTTAGCATCCAGCAAAAAGCGAAAGTCTCGTGGCCAAGGAGAAACGGTCAAAGTAAAGGATAAGGACAAGGATAAAAAGGGCTCCAGAAAAGACAAAAGGCCGCACAGGAAGTCCGGTGATGAATTATTGGAGCAGCAATCAAGTGCCACGGATTCCATGCCCGTTATCACCTCTATCACAGATGTCTTTGCCGAAGAATTACTTGAAAAGGCAAAGAAAACCATGGACATCGATCTCAATGCTAAAGACGAAATCCTGCACAAAAAGAAAAAGCGCAAATCCATTGAGGATGAGGAGGCTTCGGCCAGCAGAGAATTGGACTTACCCGTCGTGTCCGAGATCAGCTCCACAACCAGCGGGGTCAATCGTCAGAAGGATCTCGCTGAACTGGCCGAAATCCAAAAGAAAATCCATGCAGCCAAGAAGCATTTACGCCAGATTGGCGAAATCGGAGATGAAAGCGATGAAGATGACGATCTTTTGAACTTAAGTGCACAGGAGGAGTCAGTGGAACAAGAGCCCGAAGATGAGCATGTTCAAACGGAAGCGCCCCCACGAAAGGCTAAGAGTCCGATTATTTTTAACAGACGAGAAAAGACACCTGAAAAGCGCGCAGATATAGAACTAGAGATTAGTTCACGCCAGGAAGCAGCGACAGAGGTGCAGTCAGAGGAGCAAGCAGCGGAGAAGTCAACTGAAGACCGCTGTGAACGCCGATCTGTACACGATCGTCTGGGATCCAAAGCCCAATTGCCGGCAGAGCGCTCGCAGCGTACCCAAAAGGAATTATACGTACCGGCCCATCGACGACGCAGCGAACCCGAGGCCAACAAGGAGCGAAGTCAGCGAGATCGCTCCCGAGAACGACGCTCTAGCCGAGATAACTCTAGAGACTCGAACCGTAATCACCGTCAACGTCGCTCGCCTAGTCCGGAGGCTACAAGTTCAAAACAACGTATTGGTTCCCGGGTAATTGTTGCTGTGAACAAGCCACCAGAGCCATCAGACGATGAGGATATGGCCGATAAACCAGTAAACTCCGTTATTAAGATTAAGCCTAGGCCACAGGTTTCTCCCCGGCGGCAGGCCTGTAAGAACCTTCTGTTGCGAGCCGTGGCCGACGCCCAGCGTTCCACAATTCTTGCTAAAACTTCATCGAAGAAGGAAACCGAGGAGGTAGAGAAAAGGAGCAGTTCTCTAGGCAAGCGCAAGTCTGTGGAAAAGAACGAACGGGTTCGGGACCGCGAGAGGGATCGAAGCAAGAGAAGTGCACCCGGCAAAGAACTCTTCCGGCGCACAACTAGGGAGTTAGTTGTGAATGTGCTGCAACGGGATGGCAATCGTGCACGGCGACCCAACGAGAGCCGCGCCGAAATTAAAGTGGTAGAGGAAGAATACGCGCCTTCTTTGATTAAAGATCAGATTGAATCGTATGTGCCGCAGTTGCTAACCAATGTAGATGAGTTGGACTTGCACATCAGTTCGCATGACGAGCCAAGTCCCAGTTCCGGCGCACTCAAGACTCAGTTTGTAGTCACATTGAACGGCGACAAAACCCTTGTAGGAAACAATGGCAAGGGAGGCTCCTATCGCAAAAGACCAAGCATCTCACGCAAGCGTTCCTCGTCGCCTGCACCCAATCCTCAAGTGTCCTCTTCCAGCGCTGATCCTACGGTTTTGACGGCTGAGAAGCGACGACGATCGAATCGCGATAGAAGCTTTTCAGCCTCGCCAACTCAGAGTAGTGGCTCGCCCTCCCAGCAGGCAACGCGTAGTCTCAATCGCAACGAGGTGCTCCGGCAGCCACAAGAAATCAAGAAAATCATAATTAAGAATGACACGGATGAGGATGACGAAATGCACGGTTCACCCAAGAAACGTTCGCCTAATAAACGTCAACAAGCAATGGCAGCTACAGTCCCGGAAAATGGACACAAAGACAATAAGGATAAAGCTCCAATTGAGGATCGCTCGACAACTCCCCCACTACCGGCCAAACAGAAGCCGCGAGTGGAGAAGAGGGGTACGAGCAAGGAGAAACACGTAAGATCTAATTCAGTAGAGACGCCAGTTGGAGCCGCAACATCAGGCGCCTCCACATGCCCTTCTACAGCTACCAAAGCAAAGCACACGCCTATACGTTTCACACTTAAGAGCGACGAAGAGCCGAGTGCGAATAAAAAGCGTCGTTCGGGGAGCACAGAACGTGATGCAGTGGCTCCGGAGAAGCGCAGAGTTGCAATACGTAATGCAGAGGACAGAAAATACGACAACTTGCCGGCATGTAAGTGTATTATTCAAATTTAATGAAAACTATTACTCAAAATAACATTTTTACCATATTTAGTAAGCGCAGTTAGTGTGGATTCTACTGTGCTAAAGGTGAATAAGCCCAAGGAGCGCTGCAAGTATCATCCGAACTGTACGAAGCAGTTCTGTGAGTACTATCATCCGACGGCACCTTGCAAATCGTTTCCCAACTGCAAGTTTGCGGACAAGTGCATGTATTCACATCCCAAGTGCAAATTCGACATGGCCTGCATGAGCATCGACTGTAACTTCGCTCACGGCGGCCAAAGAGATCTAAGTCATGTACAGCTTGCGGCGCCACCACTTTGTAAGATATAATTATAATATTATTCTTATTATGATAATTTATTAATTCGCTACTTTTCACTATTTAACAGCATCTCACGTCATACCAGTTCAGAACTACAAGTCGATATCGGCTCCTGTGACCTCCACGACGGCAACTACAATGTGCAAGTACTACCCGAATTGTTCCAAGTTGGGATGTACCTTTTATCACCCCAAACCCTGCCGATTTGGCAAGAACTGTGTGAACAAGTTGGAGTGCATCTTCTACCATCCTGAGATGCAGAGCAAATTTAAATGGGTTGCATCTTTGGGCTAAGTAGGCCATTGCACTACACCTTTTAACGATATTTAGCAAATGTACTCTGGACTCTTGGCGATCGGCCACTATTTGATACCACTCTCTTTCAATTGTATAACTAGGCGAGCTTGGAGTTTAATTTTTTCTATATACACAATTGTTGTATACCTATTTAATTTTCATTTTTATTTGCATTCATCCTACTGCGTATAATTAATAACTTTTATATTAGTCATTAGCAGCTCTCTCACTGAAATGATAAACAAAACTAAAGTTTGTTGTTCATACGGATTTGTTTGCATTCAAACCATTAAGTACACGTCATGCTAAAGTGGACGAATAAATTAGCAATAGTTGCTATAAATTGGAAAAAGAAAATCATGATTTTTCATTATTGTTGCCGGGTAGTTATAACTAGATAAATTTGTTATTAAAAATATAAAATTAATAGACAATTAATTGGAAAAAGTCGAAATATTTAATATTTATTATATAGTACAGTCTCTTAAGTTTACGCTTAGAAATTCTAGAGCAAAATATGTCTTTTATTTGATTTACTTAACCAATAGTTTCTCATATTTTTTTCTTGTTGTCATTGCTTTTTGTTACTATTTTTTTGTTATAAGGCCACATTTACTGATATATATACTCACGTATATATAGGCATATAGGATTTTCAGTTTTTTGATTTCGATTTTAGCTCAGCTAATTTAGTTTAAGAGTCGGCAAACAATCCTATTTACAAAAATACTCATACAATACGTTTGAAGGGAATGTAAAGGGGAATTCGGTGTCAGAGCTCAACTTTGTTCGCAGCTTTAGGATTACATATACGAGAAATCGAATACTGAATCTAAACTATCGGAACGTAACTACATAACGACTATAGGGGGTACGTCTGTCATATAAACTACTAGAATAAATAGACAACGGCATTATTAACTAACTAAAGCGTAGGCAGGGGGGATCGGGGCGAGTCGAGGTGGAAGCCTGGCTGCTGCTGCTGTTGCTTTGAGCACCTTAAGATGTAAGTCGTAACTAGGGGGCGAACTTAGTACAAAACATTGCGTTACTCCTACAGCTAGGTGTATATGGGCGGATTTAAAAATATCTTTTGTTTGCTTTGCTAATCGTCGCTCACGCTCAAAACTAAATAAGTCGCTCTTCCGGCGGTGGCTTAAGCACGTTGTCCATTTCCAGCCTCGGGTTGCAGTACTCCTGAGCGCTGGGGCTGTAAGTGCCCCTGGTGGCCCGTTTGTTTCTGGCCATAACCAAGAACGTACCTAGTAGGGCTCCCGCGATCAGCAGTAGCACCACCACCACGGGAATAACTATGATGGCAATGTCTGTCGTCGAGGGTCCATCCTCCTTGGCCGTGATCTGAAATAGAAAACAATATGTTTTAGATTTTTTGCTGTTTATTTAACAATGTGTGTCGATCTAGTAAATTTCGATTCGTAGATTAAACACAATAATATAATTATTAAATGCTTTATGATCATTAAATTATCTGTAAACTCACCGGTGCTGTGCAGTTTTTGCCAGTGAATCCTTCTGGGCATTCGCAATAGTAGTCTGGTTTGGCACCACATGATTCCACGCAGCGACCACCGTTGGAGCAGAGGTCCGTGGCGTTGCAAGGATCCGTGAAGTTGCAGTAGGCCCCGCAATATGGTTTTTGGCAGATGCACTGGAAGGACCCGGGCTTGTTAAAGCAACGGCCCAATCCTCCGCAGTAGTCGCCTTCCACACTGCATTCATCGATGTCATTCTCGCAGCGAACGCCCTCGAATCCAGTGTCCTGGCAGTCGCACTCGTACCTGCCCACGAGATCTTTGCACTGTCCTCCGTTCTGGCAGGGATTCGATTCACACTCATTTACGTCCTGTTCGCACAAGCGACCTGTGTATCCCAGGCTGCACTTGCACATGGGGGCCTGGTTGAAGTAATGTGTTTGGATAAGTAAAAGGTTTGCAAGATTATTCCTTTCAAAAGAACTCACCACTCCAGTGGTTAAACAAAGGCCACCGTTATCGCACGGCGTTAGCTCACAGAAGGGAATATCACATAGTGGACCCTCAAAACCGGGCACGCAGGTGCAGGTAAAGTTATTCCCAGTGGATGCATCTAAAAATAAATTATATTTAGATTAAGTAACCATTTGGCATTATATTTAGCATTTTACTCACTAAATCCATTCTGACAGGTGGATCCATTCCTGCAGGGCTCGTTTTCACAGGTCATCTGTTTAAGCACATCGCACTGTGGGCCTGTATAGTCCTCCGGACAGTCGCACAAATACGCTGCGATCAGATCCGTACAGTTTCCACCGTTGTGGCATGGCTGATCCGCACACTCGTCAATATTTTGCTCGCAGTGCTGACCTTCGAATCCTGGCTGGCATTGGCAATAGAAAGCCGCCACTTGGTTAATGCAGGTGCCATTGTTCATGCACTCCGTGTTCAGACACTCATCAATATCGGTGCCGCAATCATCGCCCTCGAATCCAGCTTGACAAGTACACGCGTACTCATCGGATGGAGCCTGACAGAAACCGCTATTCTTGCAGTCGGACTGGAAACACAGAATGCAGCCCTCCTCCGGACGCGTGGTGTTCAATCGGAATTGGGCTTTCAGGTGAACGGAAACGTTTACGGTGCGGGGATATAGCTCGGCATTGGAAAAGTAGGGCAGCAAGAGATCACCCACCCTGGCCTCGCCTACACAGCCCTTGAACTGAGAGCCCTGTTGGGCAGACAGAGTGGATCCTCGTGCTTGTCGAGATTCTGGCATGCCTCCCAAGTAAATCTGAGTACTGGAGGCGATTAGAGATTGGATGGCTGCTTGGTCAATGTCTGTAGAGAAGGCTGGCGCTGGATCCACCATCGATTCCCAACCTTTCCAGCCACCCTCTAACTTGCCATTGTGTGCCCTCAAGTAAATTCGACTCCACTCTCCGTCAGTGTTCTCCTTCTCGAAGCGAGCGGACTCGCCGAAATGAAGCGCACTAAGCTTCCAGGTGATAGTCACTCGTCCACCGTTCACGCCAATCTCGAAGAATCCATCCACATTGTCGATGTACAGCAGAGTTCCACCAGCACGTGTTCGGAAGGCAATATCAATGACTGGTTTGAGTGGCTTGGGAGCATCTTCACCCACATTCTCCTCTGATGGTGGCTCTTCAAAATAGAAAAAGGCCAGAGGAGAGCGTTCCTGACCCGTGAACGTGGTGTTGGTCATACACTCGTAGCCATCGTCTAGATTTTGGCAAACGCTCTGGCCAGGACATTTAACCAGTTGACAGAATTCTATCTCCTGGCAATCCTTGCCCTTGTAGCCGTTGGGGCATTTGCAGCTGTAGTCGTTCCATGTGTTTCGACACTCGGCGTTGTGGCGACAGGGATTCTTTCGACATAGATCATCAGACACCTCACCGGGTAATACGGAGGCGCGATCAATGGTGACGGCGCCCAATGGCCTGGCATTTACTTGTACGTCCGTCACATTCAGCGAATACATTTCCACAATAAGGTTAAGTGAGCCGTTGCTCACCTTCACGTCCTGAATGATTCCCTTGAAGTAGTCCCTGCTGTCGTCCGCCTCCTTAGGCACCGTGGTGTCCTCGATGGGGACTCCTGCCCCAGGAATTGGCACCGGACCCGGTTCAGTGGTAGCTCCCAATAGAGATTCTCGTGTGGGTGCAGGTCCGCCCAAGTAGAGCACCTGTGCGTCCAGCAGACCCGTCGTCGACAGCGTCTTGCGGAAGTACTCGGTACCATTGAGCTTGACCTGCACGAGAGTCTGGTTGCGCACCACCTCGATCAGGTGGTTATAGCCGTTGTCCAACTTCTGGCCACCGACAGTATAAGCTTCCGGAGTGCCGCTGAACTGCATCTTCACAAGCAGTTCGCCACCATGCAGCTTGGCCGCCACATACGAGTCACCAATATCTGTAGGAATATAAAAATAAATATATATTCTACGAACTAAATCAATAGAGCTTATACTCACTTTTAGTGGGCGCCTTTCGTGGATCGGTGCCCAAGTAAAAGACCTGACCAGTTGGCTCACGTGTTCGGATAAACATGGATATGTCTAGGATAGAACGAATGGCTCTTCTAGCCACATCCGTTGTCTCAACAATAACAGCCGAGTGAGTAGTGTTCTCGTGGCCAAACGTGGCTGCCGTCATATCTAAAACAAAATAAATTAAAACGTTTTAGGACTATTAAAAAGTTTATTCGGTTCAAGACTACTTACTATGCTGGCAGGTGTGTCCGAAGAAGGGTCTGGGACAGTGACAGGCAAACGTGTGCCAAAGATCCGTGCACTCGCCATTCGAATGACAGGGATTCGGTTTACATTGCTCCGTTCGGGGACATCCGCTCTGTACATTTTCCAGTTTGGTATAGGAGACATTCGCATTTTGCTCATCGGGGAAGATCCATTTGCCATTGACCATTATGTCTTGCATGCAGCCCACAAAAGCCGATGGTTGGTGTGTTAGGTGGCGTAAATAGGACTTCAGATTGGGAATGGTACCGCCGAGGTATGTTCGCGGGAATGAGGGCTGGCTGTTGTTGGCTGTTTCGTAAGAACCCACCGGGAAGATGGCTTGCTCATCGTTTGCCGAAAGTACTAAATGCGAAGTATTTATGGCCACAAACACCTTGTGCCAATTGCTGTCGTTTAGCTTCGATCCGATAAACACGCCCTCCCACTTATTCAGCAGCGAGGAATGAAGATTAAGTCGTCCATTAATCAGTTCGAGAATATAGCTAACTGGCTCATTCTTTTCGCCGGTTGTTCCAAAGGCCAGAACTCCGTTTGGTAAAGTCGTCCTAAATTGCAGATTAATGTCGTAGCCCTCCTCGCGTTCTGTGGTTACTGAAATCAAACTGGTGGCCACCATAGACAGTGTGGTGGTCTTTTCGCATTTATCACCCTGAAAGCCGTTCTCACAGGTGCAGTTGTATAGATGAGTTACTTCGTTGATCAAGTATGGTAAGCAGGCACCACCATTTAAGCATGGCTAAAATGGGGAAAGAAACATTATTAGAAAGATCACAAAATTATCAGATGACAAACATACATTTGTGTCACATCCTCTGAGAAGCACGGAACAGTTTTTCCCTCCATAGTTGGCATCACAGTCGCAGTCATAGTCGTCGATCTGGTCATAACAAGTTCCTTTCTGGCAGGGATTTAAGCGATCGCACTCATCAATGTTGATCTCGCAGTGGGTGCCCTCGAAGCCAGGTTCGCATTCACAAATGTAGGTACCAATCTGAAAAGAATAACAAGATCAATATTAAATCTCATGAATATATCTTTTTAGTCTGTTAACTTACGCCATCGATGCAGCTTCCGTGTTTGCTGCAGGGGTTGCTATCGCACTCATTTATATTGATCTCACAGTTCTTTCCAATGATGCCAGGCACACAAACGCACTCGTAACTAAGGATTAAATGGGATTAGTTCATGAATCTTGTTTAAAGTAACTTTAGACCACTAACCCGCTGGCATTCTCAAAGCTGAACTGCTGGCTAAACACCTTGGGCAGATCCGTGATCCGACTAAGTTGGTACAGCGTTGTGTTGGACCTTTCCAGGCAGGTGCCGTTGTACTGGCAGGGATTGCTTTCGCACTCGTTGATGTCCTCCTCACAGTTTTTGCTCTTGTAGCCCTTGTGACAATCGCAGAAGTAATCCTTGACCTTATCTACGCACTTGGCACCATTCGTGCAAGGGTTTGACAGACATTCGTCGATATTCAGTTCACAATTCTCGCCCTCATAGCCGGTGTCACTGCAGTCACAACGGAAGCCACCCAACTGGTCAATGCACTGACCTCCATTTAGGCAGGGATCTCCCACGCAGTCGTCTATGTCGATGTCGCAAATTCGACCCGTCATTCCTGGGATACAGTTGCAGGTGAAGTTGTTGATTTTGTCGATGCAGGTGGATCCGTTGGAGCAGGGATTGCTACCGCACTCGTCGATGTCTACTTCGCAGTTCTCGCCTTCATATCCTGGTTGGCAAACGCATTCGTAGGCATTGATCTAAATGGAAATCATTACATAAATCGTTTAAAATTGTTTGTTTAAGAAGGTAAGATTAGATTAAGATTTCTCAGGTATTTCTAAATAAAAGCTCTCAGCAATTATACGATGAGCAATAATCAGGGAATCAGAATAAGGAACGCTAGCCCCACGACTACTCTCACTCACTTGTCTCAATATCCGATGCTTTCCGAATTTAAAGAAAAACAACTAATTACACTTTAGTAACAAAAGTTCATTCACCAAAGGCAGACTCGGATCCGAGTCCGACTGCCATCTACCTACCTTGTTATGGCATGTGGCTCCGTTGAGGCAGGGAAAACTGAGGCACTCGTCGACATCAGAGTCGCAGTGTACTCCCGTAAATCCGGGTGTGCAATAACACTTATATGATCCCTTTTCGTTCTTGCAGATACCATTGCCGCATATTTTCGGATGCAGAGTGCACTCATCCACGTCGTTGCCACAAGTCCGTCCAGTCCATCCTCGAGTACATTTACATTCGTAATCTCCATTCGGTAGATCCACGCATTCACCTCCATTCTGGCAGGGTTGGGTGGCACACTGGTTGCACACCTTGTTCTCCGGGCAGATGCACTGATTCTGAACGCATATCATAGGTTCTTGGCAGTTGAGCGGTGAACAGTTTTCGGCCTTCTCGCAACGATCTCCGGAATAGCCCACGGCACAATAACAATGGGTTCCGTTCATGGAGCAGGTGCCTCCATTCAGGCACTTGCCATTGGTAGCATTACAATTGATGGGGGTCAGGGCCAAAGCAGCTGCTCCATCGCCTGTGCTCGTTTGACAGTTGTAACCTGGGAATATTCGTAGGGGTTAGTATTTATTATAATTTAGGGTTATTATAACTAAGTACTTTTTATTTAACAAATGTATTTAAAGATTTTTTTTTTCAAGTGTCTACCATTTATCAATTGTTTCTACTTTTCTACATAATTACAGTTAGTTTATATCTGGGGTTGCACTAAAAGCTTTAACAATATTTTAATTTTTAACTTGAGTCCTGTGTGAGTCTACATTAAACTGAATTCTTTACACAAATTATGACATTTTTAGTTGATAACTTTATAAGTACTTAACAAGTACCCATGCAGAGTGGATTCAGACAGGACTCTAGTCGAAATCAATATCAATTGAAATCCAACAACCACAAGGGCCATTAACCGCATGCAAATTAAACTCATTTAAGTGGATCATCAACGGCATGCACTCTTTTAGGACAACCCCGGACATATGTATGCCAAACCTGTGTATCCACTAGCACAAATACAGGTATAATTGCCACTATAGCCCAGGCAGGTGCCACCGTTCAAGCAGTTTTCTTGGGGACATGCATTCAGGGAGGCCGAGCGTTGGGTCGGTGATTGCAGTTGCTGTTGTTGTGGTTTTTTGCTAGCCGTGGTTGTTGCCACCTCGGTTCTGGCTGTTGTTATTGGCGGTATCTTGGTTGTTGTTAGGGTGTTTGGAATAGCTGGGATAGGGATTGCTGTGGTTCTTGTCGTTGTTGTTGTTGGCTCTTGTTCTGGTGTCGGTGTGGTTGTTGTTGGCAGGCAATGACCAATGGGTCCTACGTTTAATACCCATTGAACGCAACGTGTTTTTGTATAATACAAGATTAAGGCATTAGGTTATAGCGTATAAAGTGGTCAATATATACAGTTAGTGTGTGTGTTGGCGGGTGTTGGTTATGAAATAAGCTTATGGGTTAAGCTATTTTTTGGCAATCTTAAACTATCCTAGATCCCCCTTTTAGTAAGCTGCTCCTGTATCCGACCTACTTAGTTTTAGTTCACAACGCTTGCGTTTGAGCCACTCGGGCGATATGTAGCGCTTCTTCTTTTCGCTGGGGCACAGCGTGGAATCGAGAATGTCCAGCTCGAGCGGAGTCAGCGGCTCCAAATCGGTAGCTTATATGCCATAATTTGTTAAATATTAAGTAGAGAAAACCAAGACCATTAAGCCCGCAGAAAGCAAATGAAAAATCAATTGTAAAGGACATGCAATACCAAAAAATGATCCCTTTAACCGGATAGAATGAAACGTAAAACTTACCCGATGAGCCTGGCTTACACACGCACTTGCCGCCTACGCACTCCGAATCGATGGGACACTGTTGGGCGCAACTGGGTGCAATTTGGCACAGTTCACCAGAGTACTCTGGAGGACAGAGACACTGGAATCCGATAGGCTTGTCCAGGCAGCTTCCTCCATTTAAACACTGCTGCGTTTGGCAGGTCATGGGTCGATCGCAAATTTCACCGCCCCAGCCATCTAGGCACTGGCAAGTGTACCAACCGTAAGTATCGAAGCATCTGCCACCATTCAGGCACGGATTCTTGTCGCATTCATCCACGTTGGTCTGACAAAAGGCGCCTGTGTAGCCGGTTCCACTGCAATCACAACTGAATCCATTGATCCGATCGATGCAGCTTCCGTTGTTCTGACATGGCTGCGATGCACATTCGTCCGTATCCACCTCGCATCTGGCACCCGCATATCCCTTGGGACACTCACAGGTAAGCGCTCCAGTGATGGCATTCACCACGCACGCTCCATTGTTTAGGCAGGGATTTGTCTGGCACAGTGGGTGGATGTTTACCTCCGTCTCGCAGTGCTTACCACTGTGGTTGGGATCGCAGAAGCACTGGTAATCGCCACGGGAGTTCTCTAAGCAAGAGCCACCGTTTTCACAGGGGTTCTTGGCACAGGGTGAACCATTGTCCTTCTGGCAATTCTTTCCCGTGTAACGGGCCGTACACCGACATTCGTATCCTTCAGGGCTAGACGAGCAGGTTCCATGGCCCATGCAGGGATCAGTCAGACAGAAGTTATCCGGCAAACGGGTAAAAAGATCGTGATCGCTGCAGGGACCTGGCGTCAGTGGGCAGACTCCAAAGACAACATTCTGCACTGTGGAGTTGTTCACAAACTGCAGACCTGGTCCATCCAGAAGGCAGCCGGAGAAGGAGTTCCCCAGTATCAAGATGGCATCTTTGTAGCCAATGTCTTGGTTCGTCAGGAACTGACTGTTGTACGTGGAGTTGGCTAAGGAAGAAAGAAAACATAATTAAATATTAAAAAATAATATTAAAATACTATTTTGTTTAGCTCATTCTGATTCTGTGTCTACTTCCTCAAATTATTAGCTCTTCGCACGTTTTCCTTCCAATCGTTTAATTGATTTTTCGAATGAGTTCATCATTACCCGTTTCCCATTCCCGTTTAACGGGCACAATTGCATTATTTAACCCTCGTGATGTGATTCACTCCTATGTGCTTTGCCGCATTTCACGATTATCCACGGCTGACCCGATTGAGTGGGCTCTCTAACTCATTCCAATAGGAATCCAATTTGGGACAGTCAGGGGGATGGCGGTTAATGGTGACTTACCAAATATGCTTGCCGCACGATCCACATGCAGGTAGAGATTTCCGTACTCGTACTTGAACTGCAACGTATGCCAACGGTTGTCCAGCAGTTGGTAGGGTAACTTCACATCCAGACGGTTGTTGGGCCCATGAACTGCCGGTCCCGCCAGGGATATTTGCAGAAAGTCGTTGAGCACTGAGATTACGATGGAGTTCTTGTTGTACTGCTGGGCGAGTATCTCACCGCCGCGGCACGAGCGGAAACTAATCGCCGAGTGGTCCCAAATGGGCATCGGCGTGGTCAGGCGGAGGTAAGTGGAGCCATTAAAGTACGCCTCCTTCGTCGGCACCGCCACTGAGGCGACATCTGCAAGAGAAGATCAAGATGGCCAGGGTTAGTGGGATTAAGATTTGCACTGAGGAAAAATTATTCAAGAAATCGAGATAAAGAAAAGATCCTGATCAATAATAATGACATATATTTAACTAAATATCATCTAGTTTAACCATTTAACAACTTGTATATGAAAACCTTTTTTCTTAGCTTTAAGTTAATTTGTAATAAAAAGCGAAAACTTTCTTTAATTCAGTGTAACTTTTCGCTGAATGCAACTGACTGATGGATGAAATGAATGAAATAAAAGCATGACAAGGCCAGGTCGGTTTGGGCCAAGTCGGGGCTCTCATTTAACTAATCGCATTTCATTCGCATTTGGCCAACTCATTTGTAACCGTAGACTTCCTCATTTCGCGTATTTGGCACACGGAAAATGGCCAATTGGTTTACTTTGGCTTACATTTTCCCAGAGCTGTTTAGTTCAGCATTTTCGCCGCGTCTCTGTTTCTGTCCATTGCTCTCCGGCTAAGAAAGTGTTTTGTCTTTCGAGTAGCATTGACCAAATTAGACGAGTTGCCATGGCCTGGCACATGCCACTTAAATGGTAATCAGTTAGAGGCCTCCCCTCCTTTCAACTTTCATTTGCGCTGATCAGCAAAGCGCAGAATCAATTCCCGCTTCAGTGGCAGAAAAAACAAAAATCAGCAAAAGTAGAAAAAAGCAGAAAGCCCCAGACCAGAAGACTCCATAACTAACTCCAAGTCGTTTTCTTCAGCATTTTCAAAACAAAAACGAAAAAATAACAAGCTTTCTTGTACTGAAGTGCACGAGGCGTTAAGGCTTGCCAAGAGCCAACTATGAATGTTAGATACTTACTAACAAAATAAATAGACTTGCATGTTTATAAGCTGGTTTTCATCAATAGTCAGTCTACAGATCAAACAAAAAGTAAACAAAAATCTTAAAACGGAAAGAAAGTTGCTCAGGAAAAAGTTATTAACGAAAGGAAATTGGAGCAAAAAATAGGGAAACCTGTTCGTTTTTTATATAAAACTAATTTTTATACAATTTGTTGCTAATAAGATTATTAAAACAATGTTAAGTCAGGAAATGTATTATATATTCAAGTTTTTAAGTCTGACAGGGAATTGTAAATTAACAGAAACGAATCCTAAAAAACTATTCCAAATATGTTAGCTTTGAGTTTTACAATGTTTTTCGCTAAAATAATTTCATCAACATTAATCTTAGAATACTTAAGAAATTGGTGAAACCTAACACTCATTTACAAAGTTTAAAAGGTGTTTTCTATTATTGGTAATGCGAATATAAACATGAAAATTTATTTGTCGTTTAAAAACTTGAAAGACCATTGTTTTTTCAATGGCACCCATCGAAGATAAGGTTTATTAACAAAAACAAAATGTTTATTGTTTTTTCTTCTCCTTAATAAAGTTGGCACATGTGTACTTATTTTTCGCACTTCTCCATTCAAAGAAGAGATCATTTTAGCACCTTCTGGCTCAAGTGAACCCGTCTGTGATCCGCTGTGCCCTTTGGGCTGCCCTGACCCATGGCTCCACGAGCTTAGAAAGCGCTTTGGGGGACCTCGACAGAACCTGAACGACGTTAAGACAACTAACAACAAAATACAATACTTTATGAGGCCATCGATTTTGCTGCCTCTTTTTACGCGGTCTTCTCACAAACATTTTATTTCGTACCTATTTAAAGGCGATTTGCTATTTGCATTGACAGTTCAGTTTTTTGTTGTCATTTCTGTGATTATGTGTGCCAGGTGAGAAAGGGGAGTGGCCGGGGAGCAGCCAAGGTGTAGTCAGGTGAGCAAGTAAATAAGTCGCCAGCAAAGTAGCTCATAATTATATTATACTCACGTACGAAACTATGCAGAAAAGTATTCAAAAGTTAAACGGCAACAAATGCTATAAAAAATCACACAAGTACACGGAGAAAAACAAAAATAAAAAAGTTGCTTATAAAAAATAATATATGAAAGATAAATATTATTAAATTTACAATTTATAGCCCATTTTTGGTGAGGAATAACATATTTTTAAGATTTAAAAACAACTTTATGGATAAATTTCTATAGAAGTTATGCCTTCACATGCGCTTTTATATAATCTTAGCATCGACTTCTCAGATTTGCCATAAACAAACGGAACGGAAATTTCATAATCATAACCACCGGCAATAATTCTATTCCGCTCTTTTATGTGTTTTTTCGCCGTTTGTTCGTGTTGTTGTTTATTATTTCTTATTTCTGACATAAATGACTCGACTTTGGCTTCGAACTGGAACTGCAAAACTCTGGCTTAATTCTCTGCCAGAGAGCAAGAGAGAATTCGGTTTAGCGGTGCCATAAAAGAAACAGTTTAATAGTGCCTTTCGTCTTTTGTCAGAAGCGAACGTTCTTTTGGAAATGCTTCTAAAGCTTTTAATGATGTCGCGCTTGGAGTTTTTCGGGGACATAGAATGTTTGTGCCGGTTCTTAAGCAGGGGCGTGGTCAATGGCCAAGACCTTAGAAATTTAAATGATCTTTATAGTGACAGCTTAGAGATTCTTAACTATTTTTAGACGGATGGATGGAAATTTCTTTTGTACTCTTCTGACATAATCTATTCTAATAAACTTGAAAGTATTACGGTAAAGATTATAGGCTAGGCTTTATATTTAAGATATTAATTTATTTTTAGTTACCTAAAAGTAGCTTTTGCTAAATAGTAACTCACTTAAGATCAACCATTTCCCTCATGTTTTTGTTTTCATATTTTTACTTACTAAATGGGAAGTTAATTAACTTTTTTTAAGGAGTTTCTCCAGAAATGCTAAGCCCCTATACTTTGCTAAATCTTCCAATTTAAAAGAGAAAACGCTCGGTGTCTTCAATCCATATCCGAGATAATCACTCATTTTAAGTTGCTCCATTTCGTTACTTCCCATGCTATTTACTACTGGTAGGAAAAAAGTGATTTATGCAAAAAACAGTCTGCGAAATACGCGTTTGTTTGAAGGAGGAAACAGTTAGGAGAAATTCCTGTCCCTCCCACACACAGACTCGCATTAAGTTGGTCAAAACGAGAGGCTCTCTCTTTGCAGTAGATCCAGTTAACAAAAAACATTCAACTCATTGCAACACTTGGCTGCGGTGTAAAACACAACATAAGTAGATGTATGCAAATTGGCTCAGCTCGCTTTGCTTGGCATCGGTTTTACCTCTGGCTTTGCCAGTGCATTTTCCTTTTCGAATTTTGCACTGCATTCTGTTGGTATGACTAATCAGCGTCAGCATATGCAAAACAATGCAACAACAAGCCAAGTACAATGCAATACCAACGTGGAGTGGCTACACACAGCTCAGGTCAGAATACTAGCAGCGATAAGAAGGGTCGAAAGAGAAAATTAAAAAAGAACACATTTCTAAATGAAAATTAAAATATTTAAAATTCGAAAAAATATTCACAGATAGATATAATGGATTATTTAAAGTTAATAAAAATATAACATTTATCAACTTTATGAAAGGTATATAGATTCTTATAAAGAACCAAAAACAACTTTTATTATTCATTTTCATAACAGCTGTGCCTATTGTTCATATTTACATCGTTAACCAATGTCACCATAAGCTATTGCAGTTGGCACTTAATAAATTGTGAATGAACTGAATGAAAAACGATTTTCATACAGCTTTTTTTTTGTCATTTCCCAATATGGTTTTGACAGTGGGACTTGCTACATCAACTTCAGAACATTCAAAGAGCTCTTAAAGTTGTTTGCCCCACACCTTCTCCTTTTTACTGAGGGCAACCCTTATCCCAGGTTGCAGGTCCAATGGCTGGCCACAACAAAACAGGTTGCAGGTTGCTAACTGGGCTAACTTTAACGGTTGCCGGGGTTTGTTTACTGCCTTTTTATTTTTGATTTTTCCCTCCTACACAGCACCAAAATTTAAATAAAAATTGCTTATCACATTTTCATAACTAAAGTAATGTATTTCGGAATGATTCATGAAACAAATTAGATTTTGCACTTCTACGTAAAAAATTGTATATAAAATACATGAAGTTTATTAGAGAAAGTTTTTAAAAATATAGAAAATTCTACACAAATATATTTTTCCTGTGCATTTGTTCATCTTTTTGTTCATGCGGGCAACTCTCTGCATTTGGTCGTACTTCAATTGTTTAAACTGAGCTAAAAGTGTATATGTCTATGTTGCCTCACTTGCCAGCCAACCCACACAAAAACACGTTAGTGTTGTTGCCTTTAATTTTTGCTCTAAATACTTTTTACTTTTTTCGTGGCTTTTGAGTAACAAAACGCCCACGAAACATTTCATTTTGCACTCGATTGTTTGTTTGTTGTTTTCTTTTTGCTTATCGGATGTTCAGAAGTTGCATAAATTATATTTGACCGATTTTACTTTTTTGTTTTCCGTTTCTGTATTTAATTTGTTGCCTGCAACAATAGCAACAACATTAATTTTTGTTTTGTCTAATTAAATTCGAAATTTTTAATTGCACTTTAATTGTTGCGTTTTCGTTTTCAGTTTTTGACGTCTGTTCGTTATTTTCTATCGATGGAAAAGTGAAAACGTGTCGCGATTAAAACTTAATTATAGCTTGTTGATAATACGATTATCGAAAGGGCTTAATTGCACTTGATGTTCAATGAACATGAGAGTTTCAGAAATATATACTATATACGGGTAAGTGAACACGAAGAAGATCTAAAATGGAGATTATGGGGGAAATTATAAAAACGGGTTTTTGATCAGGTCTTTGGTATTGTTGTTAAGTTTTTCGTGTTTGTTATCTTAGCACAGTTAAGGAAATAACAAAAATTGAACTACTTTTAAGTGGAAATAGATATTTAATTATTAAGCACCTAATATGGATGTTATTTAATAAGTTCCTGTTTGAATATTTATAATTTTATTTGGGTGAAGCATATATGGGTTCTAGGAAATCCTCTTTGAACGCTGTTTAAAGGGCAGAAAATAGAAAAAAGCTTTGTAAACCATAAACCATTCTCAAGCTTTTCATATAAATAACTAGATAACGGTAACTTGGCTTATATAAACACCTCAAAAATATAACAAAGATAAAAACTCTATTTAAAAACCCTTTGATATATGGTTAGCTCCATCAAACAATACTTCTAAGATGGTCTAATCCCTGTTCAAAAAGATTTCTTTGTTGCTTTCCCTGAAGGCACTGCCTTTCTTCCCAAGATTAGTGTGTTCCCATGTCCTCCCCATCATTCTGTAGTTTACACACTTTCAGCTCTTTCATGTCTGACTGCACTTCCATCCCGAAGAATACTTTGCTCTTAGCGATCATTTGCACAAACACCTTGTTGGCCAGAAGAAAGAATCAAACGAAACTGAGATACAAACGCGTTCCCACACTAATTTCCGCTTTGGCTTCCAAGAAATGCGGTGAGGAAATACTTTTAAATATTTAAATAAAAACCTCTCCTATTATACAATATGGCAACAATGTATTCAAGCGGTCAGAAGCTAATTAGTTTTCATAAATAAATGCTTCCCATGAAAGCTGCAGATTAACAGGCACCACAAAAATCCCGCACCCACTGACTGATTCGAGTGCGTCACAACTTCCAACGGTTTCGCTCTCAGGTTGCTCTCATGAAATTGTGCACAAAAAGAAATAAGAAGCTAATATAATTAAATTGGCACGAACTCTTCATAAATAATGACAATGATATCAAAGCATATCAAGGTTTGATATCAACACGAGTGAGAAAAAGTTTAAAGGCAACAATACAATAAATTATAATAAGAAGAGGCTTTAAATGTGTTCACGATTTTCATTTTAGATGGAAAATTAAAAGCAGATAACGTGCTTTAGTCTAATAATAGTTAAGTTTTGTGGAACCTAAAAACGTTTGACAAATAAATAAATAATATATCTCCCTACTAACAATATTCTAAATTCTAACTTGGCCATTTTTCACCGTGTGATTTCACGTACAAACAGTTAACGTTTATTCATTAATATCTCGGTTCTGGGAACAGCAAAATGACTCCTAAGCGAGAAGACTCCCAAAAATAAATGCCTAGAATGGAGCACACTCAAAATTAGAGTCGCTCTTTCTCTCCCCCGCTTCTTTGGCGCCGTTGAAACGTTTTTAAGCCGCTTCTGCGCAGGCGCACCTGGGAACCAGTTTTGTGGCAATCATTGTGTTGTTGTTCTACCACTTTCTGTGTGTTGCCAACAAGGCGGCCCTTACATTCTGTGGGCCTGGAAAAAGGGGCGGCCAGACTTGTTCACAAACTGGCACAAAGCAATGAACTGTTGAATAAAACAAAAACCCAAAACACGCCTGAGAATCTTTTCCGGTGCGTCCCCAAAGAGCAGCACCACCAGAACAAGCCACTAGAATCCACAGAACCACCATAACCATCAGAACCCTCAACCTGAGCAAACACAGGCTTTGGGAGAATAAACGCAGTCTGTGGGCGTTGCACCATGGTAAGGTATTCAAAATAAATTAAGGGCTATGAGTAATTATGAAAATATTTACGAAATCATATCAGGAAGTGACTAGACAACTTCAGAATGGAATTTCTTTCACCGTAGAATGAACATGTAGGATTTTCATATTTATTATTATACTTTCAGGGAACAACTCTTACTTTAAAAAGGTTAAAACGGAAAAGCTTAAAATCTCATAATATCATAACACTTTTTTCAATATTTTAGTTAACCCAAATGAACTTAGTTTAGATCTGTAGCTATCAACAATTTGCTATTAATATTGTCACAAATAAATATTAAAACCACGCATTCTGAGTCCACTAATTGCCTTCAGAACTCGGCTATTCCGTAATTTCCCACCTCAATTACCAAGCAATTTGTGTCCGATTTCAATGCGTTAAGTCCCATGGTATCGTTGTTGGTGTGACTCAATGCTAACAATGGATTTTGTTGTTGCCGGCAGTACGCTGCGTATGCAAATAGCGACAGATAAAACAGCACTACGTGATCACCGCGATAAAGAAAATCCAACAGACAGCATTGAACAACGCCCACAAATTTTAAACATTTGTTTGCATCGAAATTTGTTTTTTGAAAAATAATATCAAGTAAAAAGCGAAAGCTGCAATGTCTTTTGAGTTTGATATTTTTTCTCCCTCATTTTCTCATATTTGCGGTTTTTTGTACATTGGTAAATTCCCAAGGTAGGCTGGCTAATCGATGCAGTCGCTGAAAACAGGCAACGTTGCAACTGGAAATAAGAAAGAACTATGCTGGTTGGCTCGACTTCAAATCACCTTAAGAAAATTCGATTTCTGTGGATTAAGAAGGTTCAGTCTTAAACTGAAAGAGCTCTTTATATAGATGTCCATATCAAGAGCCTACAACCCAATTTTCATGACTTTTCCTATAATAGGACCTGCGATTCAAGACCTTTATGGCACTCATTTCAAAGCGTTCCACAAATTCCTGTTCTTATATAGTAATGCGTATTTAAAACCACCTAACCTTTAGGGACTGGGGCAAATCAGTTCTTTTTTAGTTATACTCTGGCTATTTTTATAGAGCTTGGCTAACGACTTGCACTAATGGCCAACGTCAGGCAATGGTCGCGGCCGGTTGCGTAGGCCCACGAAACATGGCCCACGGCCCATGTCACGGCCGATTGCATTTTAACACTTGACCAGGCCGAAACACCGGACACTGTAGAACGCGGGTGTGTCCCGTCGCACACAATTTCCATTCTCGATTTCCATTTACGTGCGAGTACATTTCCATAAACCCGCGGGGTCACGTGTTGTTATCGTTAACGCAATGCAGGTAGATTTGGTTCATTTGTGTTTTCCCTCCACTTTTCCTTCTTGCAGAGTACCTGCACCGCGATTTTTCCCCTGAAAATGATGGATTATATCTGTTTAGGGCGGAAATTCAAAGGAAAGCCAGACAGAAAACCACTCTCGAAGTGAAGATGACGCTGATGATCGTCGCTGTCGGTGTCTGGATTTTATGATGGAAGCTGCTATAAACCAGTTGCTGTGATGCCTTTTAGGGATTTCCCAATACAGAGATGGAAAACATTTCATTGTCTCTTTTTTTCATTTATGGGTATTTCTTGTCAATCATAAACCAAAGTCATTTGATAAATTCAACGATAAAACACCCTTACTTTACGATTTCCCAATACATTTATATACATTTGATGACTGAAAAATCTTTTAAATTACTTTAGAAATTTTAATCTAATCTGTTTATAGTAAAATTACAAAGAAAATGTTTTTGATGCAAGGAAATCCCCAACAGCTATGAATGTGAATATAAACTCAGTATTTTATGATAGAAACTGTTGTAAAAACCAGTTCCTTAGATGCATATCAGGGTTTCCCCGTCACTGAGATGGAAAACCTTTCTCTTTACCTGAATTTTTTGGGTATTCTACCACATTCATAAAACAATTTAATTAAAAAATTTAGCAGAGAATATTAAGATCATTAACGTGGAAAACACTTCTGTAATGAAAAATTCTTTGCATTTATCTGGAAGCTGCTAAAGAAACTAGTTTCCGAAATGCATTTCAGGGCTTTCCTGGAGCTGGAAAACTCTTTCTCTATCTATATGCCCCATTTTCTGTGTACTTTCTTTATCAACCTATCAACAGAATTGCGGTATTGCTGACGTTGAGCTGGCCGCGCTTTTGCAACTGCTGTGCTTCACTTTCCGGCCAAAAGATAAGATTGTCAGTAACAACAGGCGGATGGTTGGCCGGTTAGAGGGTTTGTGATACTCAGATTGTAAATAAATAAACCAAATTTTTGAGGTCGTTTTTGCACAATCCAATGGAAAAAATGGGGGCAGACAATGCTAAGGCAAAACACACAATTGAGCTTCGGACAATATGTAACAGAAAATTACACATAATGAGTCAGCAAGAGTTGTGAATCAATTATTATGATCGTTATGCGATAAGTTTCACAGATTGCAAAGTTGTGGTATCGTTGAAAGCATTTTGAAAATGCAGACAAATAAGGTATTATTGCCAAAAAATCATACCTCTATTAATAAACAATAATAAATAATAATTTTTACCGTTTCCTGGTTTAATAACAACAATTTTATTTTAATTTTTATGCTGTCAAGTGTACAAAATATGGAGTTATTATTAGAATCGCTTTGGGGTTTACTGTCCTTTGTTTAGAAATATCTATAAAAGTAAACTGGCCCATATAAACTGCTTTTAATTTGATTAATTACCTTGCCTAGCGACTAAATCGAAGTTCAATTCTACTAAATATAAATAAGTTTATACGTAATCTAAACTAACACCTTCCTTTTGTTTGAAAGATAAGAACAAACACAGAAACTTCGAAAATAAGAAATTAGTGGATAATTAACACAATCAAGCCTCAGGTATGCCAGCCTTATGAGTCACTTCTTGAAGGAAAACCCGTAGAACGAGTTTTTCGGATGCCTAAAATCAATGGAAATTTTAATTCCCTTACAACCAACAAGAATTTTCCTTTGGCCACATTCCCCAAAACACGAATAGCCCCACTCACACACACGTGACCTGTTGCTCTTGTTTCTGATTATGAGCTTTTGAAACATCAGCGAATGTGAATGTTCAGCCTGAAGAATGCATGTGGCTCAGCAAATAACCAATTTACAGTGAATCTTCTTAAAATTAGAAATTTGTTTTTTTTTAATTTCTCTATAATTATTATAAGATAATAAATAATTTCATTACTTGAAAGCCTAAATTAAAATATTATTATAAGTTTTATTAAAGTCTTAAGTATAAGCCTTGGACTAAAGTTCTATGCCGGGAGTTTCAACTGTAATCTCAGAACTATGTAAACACGATATTGCTATCTCCCTTTCTAGATGTCCCTGACTATTGTTCTCTCCTCCTGAATGTCCTCGGTTCTCTTCTCTCCTTTTTCTGTCTCTTTTATGTTCTCTCACCTGTTGCTAAGTAAATAAGTATGAAGAGCGGTATCCATTGAGGCGACGAATAAACTGAAATGGCGCGCTTGAGCAAATGCGACGTAATTTGAGCTGCGCTTTTCGTGCGGTCTCGACTTCTTGCTGTTGTTGTTGTTTCTGCTGACGCCGCTGCTATTGTTGTTGCTGCTGCTGCTGTTGATGTTTGCCGATGATTTTGTTGCGGTGACGCATTCGCGATTATAGCCATGATCGTTGATTTGTTGGCTTAAATCGTGTTTTCGTATTGGAAAGGGTTTCGTTTGGCTTGATTTTGGTTAACTATTTATCTATTTAGACGAAACTCATTGAGCTCGTTGTTGTTAATTGCATTCTCCCTTTTCTCTCTTTCTCTGCTTTACTCTTCATACAATCACTCACACACACGCAATCGGCACTTGGCTTAGAACAGGTTTTTTTTTGTATTAAGTTTTATTTTTCTTTTTTCGCTAGTTGTATTTATTTGCACACTTTCGCACGCGACACTTTCTAGCCTGAATTTAAATATTGAGCACAGAGATTCCGCTTTGAGCCAACTAATTCGCCATTTCTTCCCAGGCCACGATTCTAAGCCACACACACACAATCGCGTAAAAGACTTGGCTTAAAAGAGAGGTGCGCTCTCTTTGTTGTTGTTGCTGCCCTTTTGAACTGCAAGCAGCACACTAACACACACGCGCTCACACATTGGCCAAAACGGGGGGCAAAAAGTTTCGAGCGGGAGCGACCAAAAAAACACGTCCGACCAGCAAGATAATTTTTCGACCGTTTGAATAGTAGATTTCCGTTTCATGGTCTTATATATAGGATAGTGTGACCAGTTACGTCGGCTCTGATATGCCTTGAAGCAGTTTTCCGTATTTTTCACGGGCTCCGTTACGGTCACACTGCTCTCACGCTCTCTGCACAGTGGGGTAAAATGCTTAAGTTAAATGACAAAAATGAGGGGGAATTGGGACAATAATCAAGTACCCCAGATCAAAGCGTATGTTAAAGCAAAACAAAATCTCTATCAGAATAATAAAAATCCATCAATATATTTAACATTATTTTCTAGTGCGTACACAAGCCATGTGAATTTGTTTCTGTTTAGTGAGGACACAAGCCGAGGTGAAATTCTGAACCTGGTGGAAGTTTTTATTTAAACATGCAAATATAACGGAGAGTATGAATATCGTTTTGCCTTGTAAATTAAGCTTTAATGTTTTACACAGTGACCTAGTTTCAAAATAGTAATTTGTATTCGTTAGGTCAAAATATTCAGATTTTGGGCCGAACCCGATTGAAATTAAAAATGTTGTTAAATCTTAACTGGCGAAAATTCCGCGTTCTATGTACTTACAAAATGGAATGCATGAATCAAGAAGCAGGTGGATAACAAGTGCGTACTTAATGTAAATGTAAGCGCCTTCAAAGCGCCGACTTATCGTTGCAAGCAAATACTCAGCATAAATAGCCACAAATAAGTTGGTAATGAAACAAAAACACCGCCAACATGTCGTCTAGGTCTAGGTTGAGACTATATAATGCCAGTAAGCCCGGCTAGAAATCAGAGCATTACCACTATTTGCAAAAATGAAAAAGTCTCAAAGTAAACTCGGGCTGTATTTGTTCGTAGCCCTCCTAAGCATTTCACTAGGAAACTCCATGCCCCTGGAGGATATGGACTCCCAGGAAATGATTGACTTGACGGATCTGGGTGATACAATCTTTGGTAATCCGGATGAGGAAACTACAGGCGCTTTGGTGGAAGCTCACAATGAGAAATCGCCACAGAACCCCGAGGAGCTGGGCACCTACTATGAAGGTGATATATTGATCCCATTGAGTTATAGGAACGCTCGCTCAAATGGTACTCGTAATGGCATTTTGGCGCTGAGCTCCCGCTGGCCGGGAGGTGTTGTGCCATACGAGATCAAAGGTCCTTTTACCACCCAGGAATTGGGAAATATCAATCATGCTTTTAAGGTAAGGCTTATAGAAGATACCGTTGTAACTTTAGCTAAGAATTGAATATAAAATATCTTACCTTTTCAGGAATACCACACGAGAACCTGTATCCGTTTCAAGCCCCGGACAACCGAAAAAGATTACATATCAATTGGAAGTGGCAAGTCTGGATGTTGGAGCAGCATTGGTCGTTTAGGTGGCCGTCAGGAGGTTAATCTGCAGTCGCCCAACTGCCTGCGAACTTATGGTACTCCGATCCACGAGCTGATGCACGCCTTGGGCTTCTTTCATGAGCAAAACCGACACGAGCGTGATTCTTATGTCCGTGTGATGAGTGACAATATTAAGCCCGAGATGATGGTAAACTTCGAAAAGTCCAGTTCCAAGACTCAATCTGGCTTCGGCGTAGAGTACGACTACGGTAGTGTGATGCACTACTCGGCCACCAGCTTCACCCGAAATGGTCAGCCCACATTAAAGGCATTGCGTTCAACTTCCGATGCCAGTCAGATGGGTCAACGACGAGGTTTTTCCTCCGGAGATGTGCGCAAGATCAATGCCATGTACAAATGCAAGGTTTAGAGCATAAATCGTCAACGCATAATTACGGACCAATTGAATCTAATTATCAGTATAAATATCAGTATTTTAACAAAAATACATATCATATATCATATAGCAACAAGAAAGTCGGAAATATCATTTACAATTCAATTCTGATTTACTGAAAAAATATGTCTATGTGTACAATATTTGGTTGAATAATTAACATTTGCGTATGTGCGCCGTTTCTTGTACTGCTCCGGGAACTTGCGAGCCATCCCATTCCTAGTGGTGCGGCAGGTTCTTGTTCGTCTCAAAGAAAAAGTTTCCCTGCATGTTGAGCTCCTTGCAGAGCGTGGAGAATCTCCGGATGGCGTTGTAGGTGCCCAGCTGGCTATCGCTTCCATCTTTCACAGAGAAACACAAAGCATAACAGAAGATATGTATATACAGCAGAGCAAAAGCCCGATTGCATGCATTGGGTGAGATTAGTAATCCTGATGATCCGCTCCAGGCAACGGATGGTTAGTGGGGACGCGCCTTTTGGATGGTGGCCTTACCTGGGCCCGCAAAACCGGCACCCGTTGCATTCAAATCCAAGTTCATGTAGAGTGCCATATTCCCTGTCGATCCGTGACGAGAGCGATTGTTCAGGAAATCCCGGATATGCTGAACAATAAGATCGATGGCCACTGAAAGGAAAAAATATTCTAATTAGTTAAAAATTAGATTAATAATATTAAATCGTAATGCTGCACCTTTGTTAGCATTGCAACTCAACGTGGAAAATCCACTTACCTTGCTGCTCCACCGGAGCTTTCCAGTTCCGAGCTGTCTAGTCTAAGCCAAGGACTTACTCTAGCTCTAGTTAGTAGGGTCTATTACCTATACGCATCTAAGCTGGGCGGCATTTTCTGTTAATTGTTACTCTATTGTGTCTTGTGGCTCGAGAAAGTGTGCTTTACAATCTGCTGGTTTTTGTCTACTTACTAAGTGAAAACCCATTTAAACTTTACTCCTTGCTTGGCAATGGTCTGTCTTGCTTTTGTATATTTGAGACTGCATTAAAGTGTTTATAGAAAACACGGTTTGATAAAATTAAAGTCGCAGTTTACGACTTTTCAGATGCCCGGTACTTAGGAAAAATGGATTAAAATATCCTTACAAGAAACTTATTTGATTTAAAAGATCATTACTTTAGAGGATTCTTATTGCTTTCAAATAGATTGCTTATTCGGATATAATATATTTATACTACAAGTAGTTCTAAAAGATTATGAAGGGATAGGATTTTTGGAAACTGACAACTCTAAATTGTATGAACTTTTTAGTGACTTGTTTATTAAATAGAATATATGTTACAAAATAAATTTGTAACCTTGCAAAGATGAGCGTCAGAAATGATTTTAATTATTAGTTAGCACTAAAATATATTAAAACACTATGTGGAAAAACAACCTTTAAAGGTCCTACTTACAATACAATTAGAAAAAAACGACCAAGTCAAACGTTTTTACAAAATACTCTTAAGTACATATAGATAAGCAGCTTAAAAATGGTATCATAATAGCATCCATGAAATATAAATTGGCAAAAATGGTTAGCAAAGTATCGGGCATTGAAACATAGATACAATAGTTAGATGTGTAAAATGTGTAATTTTTGTGAGTAGAGTGCTTAAAATCTCGAAAGGAAGCCAGTTCGGGCCTAGGCACCAGGTTAGACCAAGAGATAACTTTTAACTGTAATATTTTTCTATAACTTAAGGCCATAGTTAGACTGGGATCGTAATCGCAGGTTGGGTTATCTTGATGAACAGAAACGAGCTTACATACACACTACCATGTATTATTGAACATATGCAAGAGTAAATATTAAAGATACTTTTCTATCTTAGGACTACGTTAATCGGTGATGAGAAGACCAAATGAGAAGCGATGCCGGCGCTCGGGTTTCTTTAACTTTCTTTAGCTTTTGGACTTTAGTTTTTTGGCAATTAGTACAAGCTCAAGACGCGGCGTTAGGACGAGGAAGTGGCCGCCCCAGAAGCGAGTTTATTTTTGCGTTTAGTGATCTCGCTTCATGCTAGACGCCGCCACCCTGACTGTGTTGCTGTGCTGTGCGCTGTTGGTGGTGGCGAGAATCTCCCCGATATGGTGTACAATAAGATCAATGGCAACTGCAAGAAATACAATAAAACAACGGGAACAAAACAAAAACAACCAAAAATCATAACGCAAAAGATACAATTAACATAGATGAAGGAAAAAAAAAGAGTAAGGTAATGTTGATATAGGCTTATAGTACTTATATGTATGTAAACATCAAGCAGTCTATGTGGTAAGGATATGTTGTCGTCAGAAGGGTTAATAGAACCAGAAATAAAATTAACCATTGCTAAAACTATGGTTATTGGACAACCAACTCAACGAAACACTACAAACGCTTAGAGTGTAAGAGTGTGGGCATAGAAAGTAAACTTATGTGGCATGTGTCTGGGCTCTGCTGCCTCACCTGTATTGTCGGCGCCTCGTGGTATGATAACGTCAGCAAACTTTTTAGTCTGAAAAGGGCAGGGTTTTTGTATTTTATTTTTTAGCGGATATAAAGGCGGAACTTACAGGCGAGCAGAATTCCTCAAAAGCGGGCTTTACAAAGGTCATATACTGGGTGAGCACTGCGTCCAGATCCCGACCACGCTCGTTAATATCACGTGGCACTAATAGAAAAAGTACTATATAGTTTACTTGGAATTATTTGAAGCCATGACTCACCTCTCCTCGCCAATCTGGTATCGGAGTCTGTGTCCACGAAAAGCTTCATATGGAACAGGTCACGTATCTTTGGGAAATAAAATACCAGGATTCCTTCGAATAAGACGACATCAGCTGGGTAGATAACCAGAACGTTTTCAAAGTCGCTAGGGAATTATAAAGTGATTAGGTTTGCAGTCTCAACGAACATTAACTTATAGGCATATAAACCCAATATGCTGATAACTGCTTCAAGATATAAATAAACTAAGCACAGTGTACTACAATTGCAATGGATAAACTAAACTGTCCTTAAACTCACAGCGAGTTGGTGCGATAATCGTAGCTGGGTATTTCTACTTTGTGACCTTTCAGGATATTCTGTAGCGTACTAAACATAAGTTCCTCATTGAAGGCATCCGGATGGTCAAAGTTGAAAAGACCCTTCTGAGCCTTAGCCTTCTCGGCGGGTGTCAGTTCCCGATAGAAGCTGTCCTGGCTGATTGACACCACCTGGCGCTGCGTGTGATCCATTTCCGCTTGGCCCAGTTGTTCCATGATTTTTTTGCAGACGGTAGACTTGCCGCTCGCGGTACCGCCGGCCACGCCAATTAGGAACGGAGACTTGACTTCATCGTTGGCTGTTGCACCGTCGCCATTTGGAAGACGCAACGAGTCTGCTTTCCTCAAATCTTGCATTTTATTTCTTCAATTTTCAATAGTAAAATAAAATGCTTCCTTTTCACCCACAACCCAACAGCTGATTACGTTAAACGCGTCACGTCACGTTAGGCCGTAAGAATGTTGTACATTAATAACGTTGCCAGATGGTCAAGCAGCAGCTAACAACAGCTGATTAGGCGATAGTCGATACTATCAATATTCCGGAAGTCCAGTGTTGCCACACAGTAAGGGACGGAACAATAGTCGTTACTTCAATTTAAAACTTCCCTATTTAAATGTGTTAAGAAATATATTTAACGTTAAAACTATTAAGCGGGCAAATTAATTACAATTAGTCAACGCAAAATCTACGCCATCGTGCTGACGGCTGACGCCGGCCCGTTGAGATTTGAAAACAATTTACTAAAGCATTGGAATTGGAAATATTTGCACAGCTTGTCTTCTTGTTTGAATGCCTGAGAATTCTTTTCAGAACTTATATTTGCATAGTAACTGTTTCTCTATTAGCAACCTGCTGACGGTCATATGTCAGTGTCTTTTCAAAGCCCCAACCATGAAGGCTGCTTTAGATCTCAGCGCCTCGAGGTGGTTTTACTGGTTGCTCCTCAGTGTCTTAACAAATTCCGAATTTAAATCCTGTCATGCAGTTCCAATTGTCGGTGGTCGGATAGTGTCAACCGTGGGCAGTACATTACTAAATTCGATAGTTATGATCGCTAACTGAAAGCTCCTAAATTTCATTTAAAGGCAGCACAAGCAAATATCCGTTCATGGTCTCATTGCAAGATGTAATCACGACAAATACCACGAATGGAGTTTCTTATCGACACTTTTGTGGAGGCAGTCTAATAAGCGATCGCTGGATTCTCTCCGCAGCTCACTGTGTTTGGAGGAAGTAAGAGTGTGCTAAAAAGAATTTTACATTTCAAGCCATTGCCTATTTTTAGAAACATTCATAATATTGCTGCCTTTATTGGCCATGAGAATATTGAAAACATTGAGGAACTTGAACCATATGGTCTGGAAAGTGCCGAGTATATTTACTTCCAACCGTGAGTAATCAGTTAAGTCAAGTTTGATACTCCCCTCTTAGAGAAATTCTGAGATTATTTAAGAGGGAATATTTTCTCTTAAATATTTTTAAAGGAATTCAAGCGTAGACTTGATAAGTTTATAATTAAACGGATTGAAATTTCTTATCAATGAATGTTAGAGAACAATTTATGCGCTGGAAAAGAGTAATGCTTCTAAAACTTAATTAGTAGCTCATATCTTGGGACTAACAAAGTTTATACTTTTATCTTTCACTGCAGATCAAACTTTCGGAACGATATAGCTTTGCTTTATATGAAACGTCGCTACTGGAATGATTTCAGTCACGGCCTACAATTCGCCCAACTGCCTCCGCAGGGCATGAAACCAGACCAAAATGGTATATTTCATCTGGACTTTAATTAACCATAAAAATAATTCTAAACTCCCATAGAATCCTGTCGGATAATTGGCTATGGAGCCACTCAGCATGCTGGACCCTGTCAGAAGAAACTATTTGAGGCAGAAGTTCGGGTGATTGATAATCAAAAGTGCAGGGATATCATAGGACATATCTGGGCGCCACAAAATGGAGCAAATACAGTCTGTGCGCTGGGCAACAATCAGGATTCCTGTCAAGGCGATTCGGGGTAAATCTGAGTCCTGGTTCTATAATACTTTACTTAATATTCCGAATTACTAGTGGGCCCCTGATCTGTCCTTATGGAGGAAAGGACTACATATATGGCCTTGTATCTCACGGACTTACTTGCGGCATCCAAGGTATGCCCAGCATTTATACGGTGACCAGACCCTACTATGATTGGGTACAATTTCTAATGCAGTCCTAGATCTCTGGCGATCACGTATAAATAGTATATTTATTATGCGATATCAAACAGAAAAACATTTATCAATATATACTTAAACAATGCAGGAATATTACAGACTAACAACGAACTTAGGCTTAAGTATGGTTACGGTATATAACTAGAATTTACTTTAGACTAACTAAACATAAGCATTTTCACGAAGTGATTCATCAGACAGGACTTTCTTTATGTTGTCATCAAATACTTACAGAATTTTATCAAAAAACAGCCTGATGTATAGTAATCTTAAGAAATCCTCATTTTGAGTGTTATTCTTAAGATATTTAAAACGTCTTTTAAAAGTTAAAAGAGAACTCATTGATATAGAAAAGGTTATCATTTTACCCTGATCAGCCCTAAATAAATGATAATCACATCGTGAAAATGGGACTTAACTTAGATTCGAGGTGGTCTGCTGCCATCACTGTTTCTCGGGCTGTTCTGCCGTAGTGGAGGCTGTGGAGCTATCCACTTTGTCGGACAGCTTCCCCGTTCCCGTTTCCGGAAGTGTGAGTGTCAGGAGGCCAGCTACTAGAACGCAGCAGCCGCAGATGGTTGTTGGAATGTACCAGCCGAGAGCTCCCAGGACATCGACCACATACGGAGCCGAAATGGAGCCCACATGGGCGAAGGTCGAGCAGGTTCCCAGGGCAGAGTTCCGGACCTGAGTGGGATACAGCTCTGCTGTATATAGAGTTACCACCGAATAAGTGGCACTGATGCCAAAGCGACCGAGCATGGCAAAGGCCACAATCCAGGTGGTGCTACTGGCAGGAACCGAGAGAACCAGCAGCAAGGATACGCCAGTCCAGAGGAACAGGAACATGGTGGTTAGACGACGACCCGTGAAACGGAGCATTATCACCGGTACCAGATAGGAGGGTATATCTACAAGACCGGTGGCTATGATATACAGATATCTCGAAACCGAAAGATTGGCGGCGTTCAGAGCTGCAAGATTAATAAATATAAAGTAAAAGATATAAAAGTCTTCATAGACAACTTACCCGTAACATAGTAACTGAGTGAAGTAACGCAGAACATGTAATAAGAAGCGAATATCATTTTGCGAACGCTGGAACTGCCATATAACTCGATGATGGACTTCAAAGGACCATTCTTGAGCTTCTCAACCAAAGAGGATCCCACTTCCGGCTCCAGCTGCAATGGTAAAATATTCCATTAGCTTTCAGCTTGGCAACCAGATGCACTGATGGAAACATATATGTTTCGGGGACTTTGCACTCACCGACTTCTTATCGGTGACAACTTGAGGGGAGGCTGCAACTGCGGGTTGGATTTGGTAATGGCTGGGCTGTCTGAAGAGAATCTTATAGACGCGATCGTATCTTTGAGTCGTGATCAGCCAGCGAGGTGACTCATTCATCAGGCTAAGAGGGAAGTCATTAGCCTTTGAGGGTTGATTATTAAAAAGGAACTTACTAGCAATTAAGTATGAGCAGCAGTGAGGGAATAGTTAGGGCCAATTGGAGATGCCTCCAGGGTTGAATGATGTAGCCAACCACTGCCAGGATGATCATTCCCACCGGATATGAAGCTGCGAAGGTTATTGACATCCAGGAGCGATGCTTCAAGCAGATGTTCTCCACGACTAAGAGATGTCACAAAAGTATTTAATATAATAATAAAAGTATGATAAATTTAAGGACTTACTCATTGTAAAAGCAGGATAGAACAAGCCAGATGAAGCTGCTCCCAAAGCAAAACGACCTGCCAGGAAGACACTATACCAGGGAGAAAATGTGCAGAGGAAGCTACCCACAATGAAGAAGGCAGCACCTAAGGTAAACGAAGTCTTGCGACCAAATCTGCAAGGATTTGATTTCAATTAGTAGTTGTTGGGATGCCATAAAGAAGAACCATTAACAAACTCACTTGTCTGCTAAGATGCCAAAGGAAAATGATCCACAGAACTTGCCCAGCGAAATGGAAACCTGGGCGGATGTCCTCTGTATGCTTCGGTCACAGGTGAGATCCCAGTCCGAGACGAAGGTGCTCTCCGGATTGGCGAACTCATGTTGACCCTTCACTCTGCAGGACACTTCAGCCGGCTGGGAAATCTGTGACAGGTGGTTGGTATAATTAAGGGCCGCCTCGTAGGACATCTTTGCCAAATGCTCATAGTTCCAGTCCCAAACAGTGCATCCGCCGGACTCCAATCCCTTACCAGCAATCTCCCGTTTCTGAGCCAATGTCCAATTGGTGTCCTGCAGATCGGTAATGCCACACCATTGATCTTCGGGCAGGTGACCCAACAAAGTGTAGGAGGACACATGGAATCCATTCAATATGTTGGGAGTAACGCAAAGAAAGAAGATTGCCCTGGGTGGGTGGAAAAGTTGACAGTAACTTATTTGTCAATTAAGTTAAATTTCACTTTACTGCTAATTGGGATTTTGTTTTCGCAGATACTATATCTCTCGTATCCGGACAAAATTGTTTACGGCACGCAACTCCAATCGGTCGCACATTGACACCGCTTGGCTAACTGCTCGTCGGAATGCAAATAATGACACCGACCAAAACACGGGAGTAAAAACAAAGCTGTGAAGGTTGTGGGCGAATCATTCGCTCTGGTTATGTACGCTGATCACATAATCACTTAATGGCAGTTAAAGATTCCCCCCGAAGCATACTTTGTCGTTAATCATTAAACAAGTCGGGCAACCGGAACGCCGAGCGAAATATTTACATATCCGATTTTTTCACGTGACTTCTCCAAACCCAACAAAACAACTTAGAGTTCATCAAAATTCAAGTCATTCTCAATGATTCGGGGGTTAGCATAACACTACATTGTAGGACTTCCTCGAATGACTCAGTTGAATGACATCAAGTGCACATGTCCTCCAGCCGGTCCGAGATCTTATCAGATAGGATTCATTACACGGCCCAATCCCGATCTGGGTAATGGAACCGGTACTCGCCCATCACGATCCCACATCGCCCGATTCCAATTCACAAGTGCCCCTTATCACTTACGATTAAGTCTAATGGAAATGTATTACTACACATATATATGTATATATGAGCTGATATGCCAGATTTCCATGCTATATTTAAATCTCATACCGGGCGATCACTCACATGACCGTTGCCCCAAAGATTCGAATCCAGCTGGATGATTCTTAGATCCCGGCCTAAAATTAACATCAGGAAGCCCCTTTGCAAAAAAAGGTTATACTAATTTGAAAACATCTACGTTATCGAACTGTAGGAACAAGTTAATTGATTTTGGGTTTAATCGTGGTGACTAGTTCGTGGTTAAGCTGCGGTTATAACTCATGCTCACGAGTTCACTTTTATAGCCATCCAATCAAGCGGAAAAAATAATTAAATCTGCGCTTAAGCTTAAGTAATGGTTAGAAAAGTGCACCACCCTGAGTAATGTCAACTTTTTCTAAAAACTCAACCTTTAAAAGTTGACGCACACAGTGCATTCACTCTGAAGTGGGTCAAGTGGAACGTGATTCGAGTCGATCTAAAAAGAGACTTCCTCAACTTCGAGCGAATTATGGCAGAAATATGATGCCCACTTTTCGCACTAACTCATTGATCTATAAAATATTTTTATGCGACCCCATTTATAAATTAAATAAAACGATGAAACAAGAATAGTAATATAGAGCAACTTGATACTTTTCTCTCAGTGCCTTTACTTACCACACAAACGCTCCACCACTGCCCACGAGTTCCAGCTGCTTGGTTAGCAGATCCTTCATGCTTTCTTCGCTGATGAGCTCGCGGCTCTTCTCCGGATTCTCCTTCGTTTGAGTCATGTTGGAAAATGCAATATCACAAGTACTAGCGGTATTTAAAAATTACGAACTACGCCGCTGAAGATGATGTGCGGCAGACGGCTGACCCCACGCAAACGAATCTTCAAGATAGCCGGGAGGTTCGTTTCTGACACTGAACTTGGATTCCTTAGCTGTGCAATCTATTTTTGATCTTGTGCAAAAACAAAAGCTTTGGTTATGGTTTTGATTTGGATTTAGGTTCTTTTGTGGCTTAGAAACCTAATCGAGGATCCGTCAGAGTGCATTCACTCCGAGGGGCGCAGATAAGGAGCAACTGATATATATACACTTTCACTTTCGGTCTCGTCTGCAGGCGGTTGTATTTTTGGGGGGCTTCTGCAGTGGCTGTTTATCTATCGACTGGTTCTATTTTCCCATTTCTCCTCGGGCTCGCTGTTTATGTTTTTTCAATTGGTAATGCAGCACATGGGAGCGCTTTTCTTTTGACGGACGGCGACACGTTTTTAGTATTCGGTTGTTGTTTTCGAACAAAATTTCCCTCAAGTTAAAATAAACATGAAAAAAGAAATATTTTCGAGGGAATATTCTTTATGTTGGTTTTCTTTTTACGTTGCTGCAACGCGTGCAGTTGCGTTTTCCTGCCGGTTTTCGCCGATGTTGCTATCAACTACTTGTCGCTTCGGAAGCGTCTCACAAACTAAGCCCACGGGAGGCCGATCGCAGCGTTTTGTATGCGCCGTTCCATTGCGGGATTTGGAGGGGTAGCGGGAAAGTAGGGGATGGTGAGGCAGCGGTACTAACGTCGTACTCGGTCAGTGCCTCAGTACCGCCGCCCCTGCCATCACTGAGCACATAGCTCGGGATCGTTCGGCTCTTCCCGATCCCAATACTCGGTCCACATTTATGTTGTTTCATTTTTGGATTCGAGTGCAAGCATTAACAAAAAAAATATATTTAAGAACAAAAAAATGAGATTTGAAAATAACAGTCATAGAGCGTCTGAAGAGAGATTCTTAGCGAATGTCAAAAAAGTGCGCACTCTACAAATAACCCAAGGAAAGCTCTGATTTTTTGGGAATGCTCGGACTAATTGAATAATTTCAATATAGAGCAATTACCAAAAGTGTATGTGTTTGCGGCAGCTGCTGTTGTCAAATTTCCAGAATTAGTATAAACGTATTATTAGACTTTAAATTTGGGTATTTATTTAGGCAGGGAAATTACATTATATTTACTGAGGCATTGGAAGTGATGATTATGGATGGTTGCCTCTTCTAAAAATGATTATTTCCCATGATATTTATTTTCTTTTTTAAATAATAAGAGTTAACATTCCAAAATCATTTACGCAGCGTTAAAGAGTACCAACAAAGAACCACTTTTCCCTCATTATAAATGCGTCAAACAACATGAAAACATTTAAATACACTCCCGAACACTTGAACATATGGTCGTACCCTCTCCGAAATCCCTTACATTCCATTACTTTGGAGCTACCCGAACCTCATGAGATATATATGTATGTACATATATATATTATATTTACATTAACAGGCCGTTTAATTCTGTTGTCTCTGAATTTCATTACAATTTTCCCATTTGCTTCGGTGATATTCGAGAGTCCCGAGTATTGTTTACATTTTTTGTTTTCGAATTTTGCTCTATTCGAAATTCCCAAAGAGCAAATCGGTTTTTATCAAAAACAAAAAAGAGCAAACTCTTGAATGAGATTCAGTCGAAGATTGTTGAGATTCCTCTCTCTCTTTTCTTGTGAATGAATGAATCTGCGAAATAGAGTTTGTATTTAAACCAACTTGAACCAGAAACTCTGAATTGGGAGGATGAAATAGAACCAGATTTCTACGCAGCGACCTTAGCAAGTGATTCGATTAAGGTTAACCTGTGTTATCGCTGAACATCGAGAGTCCTCAACTCTGGCCAAGATTAATTGAACTCAATGAATCGGTAGACGTCAATATCTTAACTACTAACCCTGCGCGGCGAAAGATAGAGATTGACATTGAAGGGTAAGGGTGATGATATGGGATGGGATTGCGGCATATATATATTTCCATCTATATATTCCAATTATGATTTTTCTTTGTTATCGCATTCTAATTTTAGCCTTGCCGCAATTGTTGTTTACTTGTTCAGTTTCCCAGGCGCATTCAATTCATCTGTGAAATCCGCTCGAGAGTTAGCCTAACGTACTAACGGTTTACTAGATAATACAGGTATTCTAGCCGTAATTAGAGCTTACTGACCATAGCCCGTTGGGTTGTTGTGATGCACATGGGCGTGCCTCCATTTAAAAGTTCGATTGTCGGTGGTTTGGGTGGGACTCTGGTATTATTTTTGATTTTGGCTTATATTGTTTTTTTAAACGCACGTGCAGTTTCCTACGGATATGTATTATTCGTGAGTGGGGATGGGTGACTTATTGACCTAAGGGTAGTTTCACCCCGCAGTTGTTTTGTTATTTGATCCTATCTTAGGCTTTTCCTTTCAGGCCACATCAGTCAATCCAGCGCTAATTCAATAATGGCTATCTCATTTACATAATCGCCAAGAATTCTTTATAATGTAATCAGCATTGTCATATAAAGATATATGGCAACTTAAGATGTCAGGCCTAGTTTGGAAGTAATACTATATCTGTCTTGCTGCACAAAGAAAAAATACAGTAAACGAAATATCGTAAATACAAATATATATTTTTCATCAAACCCTTTCCAGGTTTTCCTAAAGCAGGTTATTTTTACTAAGGGCAGCAGACATATTTTCCCATACAAAGTTGTAAAAGTTTTATGCGAAAAAATACGACTTAGAAGTCGTATCGGCACTACAATTAAAATATTTATTTGATTTTCGACAGGTTTTGTTTAGCCCGACAAGTCTATTTTTACACCGCCCTAAGCTGGTTCAATAATTAAATGCTTTTCCCTTGGGGGTTAAAGGGCAACCAAATAAATTTTGCCTATATTATAATGTATTCTAAACTACTTAATTGTGCAAATGAATTCCTCTCGATACACACATTCTGAGGAAACCTTTGAGATGATAATTCCTACTAACGAGTATATCAGACAGCACAATTCATCCAGCCAGGCGTTGGTGAAGCTTAAGTGAATGATTGCCGACGAAACGAGACGAGGGAATTGTGAACAAATTCGTAGAAATCTAGGCGTTTGCTAAACTCACAAAATTCAATGGAGCACATTCTAAGGCACTGCCAGTCGACCTGAGTTCACAGATTAAATCGCAGACTGTAGGCGTGGGTGACAAGGTCGACACTTTAATTTCTATAGAGACATAGTTAATCCCTAGGATGCCCTAGCGTAGCCAAAGTTCAGCAGCCAGATGAGTCCGAGAACAAAAAGGCTGTAGAAGGTGACGTTGTAGAGATTGAGACGACTGAGGAGTCCTCGGAGTCTGCCAGTGCGAAAACTTTCCTGTAGATTCTTTGGCCGCTCGTCGAGCATATCCTTCCAGCTAACCACCTGGGGTCGGACCACAAAAAGCGCATTCACAGCCGCCCGAAAACCACTCTGCACAGCTCCACCCATCAGACTGCGATAGTTAGTGCCCACGGCTGAGGAACTTGACCAAATGACCCGATACCAGGGCTTCGTTTGTGGCTTGTGAAGCGCCACATTTAGCTCATCGGTGGAGAACTGCGTATCTAGAGGTTTTCGCATCTCCTCACCAAAATGGTCTGCAAGCAGATCCATCACATCCCCCAGGACTTCGTCTTGATCTTCCGGTGAGTGCAGGATATAACCGCAGAAGGTCGACGGCCGACTCTCATGACCACTGACCAACGGTTGGGAGCTAAGAAAGTTTCCGGAATATCCAAGATTATCCCAAACGGATTTTCCATATCGTAGCTGGAACTGAGTTATCAGGCGGCGTGGTTTTTGGCCAGCTTTGGTAGCCACCGGCGGCTGAAAGGCCCTTGGAATGCGAGGTTCGAACTCCAACTTCTGCACTTTGTTCCAGGGTATCGCCAGAATCACAGCCTGAGCTGTATGTTTATTTCCCTGATCATCTGTGACCTGCGCATAGTTTTTGAAATGTTCCAGCTTCACAGCCCTGCTATTTAGCGAAATCTTGGTAAACTGCATCTGGTCCAATATCTTTTCCAACAGCATTTGTGTGGATATTTCATAGAAATGGCTCGGGTAGATAAAGTAGCTAAGGATAATTAATATTTAATAGAGTTAATTAAGTTAAGTAATGTGAAAATAGTTAGGGGTGAGAAAAAATGATAGGCTATATTGCAGTAATGGGAAGATTTGTTCAAGCTAATCAATCAAAGCCAAATTGAAAGCAATATATAAGCATTGTAGGGAGTAACTATACCTGGGCTAATTGACAACATTGACACAAACGTGATCTATAAAATGTAACTATTCTAGGTAAGGTAATCAATCATTTTTCAAGAGAGAAAATACAAGTGGGCTGACTGCCAGTCGTGCCGTAATTTTTCGATTGTGTTAAAAAATATTTATTTTTTTTTAATTACTAGCTTTAAAAGTATTTTTAAATAGCTTTTACACCTTTGTATGAGATAAATATGACTGTCAGTAGCTTACTTATAAAAGCCAGGAAAAGGAAAGTAAAGGTTAAGTAAGGAAAACCTTACAACAGTTATACTACCCCTTACAAGTCAATGAGCTTTTTGAGGCCTCCACAAGAACTGCAAACAGACATGAAGACATCGTAGTCCACCTCATTGGCAGGAACCCCACAGACCAGTTCCACCAGGTTGAGCATAAAGTTTCGAGACTTATTAAAGAACAAATGGTGACAGATATGTTGCTCCATGTTGGACACTCGTTCCCGAAGGCTTTAAAATAGATCATAAGATTCTGTCAATTCTATAGATTGCTTTACCTTCACTCACTTGAATCGTTTCGAGCGGAACTTGGACATTCGCAGATCCAACATTTCTATGTATCTTCCCAGCTCGAATTTAGCAGGCAATGCCGTGAATCCTCTATCCAAATCCCAACATCTTCGCAGCCTGCTGTTGTCATGCCTTCTCCGCCTTGGTGACATCTGGATTAGGGTAAGAAAGGCCAGCATATCCTGTTGAGCGGCATCTACAAAACGAATGCTATCCTGACCCAACTGCCCACCCAAACATCCGCTCGACTCAATGATCCTAACCTTCAGGGTACTTTCCATGGACAGGATTTTTAGGGCAGATGCCAGACCCGAAAGACCAGCTCCCACGATCAGAACATCTAGGTCCGGAGTTAATGTCCCAAAGGGTAAATCCATTTACCCCGCGTTTTTAGTCCGTCCAGCCGATAAAGAATTTTAATTTTCATAATTTTGTTTTGATTTTTCTAGAAAAATATTGAAAACTCCTGCCTAGATGGTTTGACATGCTTTGTACAGTTTGAAAATATTGGTTTGTAAAGTGGGGCATACTTTTAGGCTACATTTTCAATATATGGAGCCATGCATAGTTTAAAGTGGTGATGGCGTAAAATAGACATAATCGTATTTAATTGATCAAATTCGAAATATGGTCTTATCTGTTTTTTTTAATTAGAAATAGGTTTTTAACCATTATTATAACATAACACAACACCGAACACGCCATTTCTGGCTTTCCAGATAAGTTTAATCAAAATCAAAACGTATCTGCAAATCAGTCTAGGGAAAAGTTGTTAAGATAATTTAACCATAAATATTGAGCTATTTATAAGCTATCCATTTGGTTTAAACATCAAATAATGATAATGGCAGATTCCTTTTTTATATTAAAACCCGGATTTCAGATTTTCTAAGTTCGTTGAACCACAAAATTGAATAAACTGGATCAGTCCATTGAATTTCACATAAATCAGGTTGTCTCCATATGTTTCCAGGCCTGTGATTTTCTTATCAATAAATCCATTGACTGCAATCAGTTTTATTATCACCACTGACTGATATGTAAAAAACTTAATTAGCTGTAATTAGTCGAAAATCTTAATATAAACATATGGTAGAACTAGCTTTTTACGGTGAGCAAGTGCATTAGAAGCTTGCACTCAATAAGATTGTTATTTTGTTTCTTATCAGCCACGACCATTTAGACCTAATTCTCATAATGAGCGAATTATTATCGCCTCGTTGAGACTAAGACCATCCTCAATAAACAAAGTGGTCATAAAGTTCGTTGAACAGACTGAAAGTACAAGTACAAGTCGCAAATGCCATTTATATTTACTTGTTTTTTATTAAATCGCTTGTAAAGGTAAATAAACAAAGTCGAGAAATGGGAATGTATTGAAATATCTCAAAAGAAATGGAAATGCGCTGAATGCTTAAATTCGTTAAAATGACCAGGGCGCTAGCCAATTGAGGTCATTAGTTTAGATTGAGTTAAATGTTTGTGTCTCCGGCAAGACAGACTCGAATCAGCTTGACTTTCCGTTGAGCATCCCGTCAAGCTCTTGAGTGCCACCCTCCTCGGCGGCATCTTGTGGTGCCTGCTTCTTGCCGAAGTTCTCGCCATCCTCGATGGTCTCTGGCATGGGTTTGTTCAGGGTCTCCGGTAGGAGTAGAGACAGCAATCCAGCGATCAGGGACAGAGCTCCACAGATGATCAACGGCAATGGACGCCAGATCTCACCCAGTAACTTGAGATATGGAGCCAGGATTCCACCAACTCGAGCCACCATAGAGGAGGCTCCCAGACCCACATTCCTTACCACTGTCGGGAACTGTTCCGCCGAGAAGATGTAAATGGTTCCGTAGGAAGAGGTAATGGCCAGCTTTCCTATCATGGCACAGGCAATTATCAACCAGTTCATGTCACTCGGCACAAAGATGGTGGCCAGCAGACTGACCCCGGCAATCAACATGGTTCCGCATAGGATAGAACGACGACCCCAACGGTTGAGGGTGAAGAGGAGCAGCGTATAGGCGGGAATCTCCACGGCACCAGAGATTACAAAGTTAACTAGCTGATTTCCACCCAAATTGTTCGTGTTCCAGGAGAGGCCATAGTAAACACCACTGTTTACAAACCAATCGAAGAAAATCAGCAAGGTTTTCCGGCGAAGATTTGGGTAACGAAGGAGATCAAATACGGTAGCCGCTGGCTGAGAGGCCGTCTGCTCGTCCAGCTTCTTCTTTTCGGCCACCTCTTCCACAAGCTGCTCATAGATTTCACTGGGTATTTCAACCCGGTTTTCCTTGGCTGCCTTTTTGATAATCACAAAGGCCTCCTCTTGGCGACCCTTCATCAAAAGCCAACGGGCAGACTCCGGAATGATCCAGTAGTAGCAAATGAATAGGAGCCCAGGCAAAGTCAGAGCAATCTGCAGCCAACGCCAGTCGTGGATGAAGTAGGCAAAGCCAGCTGTGAGCATAAAGCCCACAGAGAAGAACATCTGCATGGCCACTCCGGCAAAAAGGCGATAGGAGGAGCCCACCATCTCCAGGGCAATCACATAGGCCACCAGAAAAACACCAGAGGTGGTGGCACCCACAATCATCCGAGAAATAGTGTAACTGAAGTACTCAGGAGCCACGGCTGCCAAAACGCCAAAGATCAGCTGGAGCACCAACGAAGCGAAAAAGGTGGGCTTACGTCCCAGCTTATCAGACATTTGGCCAAAAATGAAGCTGCCCAGGAGCACGCCCAACATGAAGAGGGAATCACTAGTGGCACTCAGCAGGCTCCGGTTGCAGACCATGTCCCATTCGGTGACGGCACTGTTGAGGTACTTGCTCCGATCGTAAACGTATCGAGAACAGCTCTTAGTCGCATTGGTAGTCCTAGCCAGGCTGCCATTCAGGTACTCCTCCGTGTACTCAACATCGTAGTAGGCACACCTCTCGTCTTGCGGATACGAGAGATTCCACAGGTGTGGTGATAACTCATAGCTACTCCCGTTCTCGTAGGGCAGAGCACATCGAAAGTCGGGTTTGGCAAGGAGAAAAACCCCCGCCAGCTTGTGGAAAGCGCAGACTATGGCTGGCAGGCAGAGAAGGTAGTAAATGCGCTTCTGATACGGTCCGAATTCACCCAGGTGGGTGATGACGTCGTCGTATCCCATATTTAGCGTCGGTGAGCAGGTGTTATACCTGAGATTTAGCGTTGTCAACCGTCGAGTGTCGTACGATAACTGGCAAGAAGTTCAACGGTCGCGGCACGGTGACGTATGCGCAACTTAATAAAGCGACGCGTTGCGTATACGCCCGGAGAACCCGTTCGATTGTGCAACAATCTGGTTGGAAACGGAACCAGGTTGCAGCTGCAGCAACCTCCAGCCAGTGATTCTCTGACCAGCGAATCTCGAACTGATTCGATCTCGGAGCGTGCGATCAACCGCTCGCCAGCTGCCTCAGACTCAGACTGAAAAAACACACATAGCTCCGAGGGTTCTGAGGAACTCAGAACGCTCGCCTATCTGTGTCTGTGTGAGCGGTCCCAGTCTATCAGTACGCCTGTGTGTACGTGTAGAGCAGCTCAACGCTACCGTTGGCCGTTCAACCCTGTGACCAATTTATTGATCAACGATCCGCATAAGAAAACTAAAACAGAATCAATATTTTCCATTTCGAAATAGGGATGAAAACGGGGCACAAGAAACGGGGGGAAGTGCAGCTGCCTCTCACTTATTTGGACATCGTACGATACATTAATTAGAGCCCGCAGGAATATGTCTCCTGACCAAAGAAAGAGTCCATCAAATGTGGCCTGATTCCGAATTCCAATCTGTCTGCCGGCAAATCATTAATTTTTTTATCTCGGGAAAGGGAAAACAGTTGAGAGAAAAAATAAAGTAACATCAAATATTTTTCCTTGAATTAAATAAAATTTGAATAAAATTTGTTTATTAAAAAAAATTCTCTAATATTTTTCCAACTAATTTTAAGTTTTAAAAAATTTAATGAATAAAGGAAATTTGTCTAATATTTGAAAATATAATTTTATTAAATTCTTGTAATTAAAAGATCATTAAAAATAAAACAAATGTCGATCAATAGAAGTAAACATTCCCCAATAATTTGACCGCGTCTGTTTACATTGCTATACATTAGCTTATAGATAATATAGGCTCTTCCAAACACTGCTCTTCCAAACACGTTCAGACTCTCTTTTTTGTTGATTTCTCTTTACCACTGTATGTTTCCGTTTGTTATCTCAAACATTTTCGAACATGTTCAAATATTAATTGAAAAGTGTTGAGAACATATTGTAATGTACTTGGAAAAAGAGAAAAATAGTCGACCCACTTTCCGCACAGCCACGTATGAAATAAGATCAAGGTCAAAGTGCCCGCAGAAATTTTAAGTTATGCAAATGTGATGCAGTCATATTCATAGAATCGGATGATTATTATTCGCATTCCAAGTTATTTTTGCCACTGTACTAGGCACTTAACAATCTCGTGATTAAGAATTAATGACGGATCCACTACTTATACGACAGTCTCGTGTTTTTCGGGGACCGATAAGAACCAACTACGAAAATAAACACAGCGGAAACACGTGTGGAGTGTACACTTTGTGGTCAGGCCAGACACTCGTTCCGGGTTTACGATGGGTCAATAAAGAGGCGGGGAAATTGATTTCGTCTCTGGAAAAATACATTTTATTTCAAAATTATCTCCATGGACTCATGGATGCTGTAGCTACACTAAAGTTAAATAGATTTAGGAATAAATTATGCAGCGACATGGGTGATCTGGCATTTTCCAGGTGATTTCCCACGGGAAAACCATCCCTCTAAGGTTACTGCTCCCAAGGTAAATGCGAACATGGTCATGATCAATTTGTCTTGTTGTCTTCTCATTTTTGGTTGCTTTTGAGATTTTTGAAATTATATAATACTTGGCCTATGCTTTAATGATAAATGCCGTGCCTTTGGCCTGGTCGAATTTCTAGACACCCTGTAACCTCTAGTCTTTTTAACTATGGAAAATATTAAGTGAGTTCTGGCCCTGAGATTTTCTAGTATTTTTGGCCATTTGTCTTGCCTCCATTTGTATCAGCTGATCCTTTGAGTGGCTGCGTCTCCGGAGACTCTCGCAGTTCTTGGCCCGTTTCCAGATAGACATCACCCTTGGTCTTCTTGCCAAAACGCTCACCATCGGCAATGGTCTCTAACATGGGCTGATTGTGCGTCTCTGGCAGCAGTAGGGAGAGCAAACCTGCCGCCAACGACAGGGATCCGCAGATGAGCAGCGGCAGTGGCTTCCAAATGGTGCCCAAATAGTTGAGGTAAGGCGTCATCATCCCACTAATACGGGCCACCATCGAAGCAGCCCCGAGACCCACATTTCTCACCACAGTCGGGAACTGCTCGGCGGAGAATATGTAAACCGTACCGTAGGATGCGGTGATGGCCAGTTTGCCCAGCATGGCGCATGCCACAACAAAGCTGTGCATATGCTCTGGAATGATTACAGTGGCTAGAAGGCTGAGTCCTGCCATGACCAAGCAGCCACACAAGATGGATCTTCTGCCCCAGCGGTTCAGGGTCAACAGAAGGAATATGTAAGCTGGTATCTCCACAGCTCCTGAGATGACGAAATTGAGTAGCACATTACCACCGAGGTTGTTGGTGTTCCAGGAGAGTCCATAGTACACGCCACTGGTCACCAGCCAGTCCAAGAAGATAAGCAGCGTTTTCCTGCGGAGGTTGGGATAGCAGAAGAGATCCCACACGGAGGGAGAAGGTCCCTCATCCTCATCCTTATCCTCGAGTTTTTGCTTGGCTTTCTCCTCTGACGTTTCTCCCTCATCCAGTAGGTCACTTAGAGTCTCATTGGTTACTTCCACTCTGTTGAAACGGGCTGCCTTTTGCATATTGGCGATGGCACAATCTTTCCTTCCCTTTGAGAGTAGCCAGCGGGCAGATTCGGGAATGATCCAGTAGTAACACATAAAGATGAGTCCAGGAAGAGTCAGAGCAATCTGCAGCCAGCGCCAATCGTGGACGAAGTAGGCGAATGCCGCCGTCAACATATATCCCACGGAGAAGAACATCATCACAAAGATGCCGGCGTAGAGCCGCTTATCGGGTCCAACCATTTCCATGGCAACCACATAGGCCACCAAGAAGACTCCTGAAGTTGTGGCCCCTACCATTAGTCGGGCAAACGTGTAAGTGAAGTAATCCGGAGCCACGCCTGCCAAAATTCCGAAAAACACCTGGATGACCAGCGAGGCAAAGAGGATGGGCTTGCGACCGTATTTATCACTCATTTGGCCAAAGACTATGCTGCCCAAGAGCACTCCGAACATGAAAATACAATCGCTGGTGGCGGCCAGAGACTCCTTCCCGCAAACTAGATCCCATTCGGTTACAGCACTGTTGAGATACGTGCTCTGGTCGTATACGTATTGCGAACAGCTTTTGGTTTTATTGCTACTCCGGGGAATGCTGCCGTTTAGGTACTCATCACTGTAATCGACATCGTAGTACTCACACCTGACCCCCTGGGGAAATGAAAGGTTCCATAGTTGGGGTGATAAGTCATAGGTACTGCCATTCTCGAAGGGCAAGGCGCACCGGAAGTCTGGTTTGGCCAGAAGGAACACACTAGCCAGCTTGTGAAAGGCCACTGGAATGGAGGTCAGGCAGATGAGGAAGTAGATGATCTTTTGGTATCGCCCAAAGTCGCCCAGATGGACGATAGCCTCATCATAGCCCATGGTAGAGTTATCTTTCGAATCTGAATCAGAATTTCAGATGACTTTTTCGCGCAGCTGACTTCTTCGAGCGGCGCCGGTATAATGAATCACCAAAAAGGAACCGCTATGCTTTTTGGTACAATCCCGTGATGTCGACGCACTCAGCAGTTCCCGAGAAATATAGAGTGTCGAAATGGACTCTCTGCTCCGTTGACGTGTACTTTGCTCCCCGGCGTTAGAGAGAAAACTTGCGTACAATTCTCCGTTGCGGTAATTATCGGCCAACACGTGTTACCAAAAAAGTATGTTGACCACAGAGAGAGGAAGTGAACCCGGAGCGGAACAAGGGCAAACTGGGTAAAATAAGCCGGCACTCCGCTAACTCGAGGCGTCACCTTAGACCAACGAAACCGAACTGAGTGCCAAAATCGCAATGCAATAGCTCAGTGGCAGACCGACAGGGCCAACAAACGCTTATGGTCTGTGTGTACGAGTATATCCGACCCTCTCTGATACTCGGATATATCCGAGTGTTTATGTTGGCATAAAAGAAGAACGACAAACAAATGCCGGCTGCATGCGCACTCTCTGTGGAATCGGGAGAGAGCGGGTCTCTAATACTCCGATACGGTTCTTGGTCAGAGAGGAGATGAAGGAGTGACTGAGACATTGCCACCCCTAGTCAAGTTGGTAGCAAATTACAACGATCCCCAGCCATTTACTGGAAAATCATCTGCCAATTTCCATTTGCACAGCCGTTCTAAAGTCAGGTAAGTGGAAATTCAAACGCCACATTGTATGGTAGTTCGTCAATCAGGCGATCACTCAAGACCTCTTCGGCTCTCTCCGCTTCCAATTGAGTCGTGCTCCGACAGACACTTAAGCGAATCTCGCAAAAAATAACATGAGTACGGGTTCCGACTTTTTGATACCCACTACTCGATGTTAAAAAAATATGTTTACTGCTTGGAGAGCTCACTGATTATGACAAATAATTCTAAATTTTGTATATTTATATATATTTAATGAAAAATATTTAAATAAAAGATGTTCGATGTATTTTAAAGAATAATTTTTACTATCTCCTTTATTGAGGTTTTTATTTTTACTAATCACGTTTTCTATAACTCCCTTCTGGTCTTACAGAAATTAAACTACATACATTTCTTGCACACCTAAGGAAATACAATATACCCCTAGAATGACTAATAAATTGTCTCTTAATTGAACTCAATTAGTAAGCGTAGCGCTGACCAATTACGAGAGCGTCAAAATCAAAGGCGGCAAAATCGTACGATATTTTGGGTCCTCTTTCAACCTCAGCTCATTCTTCCATCAGATTTACTCATCACCGTCTTCAGATGCGGTATCAACTTGCAAGGCGCAGGGTAAGCTTACATTTAACTCTCATGTGGTGGAAGTAACTTTCAGGGTATGTAACAGAAATTAATAAGCAAACTAACAGTTTTTTGTTTGTAAACTACCCCATTTGGTAGCAATTAAAACTGGACATGCGCTATGTGCAGAACACTTGTGGGGCCCAAGAGTTCTGAGACTCAGGCTAACGAACAATAAAGCGGTTCTTTTTTTGGTGGGTGTGTCTGATCAGAAGGTGGCGGACCGGCCCCTTGCCCCGAGTCACTCTTCTAAAAGTCTACAAAATAGTATGCAAAATCAAAATTTATTATATGAAACTTACGAAGAAAGAAATCTGGATATTCTATCGTCTTTTAAATGGTGTACTGTATTCTGAATATAAAAAAGAAAAAATAATTTATAAAATTTATGTCTTCCTTATATAAAGCCTGCCACATTTTTTCCAATGAGGCGTATATTTCCAACCCAAAGAAGAAGATAGAATCCTGTCATCCTGTGATACTTTGATTGATTTCCTTTGTTACTCAACTGTAGCGATCGGAATGAAAGCAGTCCTCCTAGGACGTGCGATCTATATATCTTTCCACTTGAGAGATATCCCCAGAGACGGTATGTGATCTAGGCATAATTGGAATAGTAATATTTTTTAGTTCCAAAATCTCATTGTCATATAAAACGTAAAAGATCAAAAGTAGGCAACCATTTATTCAAATGTCACAGATATTTGTTTTGAAAAATAACGGCTACAGCGCCAAAGTTCAAATAACTAGAACACATGGTGGTCACACTGTAAAATATAATTGACAGATTAGAGGTGGTGGTGGACCGTGAGTATTATCGTCACTAGTTACATCTCTAACGCTCAGCTGTTGCGCGCGTTTTTTCTACTCATTTTCTTTACTCTCTTTTTGCCGAAAACTTGTTGTTTACTTAAAGATTTAAACAAAATTCACTAACAAACGGTAAGAATAAACTCTTCTAATTGTAAATGTAATTGTTGCCCATGTGCCTGCAACCTTTGCTTTGCAGGCGATTTTTTGAGCGGTTTGAGCTTGATTCAAATCGTTTAATCGAGCTCGTTTCCGAAGCAACCGCACTATCGAACGCCATCGAACATGTTTTTTGATGTGGTATTTTTGTCCGAACTGCAACAAAAGTTGTTTGTTTGTTGACAGTGGGTTTCAGTTCGACTCAATTTCTCAACGCAACGGTACGCGATCCGAACCGCTCGCGTCATTCGATCGTCGCTTGAAATTCAAATCTAATCCGTTTAAACTAAGAAAAACGCAACAACCAGCTGAAAATACTTCAAAATTTATCAAATTTTCGGAATAGTGTCGTTTGAGAAAATTTTTAATTTCTAAATTTGAAAAGTAAGACAATCAATCGAGATAAACCTATCAAAAGCCACGGAGGAGATCGATTCCTAGTGATTTGGCTCCATCCTCAATGTCTGTGTGCGTCTCCGGAAAGAAAATCACCATTCACCAGTAATATTCGCCCTGCGAGATCTGCACCCAAGGTAAGTGCCCGCCATCTCCACGAGGATTGCCTTTTTTCGGGATTACGGTTGGGAAATTGAAACCCATTGGAACGCCAGATTGTGAGTCTTCACCTGTGAAGGCGGATTTTCCACCTTTCTCTTTCTGTTGACTTGCACTTTTTACATTGCGCCTGACATTGGCAAATTCTTGCCCACGAAAATCGGTTACCTATATGCAAGTGGTGCAACCAACGAATCGATTAGCAAATGCGGAAGTGATTATACCCCAAGTAGGGGTAGTATATCGTTTTTTAAATAGTTTGGTATTGAATAGTATAAAATATACCCTCTACCCTCTACTGACTTCTTATTATTTATTAATTAAGTTTTTTTACTAAGACCTAAATAGTAATAAACTTGGATTTCCAGAGTATACCATAATCTATATCGATATATTTATTCCGTATTACCTTTTGCCTTTAAATATTAATTGTTCTGAAAGAGAAGAAAGGAGGCGGTTTGAGGGGCAAACGTGACCATGAATCAAACAGAAAGAGAGCGCAGTCGCAACAGCAAATGTCACCACCAATTCTTACAATTCCCACAGCTGTCCTCCTGCAACATTCCGCACCCACAACCATACCATATACCATATACCATATGTAGTACATAAACGCTGGAAAGCAGAGAGAAATATATCTATTTATAGGCTGAGTCAGGCAAAATGTTGCCCCATGTCAACGTCGCCTTCGCAGTTGTTGTTGTTATTGTTGCTCTGTTGCTGAGTTTTTAAAGCAAACTCAAAGATAGATTTGTGTCCCGACCATTTTAATTGAGTGCGGAAATGAGCAAACATTTCTTGGAGCCCCCGTCCAGGGACACAAGTGTCGTTTCGTTCTCCCCGATCGACAGCCTGTTTCTCGATTCGAGGCACATTTCGATTATTTATGTGGAAAAAAGGAGAAAAACAAGGAGATGGAGTATGACGCCGCTCCTTTGCGCATGCGTGTCCATGTTAGCAGACGTGCCCATCCTATTTTAAGCACTTTAAAGCCAATAAAACGGGTTCGAGGATACCCTTTCATGTGGCCAGGGTATTTGCTTTTCTCGGGGGTGAGGGAACCTTTTTAAAGAGGATCGAATGTGGAATACAAACAAGAATGTTAGTATGGGTGTCTAGAATTAAGTCTTATTTACTCCCGTGTTCTTCTTCGTGATTCAACACCATCAAAAGATCCCTCTGTAATGTTCACATTTACTTTAATCTATAATATGAGTTCTTTAAGACTAAAAGTCAGTTTCCTTAGAATAATATATGGAATATTACTATTCGTGTATCATAGCACCTAATACTCACCTAAGGGTGTGCTTGTTTCGACGTGTTTTGGCGTATAATTCCCGATCCTTTGCGGTCCGCTGAAGGTTTCCCTGTTGTTGTCGCTGTGCTTAGCTGTCACTCATGCCCTGTCCAACCCCCTTGCACCCGTCAGGATCCAGACCACCCCCTCGCCGGATAACGAACACGACAGAACACGCGCCACACAGCTGACAGGAACCGAAGGACTCAGGATCACGATCCTGATCTCTACCCGATGGCCTCCCGTCCATTGTTAACGCCGACAGCTGCTTATATTATATCGAACCCTGGACGCGGAACACACGAAAATCAGGCAGCTTTGAACAAAAGAGTCGGACGACGCGCAGACCCACTTTGGAGTGGCCACCAGTTGACGCTCGAGATGCGTTAGATCAATTTGCATATAATACAAAAAGAGAAACACTAAAACGGCCGACGATTGTTTAGAGATTCGCAGTGAAAGTCAGCCGAGAGTGTGTGGTTTAATTGCAGCTTTTGTTTTGATAGTCGATTAGCATAGTGCGAGATGTATTTTACTCCAATCGCGGTTTCGCTGATTGTTTTTTTATGTACCTCTTGTTTTATGTATTACTATTTACTGTTTCGCTAACGCAACAACCTGCTTTAAAAAAATTTGGATTAATATATACGATGACGGCGGGAGCGCAAGAAAAGTTCCGTTTTAGTTTCCTGCTCGAAAAAAAAAAAACAGAAAATCGTGATAAGACTATGTCACGAACGCCAACGGTGATTCAAACTGAATGTCTCATTGCAAAAGGGTTTAGGGCTTGGAATGTAGTTAAGCTAAGATAAGAAGCCACTTATATTGATAGCAATAAATTTGCTTAAACGTTGTAAATATATTTTTAAAGAATATAGGTCATTGTGCAACAGAAAAAGTATCTAAAAATAAAATTTAAATTAATCCAGTTGACAGTTAATATCTTTAGGAATACATTATGGTTATAATTTGCGTATTTTTAAAGTTATAAATGACTTCCTCTTTTACCAAATATAATCCATAATGCCATCGTTTGTAACCTTTGCTTGTTTGTCGTCAAAAACTGTTACTTTCTTTTGATTAATGACCACCAATCTATTTTTAACCTTGTAACCATAAAACATACTGATTATAGATTTGCATAGTTTAATATTTCGATGGGAAAGAGGCCCGTCTGTCTGAGATC